ATTACTATTATTGTTTCAATTGCCCCTAGAGTTTTGCTCACGGAGAAGATAGCATGTTCTTGTTGACTTGTCTATAGTCTTTTTGTTTTCTCATGTTAAAGCCAGGGAAAGGAGTCGAAATCTTTATTTGAAGATATGTTTTTCCCATGTGTACCTCACGGCAAGAATCTATATTGGGAAAAGTCATCTTCGCATAATTATGTTGTAGCTATAATATGAAGACTAAGTATCTGGGGTGATCCATCAACAATATTTTTTAAATGAATATTTTTTTGATTAAGATTTATTTTGCGGACTTGTTTGTTTATTTATCAGATATATGGATGATCAATTAATGCAAGGAGAATTTGGCTTGTGAAAGAGCCTTGCCAAACGGTTAAGCGGCTGTTGATGCTACGAGTCAATCAAATAAGCCAGCGTGTACTGGTCATGAACTTGGACGATAATCTGTCTTTCAGCTGTTGTTATAAGTTGTAACAATCCAAGAAAAAGATCTCGAGCTAAGGAAACAAACTGCCAATATAAATTTATTACATAAACCAGATTATACAAACATCTCTCTCTCACTCTGTGTATGTAGTAGCATAACATAGAAATATTTAGTACATCCGGTTGATTTCCTAAATAGGAAATAGGGTGGGTGAAAAGTAAAATTGTCGCGTTAAACTTACATTTTCTCCTTACAAAATGAATGTCACACAAAAAAAAGATTGATTCGTTGTCATTTTTATTTCATTTTCATTCCAATTCAATTCAACAATTGAATTTTATTGAAATTTTCATTCTTTCAAGATACTTTCTAGGAAAAAGCCATAAGAAGTTTTATTTAAACCTTCCATTAAATAATTGGTTTTCTAATAACAGAGAAAGAGAAAACAACAAACCCATACAGTTACTATTAAAGATCCAACTGTATAAATAGACCCTTTTCATAGTGTCTTTTTGCATTCATTTTTAGGATCAATCATTTTCGATCAAGAGAGCTTATAATTCATAGCACAATATATATAATTAGATAAAACTCAATGTCATATCGTGGACCAAATCAATTCAATTCTCAATTTAGAGGAGCAGGAGGAATACCAGTAGGTGGAGGAGGTATACCAAATCAAGGTATTCCATCCGGGATTCCATCCGGGATTCCATCTCAATCAAATAATATTGGAGCAATTTCAAATTCAGGAAATCCATTTCAAAAATTTGAACAATTTTCTAAAAATGTTGAAGATTTAATTGATAATTATTTTAAACCTTTAAAACCTTATGTACCAGCAATTGGTAGAGGATTTTTAGTGGCAACATTTTATGAAGATACAATTAGAATCTTTACACAATGGTCAGAACAAGTTTATTATTTAAATACTTATAGAAACTATTGGCGTTGGTTTACAATTTTATTTTTAATTAATAATATGATTGTTATGACTATAGCTTCAACAATGGTTGTTATTAGAAAGAAAGATAATATTGCAACTATTGCATTGGTTGCAATTGTAATCTTACAAGGTATTGGATATGGATTATTATTTGATGGTCAATTCATATTAAGAAATTTATCGGTTGTTGGAGGATTAGTATTAGCTTATTCAGATACCATTGTAAGAGACAAGAGAACTTTAAATATGCCTGGTTTACCAATGCTTGATAATCAAGATTATAGAAAATATTTCCTTTTAGCTGGTAGACTTTTGTTAGTCTTCTTATTCTTAGGATTTGTATTTTCAGCTAATTGGTCAGTTGGTAGACTTGTAATCATTGTTATTGGTTCAATTGCTTGTGTTTCCATTATTATTGGTTATAAGACTAAATTTGCTGCTGCTGTAACTCTTGTATTATTGTTTATTTATAATGTGTTTACCAATCAATTTTGGATTTATGAAGCACGTGATGCCAGACGTGATTTCTTAAGATATGAATTTTTCCAAGTATTATCAATTGTTGGTGGATTATTATTGGTTGTAAATGCTGGTGCTGGTGAATTCTCAATTGATGAAAAGAAGAAAATATATTAAACCTGTTTTGGCAGCCTACAAAGCTACAAGTGGTTCATAAGCATCAACTTACTACGTGTGTATCTATAAAATTAAGTGCAGTCTAGGCTATAGTTTTTATTATCTTTATAGGATCATATTTTTAAGAGCACAATTTTTGTATTTAACATCGAAGCTCTGGAAGGAGCCAGATGATTTGATTCTCGGAATGGAAACCATTCAAACTATATAGGGGATGCTTACCTGTCCATCGTCGTCCTGACCTCTTAGAATTTTCCAGTACAGTAGTAGACTCTCACTAGACAATGCACAGCTTACTACTTCAACTATATGGAATAGAAGCGTTGCCGAATATGGCAGCACTGTACTGCACTTGGATCTGTACTCAGAGATTTGACAACCGGAAGCGAATTTCGCTTGTCGCGACATTTAAGTAGCCACTGTGCAGTACCAATCAAATTTTTTTTTCACCTATAAGGATTTAGATAGTATTGATTACCAAACTCAAAATATCCAATAATCAAGCTACACGCAACAAATGGGAACAAACGATAAAGACCAACCAAAGTGTCCGATAGACACATCATCATCAATTACCTCATGGTTTTGGAAAACCAAACAAGAACCACCAAAAGATATTTCCGCATGTCCAGTTGACCACCATACGACCATTTCAAAACCAATAGCCACCAACACCATCACAACCGATGACCAACCGGTATGTCCAGTAGACCACAATACTCGATCAGCATGGATCAAGAACGTTTCAGTCTCAGTCACCACCCCAAATGAAGCCGTCGAAATCCCTTCTTCTTGGCTATAGCGGCCCACACTAAGTTCACGGTAGCTGTGATGGGGTTGGTTGTGGACGAATGTCAACCTCCCCAACGAACGTGAAATAAGTTCGATTCCACGAACAAGATCAAACACGAACTGGATCTATCCCTCCCAAAAACAATTCTATGAGGCCATGAAACGAAAAAATTGGAATCCTGATTCTACCGACATGCAAACCGTCGTCCCCATTCATAATTCCGTTAATGAAAGAACATGGCGTCATATCATGTTATGGGAAGAAGCCAATCATGAAGAAGCTATGGCCAAATGCGGTGGGATTACATTGACTAGTTTTAAAGGAGATCTGAAGAAATTAACCCCTAGAGCATGGATAAAGTCGGTGATTGGACAGGAGAAGCCGTTTGATAGACATGATTGGGTGATTGATAGATGTGGGACTAGAGTTGAATATGTGATTGATTTTTATAGCGGAGGTTCTGAGGGTGTATTTTTGGATGTGAGACCAAAAATACAGACTTGGGAAGGGTTTAAATTAAGAGTAGGTAGAGCTTTGGGATGGAATTAGTTGGTGTGAAAGATCCAAGAAAATATGTAAATAGCACACGATATTTGAACTGTTGTTATTATTATTATTATGTAACCCATTACAGTGAAGAAATAGCCATTTGCGTGATAAGTTATAAATAATCTTCTTAAATATATATATACAAAACAACTAGAAATTTAAATAACAATTTGATATTCTATATTTATCTTCTACCCATTAATGCACCAGTTTGACCAAGTCTTTGCATATTTTCTCCAACTTGAACATTAGTTTCGAAATATTTAGCAACACATCTATCCAAACAAAGTGATTCTTGTTTAGTAATATCAGATTCATTATAAGTCTTATTGATACATTTATTATGACATTGACTAACTAAGGCATTGAACATACCAGTAACCATATCTAATTCAGCTTCTGCAGCTTGAAGCTTTACACGTCTTCTTTGAACTCCAACTCGCTGTGGTGGATTAGGCTTGTAGAAATAAAATATTTGTTTTGTGAAAATGGTATGTATACTTTCGTATGGATCAAAATATTAAACCCTTTTTCTTTTTCTTTGAATGGCAATTAAAATTTTTCAATGGGTTTCTATTTGGTAGAGGCAGAACCCTCAAGAGAACAGAAGAAAAAAAGAAATAATCAATTGTCGTAAAAAATGGAATGTGTCATAAAAATTATACATTTGTCGTATTTATACAAGAGTACATAATAATATAATATAATAATAATAATAACTTATAAACCAGGGAAAGTAATTAAAGCATGTCCTCCCCATAATACCTCATCAAGAGGGATAAGTTCCTTAAGCACAGCCATATCATCTTTCTTTTCCGGAACAAAAATAACCGTACCTTGACCCATTATAATGGTCTTTTCGCATAAAGAAATAGTACCCGCCATTCCTGACATTCTTGCATTTAAATATACTGGATTTTGTCCAACTGTTTCAATATAAGATTTTGTAATTGCATGATTTACATCGAAATAATATCTTAAAAATCTCCATGTTTGAGTTTGAATATTTAATACTGCAATTCTTAATAAATTTTCATTTGTTGTTGCTAATGGTAATCTTGAAAATCTCGATACATCAAATTTATCACTCTTATAAGGTTCTTTATCATAATGTCTCAAGAAATCATTTCTTAATCCACCTAAAAAGAATAAATAATCACGTTCTTCATTCTTATAATATAATGCTGAATGATGACAACTTCTTAATTCAGCTTCTTTTAATTCAGGATTCTCAACTAAATTCTCCTTGGTATACCTTGAAGCATCATCATCTTCATCAGGAGCTAATGGAATATTGAAATAATCATAAGCATAAGTAATCACTTTTTCCCATTTGCATGATTCAAATACAAACATATAGAAATCACCGAAAAACTTCATCGATTCATTACATCCACCTTGGACCATAAATGCTTTATCGCAAAAGAATTTCTCCGGTTTAGCTTCAGCTTCATTCACTGCCGCCATACTCGAAGCCCCCACTCCTCCTCCTACTCCACCACCGCCGCCGCCACCACCACCACCTACTCCTATACTACTCCCACCACCACCGCCACTTCCCTGTCCTCCACCCCCAAACTGAAACGACCCCGTACTACCAGTCGTACTAATCGCCGGTGATTGAACTCTCTGGTCAATGCCACACAAGATCTCATCCCGCTTCCCACTCACATCCAACGTACAATTCTCTTCCACTACCCCATGTCGATGATCAATCAACGCAGAAGCGAAATATCCCCTCGGTTCCGGCCATTCTACTGCACCATCCTCATCATCAAGCACAATATCACATTCACGATCAGTACCCACCGTAAACACTAATGCTTCTGGAAGGAACGAAAATCCAATCCGACAAAGTGGGTCTTCTTTGGTTGCTAATTCAATCTTGAGTAGATCATTGGTGGCTTTAAATCGCGTGATATCACTCTTATGAGGAAGGTCGCCATCGTCTTCCACTTCTTCTTCCGCTTTGTGGGGATGTGGTTTATTTTTCACAACGGTGAATCCTCCAAATACAAATACTGAAACGCTTGCCAATGAAGTCGGCGAGATTGCGTCATCGAATAATGGGTTTTTGGTCTTAGTCGCGTCGGAATCTATAGATTCAGTTTCATCATATACTAGACTATTATCAGAAAGAATCCGATCAGGGGCAGGTACAGCCTTGGGACATAGTGTAGCAGTAGCAACAGGAGTGCCATCAACAAAAGGGGTGACATCAGCAACAGTAGAAGGAGTAGCCGATCTCTCTGGTTCACTTTCACTTTTTGTAGTTTCCATTATTGGTTCTCCAAAAAACGTTCCTGTGGTTGCAGATGTGGCAGATGCTGGAAAACTATATGTACTACCTGTAGATCCAATTGGAACACTACCACTTCCACTGCCAGCACTGGGCATACCTCCAGCACTACTACTTCCACCTGCACTAATACTACTAACAGGACCAGCAGAATAGTCTGTTTTTCCTCCATAGTCAGACCCAAACGATGATTGTGAAAGTGTGAATGGTCTTTCTTTTGCAGCAGAACTTTGAATCACGGGAGAAACTCCCCGGCTATCATTATTAGTACTACCACCTGAACTATTTGAATCCGATCTCGGTTTTCGTTTTGTTGAATAAGAATGTTTCAAAGGATGGGGAGATTTGACAGATGGGGTTCTGAGTGGAGATTCTTTAGATGAACCGGATTGTGAATTAGTATTAGCCATTTGTACTCCATCTGACGGTGTATGACGATGTCTATGGAATATTCTGGTTGATTTTCCTAATACATTTACCATTTTTGCAGTTGCACTAGATGGGGTCTGAGGTGAATTGAAAGAACCGGAGGTTTGAATTTGTTGAGCAGCGATATTGGGACCAATCTTTATTTTTACTTGTTTGCCTGGAGTTTTAGCTGAACTTGTGGAATCTTGGGAAGAATATTGAGAACTACTTGAAGTATTTGTTGAAGGATTGGTGATTATCCTATGAAGCTGAGGATGTTTGAGCGTATTTGCCATCGATGCAAGAGGACTTGGTCCTCTACTTCTCAGTACAGCAGATGGTGGAAGCCCAGGGCTATTTTCGAGTTTTGGTGCATTACTACCTTTTGTATTAACACTGGTAGTGCTTGGATTATTCTGCTGAGTTGGGATTCGTACAACAGGAGTACTTTGTTTATGTGTGAATACAGGTGGCAGAGGGATCCTACCTGGAATCCCGCCTTCTTCATTATTATTAATTGTAGGATTCTCATAAATATTTGAACATATTGCAGTACCCAATCGAGCAATTTCAACTCCTCCACTTTTTCTTTCAAGTTTAATCTTGGTAAATTTCAATGATATTGTATCTATGATATATCCATCTTCATTGGGGATTAATTTCTTATGAAGTATCCATCGATTGATTTCCGGATTATACAGTACTGAAGTAGTTTGAAGTTCAAATCCACCATAAAAGAAAAAATGTCTAGGTGATATCTTTGTAGATGACATTGAAAGTATATGACCTGGAAAATCCTTATTGCTTGAAGTATCTTGAAATGTTACTGATCCTCGTGAAGCATTAAACATAAAGAATTGTTTATATGGTTGCATAAAGGGACTTGTTAACATTTTGACATTGACAAATGGAGGTAATTCATATGGGAAATATACAGATATTTGAGAAATATCAACATCCAGAGGTAAACCTAAATTCTTAAATGTAGTAAGTTTACATACATATAAACCACCAAATACATAAGTTAAATTATCCAGGGTGAAATTATTTTGAAACGTTAATTTAGGAACATCACTCATCAATCTCAATTGATGCTTATTATGTTTAAAAGTATTTGGAACATTATAACTGACTCTTGGAATTGAGAAATATCCAGAAAAAGCACCTGCGCTTTCTTCTTTAATTAAAACTTCTCCAACTCTTTGATCTACTTGTTCTTGTATTGGTATATGGGCTATAGAAGCATCTGAATCTTTACGTGAAAAGGCAGAATGTTCAATTTGATTAATTACCATTTTTGGTGTAAACAGATGTTGATCATAATGTTTTATTAGTTTCTTCTTTGTTGAATATTGCAGATAACTATCATAAGTAATAACACTATAAGGTACATGATAACCATGAATCCAACCAGTTTTATTCTTCTCTAAGAATTCTGCTTCCTTTGCATTTATTCTTGCATATTCTTCTGGCTCTAATTGAGCTACTCTTGCTGATGGATGTAGATGAGTCATTGATGGATTCTTACTTTCAAATGCCAAATCGAATGCTGAACTTGTGGGGGAAGGATGATGATTATGTGGTTGAGGGTGATAGTGGGGATGTAGATAGTGGAAAGTCTCATTTAATGACCTTCGATCAGCTTCAACCAGTGAAGTGTTTAAAGTCATTGACGTCAGTCCATCTAATTGCAGCAGCAGAATATCTGACATTGTGTTTATAGGAATCTTAAAGAATTAAATTGAATTGAATGTTACAGATTGAATGTTACAGTAAAGATGTATTTTTTTTGGTTTTTACAACACATTGTTTTTTTTTTTATCTGTATGTCGCTACCAGTTGTAACTTTTTTATATGAAATTGTTCGATCGCGATTTATTTTCCCCCTTCCTTCCCCCCCCCCCTTGTTATTATTAATTATTATTATTATTATTAGATTTTGCAACAAGAAACGGTAGTCAATCAGATTCGTACGAAAGAGACAAAAGGGATTGGTAACTGAGAGAGATTGTTGTATATTGAGAATAATTTCTAACTTCAGATGTCTTTAATTAGAGTTACCAGCATTCTCTTTCTCGGAATTGATCACCAAGACAGGTGACACCTAAGGATAGGCGTCTCGGTGACACGTAAGGATAGGCGTCTCGGTGACATAATGCATCTCGGTGTGACAGAATTTAGTTTGTTAGTAGATGACATCATCATTTGGTGCAACCCAAATTGATTCACATATTCTTACTTTAATTAACTCTTAAGTCATTGTTTAAGCGTTGTCTATTTATGTACCGACTTTATTTATTATTCATTCACTTCTAAATAAATAAATCTACCAATCTAAATCCCCTATCTTGCTTGTGAACTATGACACATCATTTTGTCTTAAATATATTTTATTTAGGTAGGCTGACGCCTGACTATATATTCTCTACACTACTCGTTTCATGCTCTCTTCGAAAAAAAGATAATTAAATAGAATAAGCTGTATTTTTCAAAGGATTCCAGGAATAAGTGTTGCAATTAGCATATAAATTAATGCTCATTATTTGCACCCAATTTGTTTCATCAAATATTTGGACTTAACATATCAGCTTTAACTAAAGCGTGAATCTATAAACAATGTTAGTATATCAAGATCACTCCACATAAAACAATAAATAAGAATTATACATACATCTTGAATTGAAGCATTAATAAATTGTCTAACTTCCAAGACCAACCATACTTTAATCATACTCAATGAATTTTCATTCTTTAAAATCTCTCTTCCATCCTTCAGTATACCTAATCTTCTTAATACAGGTAATGAACTAATCAGAAATGTTAGTATAAAATTTGCTTCTATTTTTTTTTTACTTTGGAATCTCACTCAAACTTGAGAATGATACTTATTCTATGTACAAAAACTATGCTATTAAAAACATGCTAATATCATTCTCAGTAGGAAATCCAAATAACATTGCATATACAAACCTTGCAAATAAATCTAATTCTGGATCCAATCGTCTGCCAATTCCTTCTAATAATAAAATCGCCACTACAACTGTTACAAAATCACCTTCTATTCTAACGTGATGATTTCTAACCATTCCCAATATTTGATCTAATAAATCTCCAATGCTAATATTTCCTAAAGTAAATGTCCGTTCTTTCATTTTATCAACCAATTTTTCAACTTTGATTGCAAATATTTCTTTATTGATTGCAGTTTCAGGAGTTCTTGAACGTTCAACCATTATTTCACCAGCTCTATATCCATCAAATTCAGATAATGCTTTAAATAAGTCAATGAAATTAACTCTATCTACTCGATTTAATTCAGTTACTAATCCAGTATCTAAGAAACAGATTTCTGCATGATATCCTTCTTCATATAATTCTTCCAATCGATCACACCATGCTTGTTGATCATCACCTAATTTTAATAATTCATGAGTAATTCTGTTTGTATCAGCTTCATTTGAAGTCTTGACAATTTTATATTCCTTTTCATGTTTAAATAATTCATTTTTATAGAATCTAACCATCATATTACCAGGATGTAAATCGGCATGAACAAAATTATCTAGAATTAACATCTTCAAAAATGCATCTAAACCTTTATCACTAACTTCTTTGGATAAATTCTTACCGAAATTATCAGTAAGTGACAATAATTTACTTAAAGGTATACCAGGTATAAACTTTTCAACCAAAACTTCACGACTTGAGAAATTAAGATATGGTTTTGGAAATTCAATATCTAATCTACTTTTAAAATTCTCTCTAAATCGAAATAAATTCAATCCTTCAATTCTTAAATCTAATTGTAACTTCATTAAAATCGAAAATTGTTCAACCTCATCTGGTAACGATAACCATTCCATTGTCGGAATAATATTAATTACATTCGCAAAAAATTTCATAATTTTTAAATCTCGATTAATCTTAACTTCAACCCTAGGATGGAGAACCTTAATAGCAACATATTGATCAGAAGATAATGGATCTTGTTGTTCAGTCACTAAAATATTTTCAAAGAATTGTTTTCGTTTAATATTATCTTCTTCTTCAATATGTTTAAATAATCTCCTTTCCAATTGTTCTTCCTCAATAATCCCTCTTTCCAACACTTTTTGACTCAATTTCCCAACATATACTTGTGCAATTGCACCCACACCCAATGGAACTTCTTTAAATTCATCAAAAATCTCCTCAAATGCCAACCCACCAAAACTATTACTTATAATTCGTTTCGTCTTCCATAAAGCATGAGGCTTCACGTTTGAATGTAAATGACCCAATTCTTCACACATCTCCCTCGGGAAAATATCAGTTCTAGATGCAGCCCATTGTGCTAATTTTATAAACGATGCTCCTGCAATTTCCGCAGTCCATCGTAAATATCTATACCACAATCTAGCCCCATCCCTGACAATAGTCCCATCAGATTGTTTTCTTTTCTTGCCAAACCAGCATATGGGAGATGATACAAGAACAGGAATGAAAATGAATGAAAGTTCAATAAATCTCGCAAATGTAATACATGGATCCATTATCAAATCTTCAAATTTAAACCGTAGATAATAAAAGACTCGAATGATTGGATTTGCATGGGCCAATTTTTCCAGTCGGTGTTTTTCATATTGTTGAGATTCTTCGGTTTGTGAAGCACGAAATAAACCCATTTCATATGTTTCTACTCCCTTTTCCGGGAAGAGTTCATGGATTGGCGTGTCGAAACTTTCATAATCGTTTCGTAAGATTTGATCTTCTTGTTGACGTTGTTTGTATATTATGAAAGTGGATATTGAAATACCTAGACCGGCACCTATGAGTTTACGAGATATGCTGGTTGGGGATCGTATAATTGAAGGACTGGTGTGTTTGATATTGGTAGTAAATGATCGAGTGAGTGCTCTTAATGGTAGCGTCCGGATCGGCCTTAGTGAATTCGTTATTATCATTGTGAAAAATTTATATCTCTGCCATATGTCCACTTGACTTGATCTGTAATCAAAAGGAAAGTAAGGTATTTATGCTTGTAGTCAAACGAAAATTACACTGTTTACATAAATGAAAAAGATTGCTGTTTGGACCACGGAGTTCCCACGGATGATGGTACCACGAGATGCCTAACCAACCAGAGCAACAGAACAAAGCAGAAAAAAAATTACTACGAGACTGAGCTACCAATTGTACCTAAAAATAAACCGGATACATTGTTCTACAAACCTACTTAATTCTCTCATTGTGACCTTGTTCATCCACGAAATGGTTTCTTAATATAGAAACCCAAAGTCCGACATTTGCTGTACCTTTCGAATGGGTTTTTGGTCCCCTACGACTCACAATTGCATCGTGAGCATTCAACACATCTAAATAGACAGGAATCTTAATCCAATCTAATTCATTTAATGAATCAATTATGAATTTTCTGTCTTCACCAACCGGTAATCTGGTCTTTTCTGTAAAGGTTGGGAATGATTCATAATCCTTTGATTTGAGGAAAGGAGTATATTTCCTGGCGATTTCGTCGTATTGATCATAGTTTATTTTTATTGAGACATTGGGGAATAGCTTACCTGCAACAACTTTATTATCAATCAGTGAGCCATTAGTGGAAGTTACAGTAGCGGAAGTTGGCTCGTTTGTATGATTTTCATGGGAAATTCTGTGGACTTTGGGTTTCCCGTTCAATGCAGAAGATGAATCATCAGTATCATCCAATCCAGGTTTTAAACTTTTTCCAAGAACTCTATCTTCGGTATATAACATTCTCTCTACCATGTTATAAGTAAGATCTGACGTTTCTTCATTAACTGAATGATGATGCTTTGCCAAATTTTGACGTTCACATCTCTCTTGTTCACCTTTTTTAGCATCTTCTGGATCAACTGGTTGTGTTCCATATACAGAATCAGTAAGTTTCATCCAATGCGCCAGCAAATCAGGATGATGCACAATTTTAATCTTTATGCTACTATACAATGTCATTAATGAACATGCAATTAAGGAAAATGGAGTCCAAAAAGGTAAGAACACAAATATTGTGATGAATATAAATAAGGCTCTAGTAAAGATGTTTCTTCTTATAAATGCTGGTTCTTCTTGTATGTTTCCTCGGAAATTGCGCATGTCTTCATCGGATAGATATCTAGTTCTTGTAAGATCAACAAATTTCGGTTTGACTACTTTACTGGCTACTAATGCTTCAGGTAAATCTTTCAAATATTTCACTTTGATTTTATTCCAATCATCACCAAATGGAGAATATTCACATATATAAGACGTGAAGAATGCAACTGTTCTATCGTTCTTGATACTCGCTAATAACATTAATTTTTGAAATTTCAACAAACCTCGATAATATTTGGAATTGGGTTGTGCCAACTGAACTAATATTTTTGCATTATCAGCAATAAATAACTCGGCTCCTGATTGTCCAAATAAATAAGGACCAGATTTATTAGCAATATATTCAAAAGCATTCTTGCCAAAGAGTTTAATTCCAACATGAGGTGAAGCGAATGTAGTGAAGAATACTGGTTCGATATTATCGAAGAAATCCAATTCTTCTAATAATCCAATCACATATCTTGCAATTAATCCTCCTAATGAATATCCAACAAAACTAATTTTAGTAACTTTTAAGTTATTCTTTTCCTTTAATGATTCAATTTCATAAAACAATTCTTGTGTAACTTTTTTACTATTCAATTCTATACCATCATAACTTTTCCAAAATCTAAACGATCTAGGTTTCATAGTGACAATTTGTTCTTGGCTACATTCCGGTAATGCTTCATTTAATAATCGTTCAATGGTGGATAAATGATCCGGAGTTCCCCATAGCCCATGAATTAGAACAAATAGATGAGCCGGCTTTTCACTGGACGCTTGTATATTAGAAGAATCACTATCACTCGGCATACTTGAGACACTTACACACTATCTAGGAAGAAAAGAGATGCGTTTAGTTGACGAGATGCGTTGGTGTGACTTTAAATATGCATGTGTTGTTACAAAACCCACTGCCCTTAAGGCCTTAAAACGCCGTGCACGTAACACAGTTTCTAAAACATCCGGTATCCGTCTCGTAAAATCTTTCGAATCAAAATTTTTCAATTTATGAAAAAAAAATGTTCTTTTTATTTTTTAAAGTTTGTATGTTTGTCTCTCTATCAGTTTTTCGCAAATCTCGATATCTGTTTTGGAACATCACCAACAATATAACCGTTTTAACTGTAAATACAACATATACACAAACTGCATTATGGCACTCTTTGGATCTTCAAAACCAACATCATCAGCATCAGATTCTGCTGGTCCAAGTATGAAAAATCAACAATTAAAACAAGAGATTCAACAACAAATATCTCAAGAATTAGCAACTGCAAATGCAACTGAATTAGTTCGTACCATAACTGAAAATTGTTTTGATAAATGTATTTATACTCCTCAAGATGCTTTATCTAATCAAGAAAATCAGTGTATTAATTTATGTAAAGAAAAATATATGAGATCTTGGAATGTTATATCAAAAGCTTATATCGCCAGAATTCAACAAGCTTCCGCTCAACAATAGAGAGATGGGATCCGCTGCTTTTAATGATGAATAATGTATTTATATTATAGAGATTTGCTTGGAGATCTAAGTCCAAAATGCAGGATATGAAGTGATTTAAGTCTGGGTAGATGAGCTTAGTCCATATGTCACAAACTGTGAGTTTTCGATTTTACGTTTCAGTTTTTGAAATCATTGTCCAATTAGGATGTTGTCTTTAGTTTCCTGATCGTGATTAATGTTTGTATATAGAGATTATCTAATTAGTCAAGATGAGACAATTATCTGTACAACTTCAGCCGAAAAGCTCCTTGAACATCTTATGTCTAAGTGTGGTATTTCCAGAATTCTCTAATGGCATGCGCTGCCTATATTTGGGGTATTATCTCAGTAATCCCCGAAGAGCGAGCCCAATGAACGATACTTCTACGTCTCTTGATATTGTTTTGTTCAATAACTTGGGTGACAATATCCGTTTAAACTCTTACCAATTCGACCACCCACATCTGTCTGATGTAAGAAATCGTTTCTCATTCTCACTAGAAATCGAAAAGCTAGTCATTGGTATGTTTGTAATAACATGTGGATGTGCATCTATTCTTTATCAACTACTTACCAAACACTTTTTTTTGCAGCAATTTGAACAGAAATAGTTCAACTCGCCAAACAAACTCCATTTTGCAATATCTTCAAAATACTCATATATACTCTCATTGACGTCAAAACAGACAACAACTTACAATGTCCTGTTTTGCATATACGTACCAACTGGAGCTCCGTTGTTGTCATTGATTGAATAATTGGTTGCCAAGAAAAAGACTATGTTGGCAATACTTTTTTTGGTCAATTGTTCAAGCGACTATTTATAATTGGTATAGGCCAACATACTTAACCTCATTAGCAGGGTATTGACCCCGAATTGAATGATTTCTACTAATCATGTTGGTTGATGGAAACATGTCCTTCTTTAATTTATCTAATGAAATGGTCGTGTACAAATTTCAAAACTGAATGAAAAATTGGTGGTGCGAAAAATTGCCACTGTCTTTGGGAGGGAGCTTGAAATGTACCTGTAGATATCTGACAGCCATCAATTGATTAGCATTGACAAATCTCTACACATAATAAACGACTATCTGTTGTACGTTTGTTGTCATCGTAGTCTTATAAGGTCACTTTATGTATGTCTTCCAATTGAACACAGATTCAATCCATACTCAGACAATGGTGGTACCGTCCTAGGTATTGCAGGAGAAGATTTTGCGGTATTGGCAGGGGATACTAGACAAGTTGAAGGATATTCGATTCAATCACGTTATGAACCTAAGATCTTCAATGTTGGTGACGATATTTTGATGACTGCGAATGGGTTTGCTGCCGATGGAGTTGCATTGATAGATAGATTTCGTCAACAATTAAAATGGTATAAATTTGATAATGGAGGGAAGAAATTACGTATTCAAAGTGCTGCCAGATATATTCAACATTTATTATATGGAAAGAGATTTTTCCCATATTATGTGAGTACTTTGATTGCAGGATTGGATGAAGAAGGAAAAGGTGCTGTATATTCTTATGATCCAGTTGGATCTTATGAAAGAGAACAATGTAGAGCAGGTGGTGCAGCTGCTAGTTTGATTATGCCATTCTTGGATAATCAAGTCAATTTCAAGAATCAGTTTGAACCTGGAACTAATGGGAAAGTAAAGAAACCATTGAAATATTTATCTTTGGAAGAAGTTCTTGAATTAGTTAAAGATGCATTTTCTTCGGCTACTGAAAGACATATATATGTTGGTGATGGTTTAGAGATTTTGATTGTCACCAAAGATGGAGTGAGAACTGAATACTATCCATTAAAGAGGGATTGAGTGAATCCTCTCCACAAGTGTATATTAAAACTGATAAATTTCACATACAAATAAAAAAAGAAAATACATAAAAAGCGAAAGTATTATGTCAATTGATGCTCTTGTCTATATTGTAGTTATGTACTTACTCCCTTTTGTTGTAACCAAATAGCCGTTGTTGCTCTTGTGTTTTTTTCAGATTCTTAAACTGGCAATTCAAATTTCTTACCTTTCATAACCTTTGTATAATAAATATAAAAGAAATCGGAATAAATTGCTGTTTGAAGGATACCAGCCAACACAGAAACATAATCAAAATGGCCTTCCACAAAATATCTATAAATCCAATTTGGGATATATAAAGCACGATAAATCCCCAATGCAAAAATATAATGAGTAGTTATATTTTCAGCTTCACCAAATCTTTGTAATATGAATAATTGAGGTAAGATAGCAAGTGCCTCAAGCCAAAGACTGAAAGACCATACAACTTCACCAATTGAATATTTATGAGTAATTATCAATCCAGCAACAGCTGATGCTCCAACTAAATATTTCACTGGGAAAGTATCAATATCATTCTTGATTGTTTTTTGATATTTATAAGTCATGACATAAACTGTATATATTGATGATGCAATAAAGAAGACTTTCAATACTGAATTATAAAACGAATAAAATTTTGTGAATAAATCTAGATATCTTGTTACATAAACAAGTACATACATCACTTGAGTCTTTAATGATAAACCATTGATTGATCTATTCTGTTCAATGGCATATAATAAAATGAATATACTCGCCAAATGAGAAAGATCTCCAAGGATACGAAAGATATTCATATTTGATTTGCTGTGTGTTTATTGATAAGTCGTGGTTAATGATACTCTCCAAGTAAGTAAGTAATTAAGAAAAGTACAATTGATAGAGAGAAAGTTAGTGTGCTGTCTGTTTTTTTTGGTTGCTCGAGGAATCTGTCAATTACAAAAAAAATTTACCTGGAAATTTATATACAGGAATTTACCTATCATTTCCCAATGCCACCCCCTTGCCCATGGCGGATATCAACAATAGCCAACCTACAATTCAAGATCTTGCAATAACAACTCATATTCTTGTTCTTCTGATAACTTGTCATTATTATTGTTATTACTTTGTCTTTGATTGAAACCTATCTTTTGGAATTTATGACCTTCATAATCCAAATGTTGTTGATTATATTCATGTAATTCTTGAGTAGAAGTAAACCATTTACCAGTAATATCATCATTATTAATATTATTAATAAATTGTTCAATATGAGATAAATTTAAAACATCATTCACAATATGATTCTGTGAATTTGTATGGAATAATTTAAATCTACCTTTCTTATCAAAATATATCATACTTGGATAATTACTAATTTCATAATCGGCAATTATATCTGTAACGTCAGTAGATAATTCCATATCACAGATTGCGAACTCTACATCCTTATTAGATGATGCTAATTGTTGATAGAAATGAACTGGATAATTATAATCTTCCCAATCTGAAATATATGACATTGTAAATACAATTAATCGATCATTCTTATTATTCTTGATGAAATCACTTATGGTAGAATTCTGGAACACTGAAACTTTGGATTTATAATTCGCATTATTAGGTTCAACATGAACATTCTGTCTGAAATATTCCATAAGGGTATTCAAATCTCTTCCGTACTCATAAGTAAATATTTCTTTTGTTTCATATTGAAGTAATTTCAATGTTGGAAAGCTATTTATTTTAAACAATTCACGTAATCTTGGATTCCTTCTAGCATCAACTTTTAATACTTGGAATCGTTTATGTTCATTGTCATCGTTTGTCAAATTATTATATAACACGGATAAATTTTCAAATGTAGGATTAAATTTATGACAATATTGACAATTGTCAGAATAAAAATAAATAAATGAGAAATCCGCCTTTTCTAAGGTTTCTTGGATCAGGGAGTCTTTGAGTTCGATGAGATGATCATTGATAGAATCCGTGTTTGACGATTGAACTAGTATTAATAGGAATTGTAGTAAGAATAATAAAGTTGTATTCATTGTCAATATTAAGCGACTCCTGATTGCCCTTATTCTAGCCAAGACGATAAAGAATGGGAAACCCTATTATTGTTCTTGTTGGTCAAAAGGCTAACTGTGACTTCCCGTTTGTGTCTTCTTAGACGAGAAAATTGAATGACGTTCATATCTGATGGAAAAGATAAAAAATAAAATGAACAAAAGAACAAAAGTCAAAAAAAAAAACTCTAAAAAATAATCCAAATTTTTTTTCTGGTGTGCCTTCCCAATTAGGAAATGACTAACCAGCAATTTATTTGTTCGAGATCTGTATCAATGGCTAACGTCTAACCAGCCTTCGTGTGGATCAGCAAAATATAATAACATTCGAGAAGGTCATTATTCCATCAAAGGGTGCTGGCAAAAATGTCTTGTCTGATCATTCTATAACCAGCTCCCCATCATCTTCCAGAAATGAAGGCCCTATCATCATTGTATTTCTCTTGGCTATATATTTACTGAACCCTCCCCTTGGCTTTCTTTCAAATATTTGCAACTTATATTGTTTCTTTCTTCAAACTTCAAAGACAATATTATTAACATAATGAAAGCATTACTTCCCTTTACTTTATTAGCAAGTGCAGCCTTAGCTGCTTCGTCATCTAGTTTGCAGACTGTACGATTCACAATTATCTCCACAATCCCATGCAAAGCATCATCATCCACATTCTTCCCTTATCTGAATAGTTCAATTCCTACCACCTCCACTACCTCATTATCACAATCTAGTGGCCAATCAATAATATATCAAGATGAAACTGAATATGAAAATGAGACAGTTAGTGAAATCCACACAGTTTGTGATTCATATTCACAATGTTCCGTGACTACTGAAGTTCATAGTTACACTACTTATACCACTACTGTAGATGGTATTTTGACTGTCATCACTACTGAGATTCCATCGTCCTCCGCCGAAAGCGAAAGGTCAGAGTCCAGCTCAATTTGGAGTGAAGAGGCCACCGAGACCTGGAGTGAATATTCAAGTGTAGTTGCCAGTGAAGATGCTGCTGTAATTTCAAGCACCGAAATTGCACCAATTCACACGACAGCTACTGAAACAGAAATTAGTACTACAGTTGTCAGTGTACAATCTTGTTCCGGTGGTATCTGCACAGTATCATACCCACAAACCATAGCACCTAATTCACCTTCACCTTCACCAGTTGCCAATGAAGTCCAATCTGCAGTTGAAGCTCCAGCTAATCAAGAAGTAACCACTGAAACTGAAACTGATTTCTACACTACCGTTATTACCCAAGTCACATGCAGTGATGGTACTTGTACTTCAGCACCTGTGACTACTGGAGTTCAAATCATCACACAAGAAGAAACTGTTTATACCACATACTGTCCACTTTCTTCTGAATCTTCGCTATCATCTTCATTAAGTTCATCAGAATCTTCAAGACCTCGTCCTGCTCCAACTACTACTATTAATGTCATCACCAATAACATCATAACTGAGATTCCAACCACATCTACATTTTCTGGGGTAATTGCTGCTATTGCTGCTTCGAACTCTACATCTCAATTGTTTGGTGGCCCAGAAACCACAAGTCATCCAGAGTTATCGATTTACACTGGTGGTGTCGGGTTACATTCTGTTGAAATCACCGGTGTCTTAAGCATTATAATCTCATTTATGATGTTTATATAATAAAAACCCCAATGCATGCCTTTTAATTTTATACCCAAACACCCCATGCTATATTCATCTGGGCCACTTTTATTTTTCTCTTAGTGTATTAGATGTTATAGGGTGTATATAGATCAATTGATAATAAACAAATATTTATATGCTGTAAACTTTACGTCCAAGAACAAATCAATCAATCATGAACTCTGCATTATTTAAGGAAAATCTATTTGCAACGGTCCTTTCCCCAAGATTTATGCAAGCAATGTTTACCGAGTGGCCTTGGCCGGCCTGATTTGGTTGCACCAAGTATAAGTTTCTAGATTACTCTACAAATACTCCCAATCCACCAATGAAGTCTCATACTAATATCACTCACTATGATCTCTGGTATATATATACGCACTTAAATCACTTCCATAACAATATTTTTATAAATAGTTCGAAAACAATTAGAGCAGTTGCTTCCGTGTTCTATTTTTTTTTTCTGAAACAAGAAAATCAACCATCACCAGCATGGTGTTGTGATGATGGATGGATAAGTGAGTACAAACAATAATTAAAACAAGACTTCATTAAATGCAAGTAGTCAACTAGGACTATCATCGGGTGATAATTCCATTTTTGATATGGTCATGTCTTTATCATTTAATTTGATGAATTCCTTAAAGTTGTCAATAAGATGAAACCTTGGTGGGGTCCTCCGTAGTTATTTTTGGATTGTCGAATGTTTTTCTTTTATTTTTTGTTTGAGAATTCCTTGAACAAATTTACACGACCTTTCGAGGATATACTGCATATAAGCCCTCTCTTACAAAAGACATCTCTGAAATTGAGTGTTGCCAAAATTCAACTGGAAAGAAGATATTCACATTTGGAAGAATAATAGAATTGTATTCCATATAGAGTTATGGATGCATATAAGGAATTTATAGAACCATCAAGGGTTGGTAATTGTGTTGGATGCAATTTTATGTCAACAACTACCAAGAACCTTATAGTTGGCAAAGGTTCATTATTACAAATATTTGAAGTGATTCTACTAAAACAATCAACCCCTTCGAAACCACAGTATAGACTCAAGCTCATAAGTCAATTCAAATTACATGGAACGATAACTGATTTGAAAGCAATTAGAACCATTGAAAATCCACATCTTGATTATTTGATGGTTCTGACAAAATATGCAAAATTTTCAATAATAAAATGGGATCATCATTTACATACAATCACAACGGTGTCTCTCCATTATTATGAAAGTTCAATGCAGAATTCAACATATGAAAAGTTGGCTGTCTCGGAATTGCTATTGGAACCTACTTATAATTCCTGTAGTTGTCTTCGATCAAAGAATCTACTATGTTTCCTTCCGTTTGACGTTATCGATGATGAAGAAGACGAGGATGAAGACGACGAAGATGAGATTGAGATGGATGGGGAGAAATCTGACATACTAGTCAATGAAGAAGTACCGATAGCCAGACCACGCGAATCATTGTCATTCTACGATGCCAGTTTTATCATTGATGCCCAAACATTAGACTCTTCAATTGAAACAATTGTTGATATGCAATTCATGTATAATTACCGTGAACCTACTGTAGCCATATTATCCCTGAAATCACATTCATGGGCTGGAATATTACCTAAAGTAAAAGATAATTTGCAATTTTCAGTTATGACATTAGATCTACAAACAAAAACGACCATCTCAGTATAGTTTCATCTATTAAATGGAATACTTTAACTATCTTATCATGGTAATGGTAGTGGCTTAAATGGTGTATTGTTATTAGGATGCAATGAAATATTTCATGTTGATAATGCTGGGATTGTTAAGAGAATCGCGGTGAATTCATTTACTTCATTGGTAACTGCTTCAACTAAGAACTATCAAGATGACACTGAGTTGGCATTGCCTTTAGAAGACTGTTGTATTGTACCTATTCCCAATGATCATCGAGTGTTGATGGTCTTGAAATCTGGAGAGTTTTATTATATTAATTTTGAATTGGATGGGAAGACTATTAAAAGAGTTCACATCGATATAGTTGAACCCAAATTATATGAGAATGTCAAATTAACGTATCCTGGTGAAGTAGCTGTATTGGATAACGATTTATTGTTCTTTGCCAATGAAAATGGAAATAGTCCATTAGTGCAAGTCAAGTATAGCGATGCAAACCAGAGTCACATAAAAAACGAAAACCACGCAAATTGTGTCGATGAGAAAGAAGTCGAAGATGAAGACGAGGATGAAGATGATTTGTATAAGGAAGAAGAGGAAGAAGAAGAAAAATTAGTTCTTGGGAAATCTCAAATTGAATTTGTTCATCATGACGAGCTTATTAATAATGGACCCATATCATCCTTCACTTTGAGTGTTTATTCACCTGAGAAATTTAAATCAAATTTGCCTAATCCAAACTATAATGAAGTATCAATAATCGCAAATGCAGGTACTCATTCCCAACTGAAATTGAATATAATAACTCCAACAATTCAACCGATCATTGCCTCATCATTGACGTTTTCACAAGTGAATCGTATGTGGAATTTAAATCAGAAATACTTGATTACTTCAGATGATATCAATTTCAAATCAGAAATCTTTCAAATTGAAAAGTCTTTTGCAAGATTGAATTCCAAACACTTTATAAATGATGAACTTACAATAAATATGCACGAATTAAACAATGGGAAATTCATATTACAAATCACACCAAAGCAGATTGTTCTATACAATAACGCGTTTAAGAAGAGGCTTTCCTTAAATGATGAAATCAAGGATGACGAGATTTTGTCAAGTATATTAAGGGACGAATTCTTGATGATCTTTTTGGCAAGTGGGGATGTTATGATCTTTTCAATCAACACATATAATGAATCATATTCAAAAATTGAAATTCCAAAAATGTTGACGGATTCAATTATAACCACAGGGTATATCGCCAATTCCCATTTATTAAGTGCCGTACTGAAGAATGTCAATTTATTACTTAACAAGGGTGTGAAAAGAAGACATAGTTCTGTTTCTGGTTCAACTCCTGCCTCCACTCCCGCGGCTAAAGTTGGTCATCAGACTGCAGCATCGCGCCCACAGGGCCCGAAACTGAAGACATTTATTTTGGTAACTGGTGATAATCGAATTGTCGCATTCAATAGATTTCATAATCAAAAATGTTATCAGTTAAATGATGTGGATAGATTTACAGATAATTTAACTTTGGCATTTTTTGATCCAAATGAAGCACCACCAGACCCTTTCATCAAACAGATTATTCTTAGTGAGCTTGGAGATAAATACCACAAGGAAGAATATTTAACGATATTGACTATTGGAGGTGAGGTTATGATGTATAAATTATATTTCGACGGGGAGAATTATATGTTTAGAAAAGAGAAAGATTTGACAATTACTGGTGCTCCAGAAAATGCATATCCACAAGGAACGATGATTGAAAGAAGATTGGTTTATTTCCCAAACTTGAATGGTTATACATGTATTTTCTTAACTGGTATCATTCCTTATTTGATTCTTAAACCTATCCATTCAATTCCACGAATTTTTCAATTTCTGAAAATCCCAGCAGTTTCGATCTCAGCATTTTCGGATTCAAAGATTAAGAATGGGTTGATTTTTTTGGATAATAGTAAGAATGCCCGGATTTGTGAATTATCCCTTGATTTCATCTATGAATTCGATTTACCCATGAGACACATCCTCATTGGTGAACTGATAAAATCAATAGCCTATCACCAAGCTTCCAACACTTATATTCTTTCAACATTTAAAGAAATTCCATATAATTGTTTAGATGAGGACGAAAAACCAATTTCTGGATTATATCCTGATAAACAGCCGCGGGCAACTTCATACAAGGGATCAATTAAATTGATATCACCATACAATTGGACCGTAATTGACAGTTTCGACCTTGATGATAATGAAATTGGGATGAATATAAAATCGATGATATTAGATGTTGGATCAGCAAGTAAGAAATTTAAAAATAAAAAGGAATTTGTTGTTATAGGGACTGGGAAATATCGTATGGAAGATCTTTCTTCAAATGGTAGTTTTAAAATCTTGGAAATTATCGATATTGTTCCAGAACCTGGTCGTCCGGAGACCAATCATAAATTCAAAGAAATATTTCAAGAAGATACTAGAGGGGCAATAACTAGTATCTGTGAAGTTAGTGGCAGGTTTTTGGTAGCACAGGGACAGAAGGTAATTGTTAGAGATTTACAGGATGATGGGGTGGTTCCAGTTGCATTTTTGGATACTTCAGTTTATGTTTCAGAAACGAAGAGTTGTGGGAATTTGGTCTTAATTGCCGATCCATTAAAGAGTATATGGTTGGTTGGGTTTGATGCCGAACCATTTAGAATGATTATGTTGGGGAAAGACTTACAACATCTTAATGTTAATTGTGCCGATTTTATTTGTAAAGATGAAGAAATCTATATCGTGGTGGCTGATAACAATAATGTCCTTCATTTGATTCAATATGATCCAGAAGATCCACAATCTCTTAATGGTCAGCGATTACTCAGTAAGGCTGCATTTGAAACCGGGTCGTCTATAAGTTGTCTAAGATCTATTCCTACATGTGAGTCAGACTTTGAATCTGGAGAAAAGAAGGCTACACCTGGTGATGATACTCAAATTATTGGAAGCACTAGTGATGGATCTTTCTTCAATGTTTTCCCAGTTGATGAATCTACGTATAGAAGAATGTATATTTTACAACAGCAATTGACAGATAAAGAATATCATTATTGTGGATTAAACCCTCGTTTGAATAGGTTTGGAGGTGCGATGAAGATATCTGTAAACGAAACTAATGCTAAGCCTATGTTAGATTATGATTTAATAAGATCGTATACTAAATTGAATGAAGATAGAAAGACAAATTTAGCAAGTAAAGTAAGTTCAAAGAATATTTATCAAGATCTTTGGAAAGACATTTTTGCATGTGAACATTCATTAGAAGGAATGTAAAAGTGGTGTAGTTGTATAAAGTATAAGAATGTATAGTATTGTAATATAAAAAGAACTATAAATTTTGGGTGCAAAATTGATAAACCTCCTGTTGGTGGGTGGAGGTGGCAGCGGTGGCTCGCCCAAAAAAATTGGCCCAGAAAAACAAAAACTCCGTTGGAGCAAAAACTTTCAATTCTCAATAACCACTACGACCTTTCTGCTATTCATCATTCTCCCCCAGAAATGGCAAAATCAAAGTCAACGAGAAAGCAAGTCTCGTTCAAGAGCGATCATAGCACACCAGAATCAGATACTTCAAGTTCAACCAAACTTTCTTCCAAATCAGCCAATCCTAGTGGAGCTGGCGTGGGCAACAAGGTGAATGGATCAACCAGAACGTCCTCTACCTCGACCAAATCATCAGCCAATGCAGTTCCTCAAATAAAGAATAAAGCTATTCTCATCCCATTTCATAATGTATTAGTACTCTGGAACATGTTTCGTCAAGGATTGACTGAAAATATTGAATATACTTTGTTTGTGGGGTTTCTTACCTTGATTCCAATTCAATTAGTCTATAATTATTTGATAATAAGTCAATTAAAAAAGAAATCTAAAGATTTGAATGTTCCTTTATTAATCGTATCTAGTGTTATCGTGAGTATGGTATTATCAATCCCACTTTTAATTGTGATTATATTATTCGGTGGACCAATCTATGGATTTACAATTAAGAACATTTTATTGGCGTTACATTTATCTCAATTAATATTCAATCCTTTGATTGTATTATATGCTTTGGATTTTAATCAATTTACCAAAATATTCGAACAAGATCATATTTATAGATTAATTTTTGTTCATCCTATTTTGTCTGCTTCTTTATTGACTGTTGCTGGATGTTGGTTGGGTGCTATTCCTATTCCTTTAGATTGGGATAGACCGTGGCAACAATGGCCAATCACTTTATTGGTTGGTGGTTATATAGGAGGTGTTGCTGGTGGGTTGCTTTCACTTGTTGTCAAACCAATTGGAGCCTAAATGAGCTGCGTTTCAAGGCTCCAAGGCACTCATATTAAGTCGTCCTGTAATGGGAACAATTCTTTTATTTATTTATATATTAATATGCCTTAATACACGTGATACACGTAATACAACAGCGAATATAGTTGCCAGCCTGTAGTTGCCAGTGATTTCTCTAGAAATCAAATGATAAGAGGCAAAGGTCCAACTTTCCAGATATCTGAAAATGAGGGCAAGTCGAACCTATGGCTGTTACAAGAGGCAAGCACCATTCGGTTCTCAGAGTAAGAAAACTTAGAATCGCTTAAAATGCAGAGAATCTTAAACCTGTAACGAAGGATCTTCTCTCCCCGCGTAACACCCCGATTCAGATCTAGAAAACAATTATAATTCTAGCCCCGATTCAACAGGATCCACATTGTTCTAGAATGATCAGATTGATTATTCGAAGTAAAATAGCAAAGTCCGAGAATGTTATAAATGGTGATACTGGATCATTCGCTGTTGAAGAAAAATGGGAGATTGAAACCGCTTTAGGTGGCAGAATCTAAAGAATACAGCCTAATTGGACAGAAATAAAAACAACAGCTTTAATTTCTCCGCATTGGAATCTCCATTTTGGTTCTTATCAATTTGCAAGAACAAAAAGCTGGGAAATTAAGAATAAACACAGAATATCTCGTTAATATAAGATTTGCAGCATTGGTGTTGTTTGTAATCAGATAAATCCGAGTTTTGCTCGGTGGAAAAAATCAATTGTGATGATTACATCATCTTAGCGAGATAAGCCTTATGTTTAATGCCGAGATGGCGAATCATAGTGCTGAGTAAGCAGATCATACTATAGGCGTTTGGAAGTCAAGCTAAAGTGTCTCGTATAAACTAGCTTATGTAACTGGACTTAAGCTGAATCTGTTTACTAATTTATTGAAATCGAAAAAAGGGATGGGAGCGGAGCCTCGCTCCCGAATCACCTTTTTTTTTATTGTTGCGATAATCACCCGCACTTACCTTCTCCGGTGTAAATTCTAAGAAAGAAAGAAAGGGGGGGCTGACTATAAATACTCAATTGATTCCACGTTGTTGTCTTTGACATCCTAATTTTATTTTTATCTTTTTCTTCTTAGTAATACAGATTTGTATATTAATCAATTCCTTATAATATTTACAGAAAAAATGTCAGACGAGGGTGCATTCCCAACTAAGATTAACCCAAAGTATATTCCATATACTAAAGATAAAGATGCCGTAATTGCTTGCGCCGTTCCAATTGAATTGGATTTAGCTCATGTTTTCAAAGGTCATAAAGTAATAGTTACTGGTGTCCCAGGTGCTTTCACTCCAACTTGTACTGAACAACATATTCCAGATTACTTAAAGAATATTCAAGAATTTAAAGACAGAGGTGTTCATAAGGTCATTGTCTTATCTGCCAATGATCCTTTTGTCATGGCAGCTTGGGGTAAGGCATTAGGTTATCGTGATGAAGAAAACTTTTTCATATTTGCCAGTGATCCAAATGCCGCCATTTCAAAACAATTGGGTGAAAATTATGTTGCTGATTTAACATCTGCTGGATTTGGTTTAAGATTACAAAGATATGCTGCAATTGTTAATAATGGTGACATTAAATTCTTAGAAAATGAAGATTCTTTAGGTTTCACTGAAATTTCTTCTGCTAAGAACTTGTTGGAAAGACTCGAAATGCCATAGTAGTATAATAATTTAATTTTAGTATAGTAGAATTGGGTTACATATTTTGTAATGGATTATATGTATTTTTTTACACATCATCTTTCACTCTTTGCATGGACTTTTAATTATAGTTTTAGTTGAGTTTTCCATACATAAATGTCACATAAAAAATAAAAGTTTTTCAAGAAAATTTCTAAAAAATAAATTTTCCGCGTTTTTGCTTTAACCACGATTTTTTTTTTCTGTCTGTTGTTGTAACAATCAAACTAATTACCAGAAATTGGAAGGAAAAAAAATCACAGCAAAAAGCGGCTAAACCATTTTTACAACCAATCAATCAATTAATCATACTTTTAATAACAATTAATGTCAGTTCCTCGTTTCGTTGGTGATACTGACGACGAGCACTCAATACATCTCAATAGTCAAGTTGGGAAAGCTATGCCATTACCAAGAGAGCCACTGTTAAACTACACTAGATCACCAAATCAACGAATGCGAAATAGTTACAATTCATCACCCACACCACCTCCAACACGAGAACAAAATATGTCAAGAATTGAAGAAGAAATGCTTGATACTTTAGCAGCTGAAACAGATAGTGAGTATGAAGGGGTAGACTACGAAAAAGGCTTTCAGACATATATTCTTGAAGGTCATAGTTTTGATGAAACTGATGAGTCCGATTACGATTACGAACCTAGAGCTTCACCATATGAAGATGAAGACTATCGTTATGAGTACCACTATGAGGATGACGATAATGATGATTATTATCAACGTGACTTACAGAAACTTCCAAATGGGATTCACAGAACAGGTAGTGAGACAAGAGATACTTCTACTTCATCATTATTCGATCAGATAGGAAATATGAGGCGACAAACGAGATCTTCCACGTCCCGGCAGAGAGATTTCTCACCAACCCCACCATCATCAGACGAATATCTTAAAGGAGACTCTTATTATGAAAATGAGGGAGAGGTTGAATCTCCACTGCCACTACCTGAAAATAGAGTATCAAAATCATTCAATTGGATAAACTTCCTAAAGCTTATATTTGCTTCTTTCATACTTTGCTTATTGGTATATGTCCTATTTTATGGTGAAAAGTTTACTACCCCAGATCTGGTTATCTGGGGTGGTAGACTGGTTAGTCAATATGAAAAAAGAATTACACAGTTGGAAATTGAGAATCAACAAAATAAAGAAGGAATCAATAGCTTGGCAAATGATGTCAATTTTATTAAAGATAGATTAAGTGATACCCCTGTATCACTGGTAAATCATCAAGTACAAATCACACCGGAATTCCACCAGTTTTTGTATAAATTTATTGAACATTATAAAGGCAACGATGAGAATATAGAAGAGAAGATGTCCAACTTTATGAATACGAAATTGTCCTCTTTGAATATCACTAGGCTCGAAGAAGTTAGTTCTGAAATTCAAAAAATCAAATCTGGCAATTATACTGAACAACTAATAAACAATATTATATCCAGCTTACGGCCTCAACTGGAGTCCCACAAGCAAGAACTTTTGGAATTTACGAACTCCGTGCTAAGTAAATCATTGGATCATCTCCAAGAAGAAATGCAACTCCGCCTCTCAAACATGCTTGCTGATTTAACAATACTAAACAACACTGTCTATACAACCCCAAAAGCTAATGATATCTGGGTACGCTCGATGCTTGATTTAATTTCACAGGGATCAAGAAAAGTTAACTATGCCGATGCATCACTTGGTGCCCGAATACTAGGATACTTTCGTACTTTACCACACCCGCTTAAGGCCCTATGGTGGTATATGTTTCCCCACGATGGCGTTTACAATGCCAACCATGTCATCATAGATGATGAATCCGTTTGGGAACCGAATACTGCCATTAAAGAATTAGGCATATATTTGTCTCAATCTATCATTCCTACTGATTTGCTTGTTGAGTTTGAAGAAATATCCACTGGCCACCATTCCTCCGGTACTATTTTAGAAATTGGACTCAAACCGGCTAAGACATCGGATTTTGCTAAATTGAGGAATTTCCAAGGATTTGACCTTTCGAAGACCAGAGATGGAAAATATCTCAGTTCTTTTAAATTACTCAAAAAGGTTAAAATAAAACCGGGTTTGGTTCACGTGAGTCTACCTATGGGATTCATAAATTTACAAGTCACGGGAAGGCATATGTACTTTAATTTCAAAACTAATCCAGAATCTGCTACTCTTAGGGTCAGGAATGTTAAAGTATATGGGATAACTGAATTAGATGCTGTGAAACATGCCGATAGGTTTAAGTTATTAGTCGACCGATTCAATGAAGCTGAAGATTATAGAGATGACGCGGTGGTGAATGATGGGAAATATACGGGGAAAATTGATCATGTTGAGCATTATGACCTCAACAACGACATTTATTTGTAATAGTAATAATTTATTCATTGTTAGCTGGTATTTATTTTAGATATTGTAATATTAATTGTATCTTATTAGATAAAGATCTTTTACCCAAACTCTGCTTGACAACCCAACAAAACTCCTAACAATGGAGAAACATTATACAGTTTATTGTAAAGCCGTTTATCGGTTTCCATAATAGTCACAGGATCTTTATGAGTCTTTGGTGAGGGATGCATCTTCTCTAAACCTCTTTGCCGCCTTGAAAATAGTCTAAAAGAGTTGAAAAATATGTTTCTGAGAGTGTGTTTTAGAGAGACTATTTTTGGGTTTAAGGAGAGCGCTCCTTCTCTTTTTTTTGAAATTTGAAGGTTAGCAATCCAGATAATATTCAGAATCCATGAAATAATATCTTATCCCCTGTTAATTTGGGATCGGAAACATGTTTAGAATTTAAACGATGGGGATTGCATGTGCTTAGTTGGTTCAAGCAACAACATCGTTAGAATTTCAACGAAATTTTACACATATATTACCCGTAGTCAAAGCTCATCGCTGAACTTTCGGAAAGACTTCCATTCTTGCGCTACATGTTATCCGAGATGCATAGCAAACAGCTGACTCTAGGTTTTAACAATGTAAAATGTAATCCCATTACCCCCTGTTTGACTAAAAAACGAGTGAAAACTTCTAAAAATAAACTTACTGGGTTTAGTTTATGCATGTAATTAAAATTGAAAAATAAAATGAATTGTACCAAAATTATTATAATTAGATTAATTAGCAATAAAATTTCAGGGTAAATTTGTTTATTCCTCAGATGATCATATGATTGACATGGGAGCAAGTAACTACCCTTTGGGTTTATGATGCGACAACAATAACTTCGCCAAACTAATAACAAACATCAACCCCGTATCTGCTGCAAAATATAACACAAAAAAGAATGATATTATTTTTAGCAACGTTTTTTCAACCTGCAAAAGACAAACAAACGGAAGGTAGGCTCAATGACGAAACAATAGAAATAATATAATTGCTATACAGTGAGGTCGTGTAATTCCATCCATTACTCAATTTGATAAATTGAAAACCTAAAATGGTTCTCATCTCTTAATAATTATCGAGATGATTATTATTTCAAACCTCGACTTTACAGGTTATCATTTGGATATTTCAGGTTTTCAGTTCTCAAGACCTTTTCGAATGACAACTTTTCCTCCCCCGAAAGACAGTACAATAACCAAGGTCATCGCAATTTGTAATCAGATAAACCAATTCAACCCTGTGACATCTTGTTCCCTGGAAGTTTATACATACAAATTTCAGTTGCCCCTAGGTTATAGTAAAAAAGAAGGTTTAAACAATAAAACCATTTTTTTCATTATTGTCTGGGCGTTTTGGAAAACGGAAGTTTTGGGGGTAGCGGGAGGCTTTCGTATAGGGCCGTTTCAATTGTCATTTTTTGCCCACTTTTTGACGTTTTCCCTAACTACTGAGAATCGGTTGGTAATTCTACCATACCCAGAACAATTTGACTTTCGAGGTAAGTCCAGATGTACCCTCAGCGGTCCGTCTCAGAGATCACAGAAGAAAGAAGCAGCTTGTAGGAGCAATTGCTAGTTATGCTAGTTAGCGTTTAGTCTCTAAACGATGAACCCTGACAGTATATAGTAACAAGAACTACGTAAATCTCTATTTTAGTGTTATTGATTATATTTATTTAGAACTTTTACTAGTGGCATTAATAAAAGTCTACATATAGAAAAGAAAACAATACTTAAATTTAGAAATAACGAAGCTGAAAATACATAAAATTATCAAAATGATTGATATCCTTTCTTAAAAAAAGCGTAAATCACTCAACGAGCAACCAACTGTTTCTTTTAAGGCTTCTCGAAAACGTAACATAAAACAAAAAAGCAAACCTAGCAGTTATAATAAGCTCCTCTCTTATAATAAAGCAGCAAAGGCCAATAAACCTGCAGCCACAGCTGGAACAGCATTTCCAGCAGCACCAGCAGTAAGAGTTGGGACAGTTGGAGTAGGCGTAGTAGTAGGTTTGGTAGAAGTGGTTACTGGAGGTCCTTGTCCACACCATCATCACCAATGACCTCCACCTTGTCCACACCATCATCACCTTTTTGGAGGAGGAGGAACAGGTGTGGTAGTAGTGGTTACTGGAGGTGGAACAGGTGTGGTAGTAGTGGGTTTTGGAGGAGGAGGAACAGGTGTGGTAGTAGTGGTTTTTGGAGGAGGAGGAACAGGTGTGGTAGTAGGGGTTTTTGGAGGAGGAGGAACAGGTGTGGTAGTAGGGGTTTTTGGAGGAGGAGGAACAGGTGTGGTTGTTGTAAATGTACTACAAGTGTTTGAGCTACAGGAAGTGATGGTGACAGTCTTGATAGACGTTTCAGTTTTAGTTCTTGGTTTAGTACGTGTCTTAGTTGTTTCGGTAGTAAGTGGACAGTAGGTGGTGTAGGTAGTGAATGGCTTGGTAATTGTAGTAACACCGGTAGTAACAGTCTTGGTGGTACAACTGGTATGTGAACAAGAAGTAATGGTAATCACAGTAGTTGAAATCACAGTTGAGGTACTGGTTGCATTGTTGTAGCCGCAAAAAACGGAACCAGCAAAAAGAGCGGTTAAGGCGATAATTGAAAACTTCATTTGTATTTGTCTTAAGCGAGTGATAAAAGTTTCGTGAGGAAAAGAGAAAAAGAAGAAGAAATCCAGCAGTACTTCACTGGAGAATTGGATGGGGATTTTGTTGGTCTTTTATATTGTAGAATTCGAAAGAAATTCTTTAAGAGACTCAATTGTAGTTTTTGCAATCTTGGAGCCAAATGAACCAAAAAAAGGATTCTAAAAAATAAATTATTTTTTAACGCACCTAAGGTTAATTTTTTTGCTTTCAATTTGAAATTGCAAAATTGAAAAATATTATTCTTCGTAATCTCCAAAGTGTAAAAAAGTCATTTTAATAATTCCCAGGGTCGTGTCCCACGGAAATATAACTTTCTAAGCTTGTGCAATTAGGGTTTATTTTAGTTTCAATCCGGGGGGATGAAGAAGGAGAACAAAGAAAACAAAGCCAATGGTCATCTAATCTTTTTTGTCAAATTTATCCCGTTCACCCAAACAGAAAACGTTATTTTCGCTGATTATAACAGTGTCAATGGTATTTTATTCCACGACAGACGTTGACCTTGTTTTCTGGGAACCGTTCCAACTTGAATATCCTAATACGCCAAGCTTACTGGTAGATGCACACTTTTCCAACGTATCGAATGTGTAAACATTAATAAGTTAAATATAGAAACAATCCGTAAGGCAAAGGAGAAATATATTTTTATTATTGCCAAAGGATTTCGTGCCAGAAAGCAATACTAGCAAATATTATTGCGTTGTTAATGACTCATTTAGTTCAGTGTTATTCCATTTAGGGAGTATCCTGCTCCTATTCTGTCCTTTCATCATCTCTTTCCTCTATTTGCAAATTTCAAATAGCTTTTTCTTTGACGTTTTTTAAGTCGGGTAACAATAAAACATCGTTGTTTTGAGTAAAATTCGCAACCCAATCCCCAAACTCAAAAACTTGGAGGGACCTCGAAATGGTCCTGCTTAAATTTAGAACTAACCCGGATTTACGGTACTAGTTGTTAGTTTATATACAGATCTATTAATAGAACTAAGGTTGTACGTACATTAGGTTGTCAAGGAGTGTAATCGAACAATCGTGTATCTATTGCTTCCAGATAGTCATTATTCTAAGAGATCTCATGTCTACTGATGCTCAACTCATCCAGATGCTTCCCGACGATGCCGAGGCTGTTTCAAGCAGTGAAACTAAATGCGTTTCGAATCGTTTCGTTCTAAGCTTTCGCTTTCATGCATTTTATGATCCTTGGATTTCTTATAGACTGTAACTAGCTCGCCAGTGCAAGTTTCTAATGCGAAACCTCCCCCAACCAACCTGATGACTCTACCCCTATACGACGAACTCCCACACAGATAAAAATAGGAACTTTTCATGGTTGTCGGTTAAATTGCACTTCACTTACGGAGTACTTTCTTTCCCTGATGCTGAGTCACAGCCAACAATGAGAGGTTTTATTTTATTTGCGCTAACTTTGCATCTACTGTATAATAATTCGAACAAGAGACTTTACGAGTGGCTTTTTTTTTGATATCACGCGAGTATAATTGCATCTTAACAATAAATGCCGTCACCCCCTTTGGCCAAGCTGATCTTAAATCACTCTCAGCCCTCTCGCCTTCCATTTCATTCCTCGAAATTGGCCCATATTTAGTTGGAAAGGAACGTATCATCTGAGCCTGTTATTCAAGTAGCTAATCTTTATAATTTGGATTGTGAAATCCCACAGAATCTGAAGCCCACTTGAATTCTGACATAATTGAGCTACCAATCCCTGAAACTACAATAAAAGTCAAATGAATCATATGTCAAACCAATACCTGATCACCATGTGAATTGAAAAAGATAGAATCTGATTTGGTGCTATATTGGCCTTCTTTGCCCGTACCAATAGCAACGCATTTCTGCTCTACCCCGACTAATTCCTCTATATGGAAGACGAGGTGTAAAATAAGACTAGAAGTGACATGACTGGGCTCCGTGAACCAATTGAACTATACTTGCTCAATCACATCGAGGGAGAAAGATTCCCACCCTACAATACAGTAGAGAACATAATGCATAAACAAAGCATCATACTCAATAGGTTATGGTCAGTAGTAGACAGTGACACGAGTCCCTAAATATAGCTAACAAATCTCCATCCCAATTGTGCCATAAATTGAATTAGAAAATCCATCTGGACTTCTAAATTCTGCCTTTGTAAACCACGGCAAAGCCACAGTCAACTGATTTTCACTTAATTTCTATGGCATGGTCTCGGAGGAGTAGTCATTGGAACACAGGTTCACGGATGTCTTAAACCAGGGCTATGGTTTCCTTTTTAAGCCAATGCTTATTAACTCTTGAACAAACAATCGATTCCATCTCACAGGTTATGAGCTCGCTATAGTTAAACAAAAGTTTCCCAGGGAGGTATGGCCCCAGGGACCTTTTACTTCATCTACAGCGTTCTCATAATCGGCGGGGTTTAATATATCATTTGAGCAAGTAATTCTAAGGGATCAGGTCTTAATAGTAAAGAAGAAAAGGAAGAACAGCAAAAAAGATTAAAAATGGAAAATCTCGTCAATTTGGGTCCTTTAAATATTCAGAAATTCTTAAGAATCACATGGTAGTGCAAAACTCATTCTCTAATAGTCAAGAAATTGTTGTGTGTTATCATTGGCTACCAGCCCTTGACAAAAAATTAGTTACCAGAAGCGTCGATGATAGTAAAGTATGGACACCACATCTCAGGGGAAGGGGGTGACATGTACCATCTCGGTTACAGAAACGACTGTAAATAGTGAAAATCATGTAGTATAGTATCATATAATCAGAACTTGTGGGTACTGGACGACGCGCCACGTTTTGAGGCGGGTAATGTTCGAAAGAAATCACTGTCGGTTTTAGGGCTAGTAGACTAACATAGAGCCAAATATTCATATCTACATTTCGTTTCATAGAAAGTCAGTTAAAAACACATGAACAATCATTAAACAAATCAAAAACAACATACTTTAGACTATTTTATACTTTTCTAAAAAAATTGCAGAAAACCAATATGGCAACAAAAATCAAAATCAAAACCACAAACAATCATCAACCTTATTGAACTATCAAAATGCTTACACTCATTTCAAATAAACCTTCAAAGTGATAATTTCAAATCCTCTCAATGAAATATCAACAGAATAATCATCATTAACCTTTAATTCCTCTTTATCATGTTCCAACCCACAAGTCTTAACCACCTTATCAACATTCACAACATTCTTATCAAACTTAACTCTGGCATTAGAATTACCACCTAATGACTCATAAATTCTCAACACGATTGATCTTTCCGGCGTATCAGTTTTATATGCCGCATACTGATTCACATCAAAATCATTCTCACCTCTCTTAATATGAGACAAAACAATTGAACCGGCATTTTCCAATGTAATAGCTTTAAACAAATCAGAAGCAGCAGCTGGGATTGGTTTCGTCACAAGCTTATAATTGAAATTATAACCAGCTCTAACGGTACTTTCACCCAAATTACCAGCATGAGGATAAATTGCATATTCAAATTCATGATAATCTCCCATATCAGCTTTATTATCTGGAGCTTTTGCACTTCTCAACAAAGACAATCTGATCAAATTACCATGAATTGCTCCTCCATATTTACAGTTGTTTAAGATGGAGACACCATAATTGAATTCACTCAAATCCATGAATTTGTGATGGGCAACTTCGAATCTAGCAATATCCCAAGAAGTATTGTAATGGGTTGGACGTTGGGTAATACCGAATTGAGTCTCGTAATTGGCGGATTGTGGGGTGTATAAAGTGGTTGGGAATTGGACCTTGAGGAATTTGTAGTTTTCATGCCATTTAACTTTACTTGAGAATTTAAGATAATTGTTATCTAAGTTCTTGGAAGATTTCAAACCAGCAAGGGAAATAATCGTGGTGTTTGAAGATTCAGATGAAATCTTATGATAGAGTTCAATTGAAGATTCGTATTTGTCATTGACCAAGATTTTGGCTTTACCGTTGGTTAATAATTTAAACTTTTCCAAGGAATATAATTCAGTATCCCAAGCTGGCCAATTAGTTGGTTGATCATCGAATAAAACAAATTGATTACCACCAACAACACTGTCACCTGTTTGATCAGTTGGGGTGGAGTCAATGACTTCACGACGGTTAATTTCGTCATACAATGAGGTAACAATACCAGAAGAAGAAATCTTAGCAGTAAGCGCTCCATTACTCAACACAAAACCATCTTTAGTCTCCTTAACACTAGCGGGATAATCAAGTTTACTGTTAATCGAAGTAACACCACCAATTGTATTAACTGAAATAGCAAGAGAATCACCATCATCTTTAACAATTCCACATTTATTCTCACCCAATAAATGATACAATTCTGGTGATTCATGTCTATTGACATTAACCACTTCATTATATCTATCCCAAGGTAAGGTATTAACAAGACTTACATCATTCAATTTAGAAACCTTGCCTGAATAATGTAAAGCTTCATCAATAAGAGCTTGAGAATTTCTCAATAATGCTTCCAACATAGGATGAACTTCATCGTAATAAACCATTCCAATAGAACTACCAGGTAAGACATCATGGAATTGACATAATAATAAATCTTCCCAAAGAGCATTAATCTCTTTCGCTGGATATTTATATTTAGGATATTTAATACTTGTCAACCCAGCAATAAATTCTAAATCATGTAATTTAACTTCACCAAATCTCATATATTTCTTCACCAAAGCTTGAACAGTATATGTTCCTCTATGGAATTCCAAATAAATTTCACCAGTCCAAGTAGGCAATTCAGAACCGTTATTGGTTTTTTCCAAAACATGTTCATAGAAATCATCAACCGTAACACCTAATTGAACCGTTGGGATTAATCCACAAGTATTTGCCAATCCTCTACATCTTCTCAACTTCTCAATCATTTCTTCAGTTGGACCTCCACCACCATCACCATGGCCGTACAATAAGAGACCGGTGGGTTCATCTCTGAGATTCTTGTGTTGGTGTTGGGATCTGATCACGTCACCAAAATTTGCACCGGCGGTATACGTATTTGCTGGAGGCATGTGAACCAACACTTGGGAACCATCGATGGCTTTCCAATTAAAAGTACTCAAGGGGAATGAATTGATGTTATTCCAAGATAATTTTTGGGTTAAGAAACGGGAGATTCCTACAAGTTGACAAATTTGCGGGATTTGAGAACTGTAACCAAATGTATCAGGTAACCAAAAGATATTTGAATAGAATCCAAATTCATTCATACAATATCTTTGACCAAGGACGAATTGACGAATTAAGGATTCCCCATTTGGCATATTGGTATCATTTTCCACCCAAGATCCACCAATTGGTAAGAATTGATTATTTGTGAATTTTTCATGAATCTTATCGAAGATTTCCGGATGATATTGTTTCAACCATTTAAATTGTTGCATTTGCAGTGCCACGAAAACATATTCGGGATATTCATCAGCAATCCGTAATTGAGTAGTCCAAGATCTTACAATTTTACGTTTTGTTTCAGCAAATGGCCATTCCCAAGCAGTATCAATATGACAATTTCCAACTCCGAAAACATCAATTCTTTTGATTGAATTATTTTCAAATTCATCAAACACTTCTTCAGAATCGATCTTGTCACCCAACATCAGTTTTGCCAATTCTCTTCCACGTTTAACACTTTCACGATCATTAGGATCAAATTCGTTCATGATTCGATTACATAAATCAGCAGCTTGATATTTTTGCCAACCACCGGGAAATTCACGGGATGCATCACCTAAAATCCAATAATCCCAATGTAATCTTTTAGCATCTAAATCAGGAACATTCAAGTGAGCTCTATTTAATCTAAAATATCTATTTGGATTAGGCTCTCCATCATCTCCATTACCAAACATTCCATTACATGCAACTTCAATATAAAATAATTGTTTACCAGTTTTTCTATATTCTGGAGCAACTCTAAATGCACTTCTATCGCCACCTGAGAAAGCTTGTAAGGGGAATCCTTCAGAATTATACAACAATCCTTCAGATCCAGTATCCCATTCAATTTCAATTTGTTCATATTGCAACCAATCTTCAGGAATATCAATATAAAATTTTACCCACCAAGTTTTCCAGCTTGGACCAAAATTATGACCTAATCCAATATGATTCCATTCTACATTATCAAAATCGATATCTTTAAATAATGGACGTTGAGTCTTTCCATCAATATCAGGAACTCTCCAAGCCCGTAAATTTTGTATTTCTTGACGATGTAAATCATAAAATTTGGGTAAATTTAAATCACGATATCTTCCTCCATCCGTAAATTGACGTACTCTTGCTTCGTAAAGATGATCAACTGGCTTAAACCGTGGCTGACGATTGAAGTTATTGTAACTCATTCTGTTAAGTGTTGGGTCAATTGATCAATGGCAAATTAATAATAGAAGTGGAAAGAGGTGAAAGAAAAGGCGAAAGATATAAATAGTAATACGGAGGAAAAAACATACGAATCAGAAGTGAAGGGAAAGGAGAGACCAAGCAAGAGATTAAATTTAGAACGTGGGGAATCAGTGGCACAAAACTAATTCAGATGAACAACCATTGTGCAGGACAATACAAACAGCACAAGAGAATAAGCTTACAGAACAATAACCAATTCCATGTCTCTCTATACCCCCCTATAATAAAACACATAGCCCACCCCTTTAATTTATAAATTCACAAATCTTTACATGACTACTACCGAGGTATTACAAATCAAATTATCTTGTAAATATAAAATTCCTTTATAAACTACGCTAACTAAACCTATAACCTTTATAATATATTAAAGCATGAAACGATGGCAAAAACAATACGAAGATTCCAAATTATTGGATATGAACTTCTTGATCTTCTTCAACACTGTGAACAGCAGTATGAGCTTCTAAAGCTTGAGCATCACTACCAACTGGCAATTTAACAGCAAATCCCTTAATCAATTCATATTCACTGGTGATTTCTCCGCCGATTTCAGAAACCCACTTTTTGATTCCAGAAACAGCCTCATCACTGGCGTCTTCTTTTAAGGTGATAATATATGGTTTGGTACCCATGGCTTTGTTATTAGATGTCGCTGAAGTAGATGTAGATAATATAGTTGCCTTTGGTGTTAATGGTATTCCTATAGATGATACAAATATGCTGATAGTGATGATGACTGTTAGTACTAATATTCCAATTAATCTTTTGATATTATAATCTTTCATACAATACTTTTAAAGAGAAAGAAACAATAAAGATCTAAGAAAGAAAAGGAAGAAGTTAGTTACATTTTTTTTTCTTGTTTGCCACTTTGGGGTTTTTATAATTCAAGGATAGCATTTTTTTGTTGCCGTTGAGGTTATGATAAGCGGATTACGTAATCGATGCAACCACAATTTTAGGGAGATTTATTATCATTGCTACCTTATCAATACGATCTAATTATTCACCTAGGAACTCACATATGAGTAGTTTACTTAGAATGACAACAATTTTATATTACGAGCCATAACAGCCCTTATTCATTATTCTATATATGGAGCAAATCACAAACATTAAATTGGCTGCAAAAAATAAAAATAGAGCCAAATTGCAGCAGCAACCAATTGACCAAATTGCTTCCCTGTATGCATTACCATTATTAAATACCCTATATACACATCATTAAAATAAAACCATTATACCCTTAGATTCAAAAAACGAACGAACCAATTCAGACTTTTCCCTTTCCGCGCGTGTGTCGAAGCAATTATCTATCTCTCATGACTAAGAATATCCCGTGAACCCTTCTTAGGTTCGATATTATGAATATGCCGAACAAAGGATTCATCTAAATCTTCAAGACCTCCAGGAGGTAATCTAACATCAAAACTTTTCTCCAGTTTATTTTCATTAACAACTTGTCCACCGGCTAATGTTAGATTGTCTTTAAACATGGTGGCTTCATAATATGTACAATCTTGATCTAATGTGATCACAAAATATTTTCCTTCAATACGTTCCATTTTTATAGTAGATTTTGATTGGTTCTAGAAAGAAGTAGATAAAATTTCTAATAGAATTGAAAAACTTCAAGTTTAAGAAACAAATTGAGTTTATTTATATTACGAACGATTTGTTTTGAAAAATTTTATTCAAAGTGGATGATCAATCTCCGCTAATTAAAAATCAACCCACTTTTTTTTGTCTTAAAGGTTTTCTTTTTCGTTTTTGGCAGCCCCTAAATTGTGGAGCTGATTATCAGAACTACACGTATCTAAAGTTGTTTAACAACCTATTAAGGTACTCAGTGTAAGCTTGCTAATGGTACTGATTGTAGACAACAACATTTGCTAACTGATTCTGAAACAAACGTTTTTCTTGGAACTATCGAGCTACATTGAATTTGTTCGAACTTTTTTATTGTATTCAAGTTTCCCCTTGAAAAAAATGGCTAAACGGAACAACAAGATAACTGTTGCTTTTTAATAAGCACATGTTCCGAACTCGCTATTTAGGTATTTAAGCCTTTTGGTATTTTTAAGCGTCGTCTGAGTTTACATGAGTTACATTAGTTTTAATCTGATTATTCTTTTTGTCGATTCAAGTTTCCCCCAGTAGATACATGTAACAGAAGGAATCGTCACATCACATGTTTAAACATCAATGATTCCAAAAAGGAATCAATGACATATGATCTTGATCTGAGCTTATCATCATACAAACTCTAGTTTACACCTCACTACGTAGAGTATAAATATTTACAATCAATTCAATTTCGTTATTCAATATATACAAATATATACAATCATTAGCCATATTTACAAAATCAATTGAATTTCATGCATGCCATGCCATACTCATCATCCAACAACCCTCCAATAAATATCTTCTTTCTCGATCTCTTCTTCTCTCCCGCTTCCAATCACCAATCATCCAAAAACTGAATATTTTCAATCGAATCATGATCCAACCTCCGAATTCCATCAAGTGGCAACCGTATATCAAAACTCCTATTCAGAGGATATTTAATCACAATCTCTCCCCCAATTTTCCGTACATTTTCCAAGAATTGAGTCTTATCCCATTCAGAACAGTCTTGGGTTAGCGTTATATTATAGAAATCGGGTCGGTTGGAGGAATGTAATGGAGAGATTTCTAGGGGAGTAGGAGTAGTTGTGGTGGTGGTGGCATTCATTGTGAATATGAGTGGAATTGTATGCATCATGTTCTTGGAATAAATTCTTGCTATGTAATAAATTTAGTAGTCTTGTGAATTAATTCGATTTTTTGGTAATTATTATTTATATTTATATTATGACTATGGGTGGAGGGGGGATTTGGGCTTAAAATTGCGCTACTGATAAAGATTTGTAGTATTTTCTTTATTGGGGTTTTTCAGTATGGGGGGGTTTGAGAATGGCGGTAGCAATGTTGCAATTTATTTTTTAGTTTTAAATTATTTTTAGTTGAAACTAAAACGTTCTTTAATGCACCTCTTGTTAACGACAGTGGACGTATTTATAATTAACTTTATGGGTTTCAAGTTGGCGAATGCGGTGCAATTAAACAATAAAGATTGATTCTAAGTTGAAACAATTTCTTATTCTTGACCTCCTCAATGTGATGGAAAAAGACTTGTTAAACGATGGGGGGATTTAGGGGGGTTAAATAATGGGGGACAAGCCAGAAAGAAAGAATTTTCTAGATTTTTTTTCTTAGCAACACAATACATTTAACACACATGAACAATCTAATTTAGTGATACTTTCTTCAGGTAATTTTATTTCTAATAACCGAGAATCGGGGTATTCATGAAGTACTTCCCCTCCAAGATCTTGTACTTCTAATCTTAAATGTTCAGATTCTTGATCAGTACAAGTGGGGGACAATGTGAGGAAATAGCAACAATATTCTGGGGTGGGAACTCTGGGTGGTTGCGCCATTTTTCTTTGGTAGTTATGATATTGATGGACATTAGAGATTGGAGTGAGGTGTCAAGAACATTATATATGTTTGCATGTATTGTTTGCTATTTTCTGGAAGCATTGCATAGGCAGGGCTTTTTGATCTATGGTTGCGAAAAATGTCTTTTTTGACTTTTTCTTTTCTGGGTTCTCTTCAATTGCTGATGATTGTAGTCATCAGAAAGTATGTAATTACATCACTACAGTCACAAGAGAATTAATTATTAACTAGTTTGATAATTATAATCAGATTTGTATATTTCTTAGCAATTTAACTAACAGAAGTGCTATTCAAAAGAAACGGGAATAACTCCGTCTTTTTACCAAGTTGTTGTTTCCCCCTTGGAGTCATCAACATATTGCAAATGTTCAACATGAGAAACATCCAAATCATTGATCTTACCTCTTGGTAATCTAATTTCTAAACTATTATGTTCTGGAGTTTGTTCAATAATAGTCCCACCTAAATCTAAAACATTTTCCATAAGTTCTTTGACATCTCCCATAGAGCTGTCTGCTTTGATAGTAAGTTCGAAAGATTCTTTTTGACTCATGTTTAGGCTTGTGTGTTTGTGTTGTATAATAGTGAGATAGAAAGAATGGCCGAACACATGAAGGATACTGGGATACTTATATACCCAAAAAAAGAGCATAAAATAATTGCTTTATACAGCCCGTGTCCTCCCGGCCAGTTCTGCATACTTTAGGACTTATAATTGCTCATCATGTTCATTTTTATGCAAGATTACATCCACAGGGGGTTACCTATCTAGGTCACGGCCGAGAACCACGTTCTTTCCTATCTTAATTACGCTCGGGATAGAAAGTTGTAAAAATATTCCATTACCTATATAAACTTATAAAAAAAAACATTATTCATCATCATCATTAAATCATTACCATAGCCATGATTTGGGACCAATAGGTTCCGTACCGTTATCCAAAAGTACCGTAATCTATTCAGTCAAGTATTGAATACATGCAATAGTGTCCTGATCCAACTTTTCAAGATCCTCGGCTGCCATTCTAACATCGAAACTCTTTCTCTTTTTGCATTCTCTTACAACTTCTCCTCCACCTTTTGTTACTTGTTCAATGAAGGTTGTTTCGGAACCATCAACAGAGTCCTCTTTTAAGGTTACAACGCAAAAGTCTTTACTTTTAGAATGAGTCATCATTATTTTAAGTTTGATATCGTATACTGGTTCAGAAGAAGAAGAAGAAGAAGAAGAAAGAGGTATTGGGAGTATGGAATTTTTTATATAAGTAAATCCTACCTTAATATGGATCAGGGAATAGAAAAATTGATGATGACAAATTTGAGAGGGGATATTTTTCTTTTGACATAATATTTTAGAGTGTCATAATAAAAATTGATAGGTGAAATTTAAGATTTACGGTAGGGATAATCAACCGACCAATGAGGGATGGTCATGCATGTTTCATACAAATGTATTATTAGATATCTGATTTATAATTTCATTCAACACTTGATCTGATATTTAGTTATAGAAAAATTAGTTTAAATTTTCCATCAAAAATATTTCGCGGTGTTTATTCTCCATGAAACGATCTCATCTCAACAAATATTTCAATAAACTATGCAACTCAATTATATCAACGCATGAGATCAATGAATGACTTGGGATGAGAAACAATAACTAATCAAGATTGTCATCATCAAACACGTCCTTAATAGAAATACTCTCAATCCCATTAAAATCCAACTGTTTGATCGAATCAGGAGGCATTTTTACATCGAATCCTTTAGTTGTAGGATATTCATTAAGAATCTTTCCTCCAGTTTGACTGACATTTATTCTGATAACTCTACAAACCCTCAACCAACACAGACCTAAATTCCATTATTCCTTAACCCGGGCGGAGGTGAGGCCGATCATTATACGTGTTTCGTTTTCGTTTTTGCTATGTAGTAATGAAGGAACTGACTGAAAAGAAGTGACTTTTTGTTCCATTGGGAAAGTGCTTGCTTTATATATAGATGTAGAGGTACGTATTTCCATCGCTAGATGAGATGACAGAAAGGTCAACGTTGGCAAAAAAAAATAATAAAAAGCGTTGGTAACGACATGGAATAATGAGGTGTTTTTTTGTTCAAAACAAAAACCAGATCATTTTTTTTGACGATTACGTAATTGAAAAACCCACAAAATTTCTAAACTTTGTAAAGAACTTTAAAACTTAGAAGAATGCATACTCGTCAAATCTAAATCAAATCAAACCACATATTCACTCAAGCCACCTAATTATTGATTCAAACCCAAATCCCGAAATCAATCTTTTTTATTCTTATCCCGACTTATCAAATTTCCAATCAATCATGATCTATACCATAATTCCATCAAGGACCCCAACTGGATTAGACCGATTTATGAATCGATTTAGAAAGAAAGGGTTTTGGATATATACCGGAATAATACTCGGTTCTGTAGGATATATCCTATATGAAATATCTCGATTACCCGAAATCCCGGCCGAGAGGACAGGTAGATCCAAAAAGAAGCTGACAGACACCGCCACCGTGGAGGTTACGGAAGAAGTGTGGACGAAGCTGGATTGTGATAAGCAAATCCCCAGATCATCACAACTGGGGGCAGCCAAAATTGATCAAGATCATGATGATAATAATACCGTGAAGAATGACTTACCTTTCCAACTTCTTTTCTTACCTTTTCAACTTCTTCTTCTTCTTCTCCTCGAGGAGAAAGAACCCCATCCAACTGATGCATGGACCAAACGACAATTGTATGAGTTTTTATTTAATGAAAAGATATATCCTGATATTCATGAAGATATTTGTATAATCAAGCGGCAAGTGAGAGGGATTTATGATTTTAAAGTATCCAGAAGAGAACTTTAAGGTTTTTTTTTTTGAATGTTTGGTAAGATAAGGTAGTGGTTTGTGATTATTTTGAGTGACAATAACCACTATAGGGGTGAGTCCATTTAAATATCAAGGGATAACCACTATAGTTGAGGTTATATTTTATTTGTATATATTTTTGAAATAGATTTAATTATGATTATTTATGTAGAATGAATTTTTTAGTCGTGAGGACAATACTTCTGAAACAGAATGTTTTTCATGAAACTATAAATAGTCAATTAATCGCCGCCTACTTGGTGATTTTTTTTGCTTTCTTGATTTGATTGCAAATATCATCTTAAATTTATTCCTTACACAAAGAATCGTACCGGATATATGAATGGCTTAATTACATTGGATTTTTGTTTGTTCCTGCATACCTCCATTTCTGTGGCGCTACTAAACAAGGGCCAAATTTGTTACGAATAAATTAGTAAGACAGTCAGAAGGATACGGATGAGTCATCCGAAATGTTCGGGAAAGGTATGAGCAAGAGTCAACAAGCATTATTAGCAAGATAGATTAGCAAGTGATGAAAGCAATATCTGAACTTATCATAGATTGCTTTTGAAGATAGCAATTGAGGTTTATATGCCATGTGGTTTAGAGAGTTTATACCCCAAAATATCATAAAAAATGGTCAAAGCACGACTTATTTTGGATTAATTGCTAATTTTCAAGGGTTAAATAGAAGAGACCCGCTCTCGCTCAATTTTTTTTTGGAAATTTTGAATTCTCCCCTTTCTCCTCTTTACAATATCAATTGATATCTAAAACTAATAACAAAAATGGTCAAAGCTGGTATGTAGCACGAAAGCAGCAAGAAGAAGAAAGACCATAAAAACAATGAAAACGTCAATTGATTTTAAAAGGGCAATTGAGAAGATACGATAAGGGTTTCATATTTACATTTAATTGAATTTGGGTAATTTAATTTGCTCAATTGACAAAGATGCAATTTTACAAAAAAGTCAATTGATTAAGAAACCACTAGCCATTAACTCAATTGCAATTTTTAAAACACGATTGCACTTTGTAAAATACAATTGCCCTTTACAATAACATGTTTTACTAACAAATGAAAAATTCTAGTTGCTATCTTAAGAGGTGATTCTAAAGTTTCTGGTGTTGTTCATTTTGAACAAGAAACCGAAGCTGATCCAACTACCATTACTTGGAAAATTTCCGGTAATGATGCCAATGCCTTACGTGGATTCCATGTTCATCAATTTGGTGACAACACTAATGGATGTACTTCTGCCGGACCACATTTCAATCCATTGAAGAAGACCCATGGAGCTCCAGAAGATGATGAAAGACATGTTGGTGATTTAGGTAATGTTACTACTGATTCTAGTGGTGTCGCTGAAGGTTCCAAACAAGATTTATTAATTAAATTAGTTGGTGAACATTCTATTATTGGTAGAACTGTTGTTATTCATGAAGGTACTGATGATTATGGTAGAGGTGGTTTTTCCGATTCTAAGACTACTGGTCATGCTGGTGGTAGACCAGCTTGTGGTGTTATTGGTTTAACTGAATAAGTTAGTTTGTATTTTTTTTCTTTGATTTCTATAGTGTATGTATCACTAAAAAGAAGAATGTATGAATAAATGAATTGAGTTTTGTGTTAGATGAATATGATACCTGTAGTTGTTCTGTCGTTAGATCCCAGTAATATATGGACTCATGAGAGTTGTTTCTAATACTATATCATGGATTTCACATGGGGAAGAATCGCCATCCCAATAGCTTCTGAAGGAAATAAACAGATTGTATCCCATTGACTGTGTAAACGGCGGGAAAACGAAGTTTAATTTGTACCAAAATCTCTAAATTGAGGTAAGACTCAATTATATATGTGGCTATATCACAAGATAGTAAAAAAGGTCTTGGTATTCATAAGCCACGCGTCATTGGGAGAGATGGCATATCCAGGGTTCTGTTTCTATTGAAGCTGAAATAATAGCTTGGGAGGCATCAAAGAACAGCTCATCACATTCTCAATGTAAACATTACTAACAATATCGCGACAACTTTGTAACAAAATCAATTAAGAGGTCAAACTACCATAAAATATTTTCCGAAGAATGACGTACTGTATCTATTAATAAATCTTTTCTAGGAAAGAGAAAATTCGGAACGTTTATTCAAATGTTAAGGGAGTTTCCCAGAAAAGTTAATCTTAGAATTGAAGAATTTATATAAGTCTCAAATTAGAGATTGACAAGCATACAATTCCAATTGAACGACGACTAAGATACAAATCAAGAAACAATAGAAACATGGCATTGAAATACAGTCTTGATTGATTGTTAAATAATAAATAATAATAAACCTGTCAAACTAAAAAAACNCCAATTGAACGACAACTAAGATACAAATCAAGAAACAATAGAAACATGGCATTGAAATACGGTCTTGATTGATTGTTAAATAATAAATAATAATAAACCTGTCAAACTAAAAAAACCTTTTTTTTTCTCTTGTAGTCGTCTCTTGTCTTGTCTTAGTAGTCTGGATGTCTGGATGTCTGGTGGTTGTAAAAAAAAACCTTCTGATTAATTTGTTCAACAAGCCACTTCTCAATTTTTTTATTTTTACAACACACTATTTAACCAATCCATAACAAAATAAAGAGAATGGTTAAAATTATCATGTATAGGTTATAGTATACTTATCGTAATTGACAATTAGTATATACAATCATACATACAATGGATAATAATAATAATAATAATATCAACAACAACAACAATCAATCATCGCTACCTCAACCTTCTGCTCCTCCTGATCCATCTGTAACACCACCCCACTATCAACCATCCTCATCATCACCCAATTCTCAATTGCAACAACCACAACCTCAATTAGTCACTCCCCAATTACCTTCACAGCAACAACAAGAGGAAGAGGATGAACCATCTACATTGAGAGTACCCACTACTACTCCACAACAAAGAAGAAAAAGAGGATTGTCTCTTAGATCTCAGTTATTCAATAAAGCATTTAATTTACAATCTACATCTCCTTCACCATCACCACCACCACCACCTGCAGCGCAACCACTGCCACCACTGCCACAGACACAGTCTCCACCACCAGTTGACGTCAATGAATTAAATCAAGGCAATATTGAACTTCTCAATTTAAAGAAACCCGCTCCGACAATCAATGTGACGGAAGCAACTCCAAGAGAGTCTACCGGCACATACCCTTCATTCAATCCAAATTTAGCTACTTCAACTACTCATTTAACTGCAATTAGTAGTACTCAGACAGATGCATCAAGTGCTGGCGCTTCATTCATATCAAAACGAGAAAGACAACAATTTCTTAGATATAAGACTCATTCAAAGACATTACAAACTTTCATAGATTTCAAAAATAGATTGCTTGGAATTAACAATTTACCACCAACTATAGCAGGTAGAGTAATTCCATTAAGTATAAATCACAAATCAATTAATGAGTATTTTCAAGATAATTATTACGATGAAAAACATGATTCATTAATAGATGAAAGATGTAATAAACCTTATATTAACAATACAATAACTTCTTCAAAATATACAGTATATGATTTCTTACCAAAACAATTAAAAGCTCAATTTTCTAAAATTGCAAATTGTTATTTCATGGTGGTTGCAATTATGCAAATGATACCTGGTTGGTCCACGACTGGTCAATATACTACCATTATCCCATTATGTATATTTATGTCAATCTCAATTGCACGTGAGGGGTTCGACGATTGGAAAAGACATGGTCATGATAAAGAAGAGAATAATAAACGAACTACTATCCTTAAAGAAGATCAAGAATTGGGACAATTTGATACACATTCAATCACCACTATAATGACTGATTCCAGTAATGATCCTGCGTATTCCCCACCTTCATCTACTTCTTCAGGATCTTCAGGGGAATCAACCGATCCGAAAATGGCATATACCGATCCAAATGCATTAAAGAGGTATAATCTCAAAGAATATAATACCACCTGGCATGAAGTCAAGGTTGGAGATATTGTGAAAATTAATGAAAATGAATGGTTTCCAGCTGACGTCTTACTCATATCCACAAGTGATTTAGATACACAAATAGCATATGTCGAAACTATGGCATTAGATGGTGAAACTAATTTAAAACCAAAATACCCTCATACTGAATTGGCTAAACTTGCAACTAATGTAACTAGTTTGAAAAATTTGAAAACTTTGATAACTACCGAAGATCCAAATATTGATTTGTATAATTTTGAAGGATCTTTTCAATTAAATGATGAAACATATTCCCTTGGACCGGATAATATAGTTTATAGAGGAAGTATTTTAAGAAATACCAAATCAGTATTGGGATTGGTTGTGTTTACAGGGGAGGAAACTAAAATTAGAATGAATAATATTAAACATCCAAGAACAAAAGCTCCTAAATTACAAAAGAATATTAATTATATTGTGATGTTTATGGTACTTGTTGTTCTTCTGTTGTCTTGTTTCTCCACCATGGCCCAACGATTGGCTTATCAGCGGAATAGAGATCGAGCATGGTATTTGTTCGAACAAGATGCAGGTGTAGCTGCTACAATGATGGGATTTATTATTATGTATAATACTTTGATTCCACTTTCACTTTATGTTACCATGGAAATTATAAAAGTCATGCAATTATGTTTTTTACAATTCGATATAGATATGTATCATGTTGAAAGTAATACACCTGCAGATGCCAAAACTGCTACAATTTTAGAAGAATTAGGACAAGTTTCATATATTTTTAGTGACAAGACTGGAACTTTAACTGATAATAAAATGGTATTTAGGAAATTCAGTGTATGTGGAGTAAGTTGGTTACATGATTTAGATTTAATGGCCGATGAACGAGCAAATCCAAATAGTTTCGCTACAGCACCATTGATTCCTCGAATAAGTATGCATGCACCACAATCACCAAGAATACAACCCCAATCACGACAAAGTAGAGGATCGACCGATTATGTTCCAAGAACGAGTACAACGTCAATAGTTAGAAATAGTATGGATGTTCAATCTATGCATACTACCTGGACATCACTGGCACATCCTAATAAAGTACAAAATTTGAGTAATTCATTACAATTGTTGAGACATATACAATCCCATCCACAGACTTTATTTGCCAAAAGGGCGAAATTTTTCTTGCTAAGTATCGCATTATGTAATACCTGTCTTCCTCGGAAACAACAATCAACAAGTTCCAAAAAGAAAGGAAAACCATCAGAACCAAATGGTATCACACCAGATAACAGTAGTGGAGAAAGTAGCGAAACCATGGAAGACGAAGATATAAGCTATCAAGCAGCTTCACCCGATGAACTTGCCCTCGTACAAGCAGCTCGTGATTTAGGTTATGTAGTCTTCGACCGTCAAAACAACCGTCTCATAATCAGAACATATCCTGATGGATTTGACAAACCGGCCAAATTGGAAGAATATACCGTGCTTGAAGTTATTGAATTCACATCATCGAGAAAGAGAATGTCAATTGTGGTGAAATTCCCTGATGGAAGAATTGGAATTGTATGTAAAGGAGCCGATTCTATAATTTTGGAACGACTCAAGAATTCTAAAATTGCCGAAGAGAAAGCTCGTGAGATATCTATTCAGAGTTCAGAACGGAAAACCCAGGAAGCCGATGTGATTTTGAATTCCAGAAAATCGTATTCTGTGGATGTGATGACTGGTCATACGCCTAGAAAACCATCTATTCGACAAAGTTTGAGTGCGCTGATGGTTCCAAGAACTAGTTCTGCTAGGTTGAGGAAGATGAGTAGTATTGATAATGCCTTGATGGGGACCGAGGAGGAAGAAATTGCTGATATTGCCAATAGAGCGAGGAAATCGTTGCATTTACAACAGCTGAAGAAGTATAGTTTGGATGTGTATGAGAATGACCCTATTGCTGGATCGACTACTACTCCAACTGCTCCAACTAGTCCTGTTAGGTCATATAGTGATTATAGTGTTCCTCTCGATGGTCCTAGTGAGAATGCGCAATATGTTCCAAATGATAAATTATTAGTCAATGATGAATTTATAATCGAAAAAACGTTGGAACATTTGGAAGAATTTTCCACGGAAGGATTAAGAACTTTGTTATATTCGTTCAAATGGTTAGTATTTGTTCTTATACTTTGAACCAGGTGGCTCATAGTATTACGATTCTAGAGTGACACGAATCGTGCTCAATTGGTTGAACAAGTCGGAGGAAAGATTGAACATGGTTTAGACTTAATTGGAGCTACTGCAATTGAAGATAAATTACAAGACGGTGTAAGTGAAGCTATTGATAAATTAAGAAGAGCACCTTAATTTAATACCTACAACTGCCCACTATTTGCTCTTTGTCGATATTTATAGCGATACTCATGTCGATTAATCAAGGATTATTCTACAGTGGTTATACTCTCAAATCATGAAGGTAAGGATGCCCTAATGGACCGAATAACATCTGCAACATTGGAGATTGAAGCAGATAGAGTGGCACATTGTGTATTGGTTATTGATGGTGGAACTTTGGCTGATGTAGAGAATGATTCGACTTTATTGACTGCATTCCTTGAATTATGTATACTTGTGGATTCAACCATTTGTTGTCGTGCAAGTCCATCCCAAAAGGCGAATATGGTAAGTGCGATTAGAAATTTACAGAAGAATGCTGTTACTTTAGCAATTGGAGATGGTGCAAATGATATTGCTATGATTCAAAGTGCAGATATTGGTGTTGGTATAACAGGAAAAGAAGGATTACAGGCTGCTAGATCAGCAGATTATGCAATTGCACAATTTAGATTTTTGTTGAAATTATTGCTTGTGAATGGGAGATATAATTATATTCGTACTTCGAAATTCGTCTTGTGCACATTCTACAAGGAATTATTATTTTATTTGACACAATGTATATATCAACGAAATACCTTATTTTCCGGAAGTTCATTATATGAAAGTTGGTCATTATCGATGTTTAATACCTTGTTCACTTCTTTACCTGTGATTTGCATTGGTATGTTTGATAAGGATTTAAAACCAGCAACATTATTAGCAGTTCCTGAATTATATTCCAAAGGAAGATTATATCAAGCTTTTAATCTAAGAGTATTTATATCATGGATGGTATTGGCGACATTGCAAAGTGTGGGAATTTCATTCTTGTTGTATTACGTATGGGGCTTCACAGCACTTCGTGATAATACTACTTTTGCATTAGGATCTATGTCATTTGCCACTTTAGTTATTGAGTATTTACGTTTTACATGGGAATATCTTTACGTTTTGGCCTTGACCAATCGCAATGCATCATTTATTATTTCAGTTGGTGGATTCGGTTTATGGAATATTTTGATTATGTTATTGTATCGGACCAAGCAGTCTCCGATCTATTTCGTGGCATATGGATTATATACCTGGGGTAGAGATCAGAGTTGGTGGGCTGCATTGTTGGTGTTGTTCACTATTCCTTTATTGTTTGATATATTGATCAAGGTTGCTAAATTTATGTTTAGACCTAATGATGATGAAATATTCCGAGTATATGAGAAAGATATTGAATTGAGAAGATATTTTGAACAAATTGCGTACAATGATTTAAAACAAAGTTGGACATTCCCCAAAGAACCTTCAACCACTTATAAGCTAATCAAGAAGGTTTTCAGGACAATATTTTGTCTTGGAAAAGAATCACCAGTGATGCCACCACCACAGCATCCTGATTTGTCCAGTATCAATAGTCAAAATGAGGAAGAAGAAGACAATTATAGTGAAATGCAATCGGCAGTTCATAGAAAGAGAGCAGGAACCAACCCAATGCCAACCGAATTACCACCCAGTGGAGAGGGATCGGCAATTGCATGGTCGTCAAGTGATTATAAACCACATGTCACGATTGTTGAAGACGGATATGAGGTTTTGCCAAGTGGGAAACGAGTTCGGATCAAGACAGGCAGTTCAAAATGGAATAGTTTTTCACAAGCTTTTAAGCGGGATAACGAGGATGTTAATGCTATTATCGATGCGAGATTGAGGAATTTAGGTGAGGATGGGAGAGTTATTGAGACAACGACTGAGACACCAGCGGCTCCTCATCATGGGATTTTGAAGAAGAGCTAAGAAGAAAGTGTATTTTCGGTTCTTGTGTTTAGGGGAAAAGGCGAAGAGTGGTTTTGCATTAACGTATTATATTCTATAAAAAATTATTTTATATTGTTAGTTTATATATACCAATAAAAATTATTACATGTAAATAAATAAATTAATCACTCTTTTCGTCATATAAGACGCTTTTTATTAATCGAATTAAGACCAGTTTCCAAATTTTGAATAATCGTAAAGTTTAAGACAAAAGACCTTAATACGTGGTTGGTAAGGAGTTTGTAAAGAGAATGCCTTCTAAGTTCCTCCATTTTTGGTTCATGCACGGTAGTGCCCACCTCATATGGATTTAACAACATCTCAAACAACGCCAGCCATAACTCAGTCTGCCAATATCTCTTAAAGGTTGCTCTTAATGACACATGTCCCATACTCGATTTCTGAACCTTGATATAGGTCCCAAACAACAAGGTATGAACTATCCCCGCCAATCCATAATAATCAGCCTCATAAGTCCATGGCAAACCCTCATTCATCTCCACACAATCTTGTTCGTCGACTTTCATATTCTTAGTTATGAATCTCGTATGTTTGGGGAATAGGGATAGGTCAATCCCTCTCCCAAAATCGATTAACGATATACTCTTCTTGGCCCATGCTGGATCATTAGGCATATATTGATCATTCCAATCTTGTTGCCATCCTAGCTTAGCTTAGTATGTTAATAGTCGAAACTCTAGCGGTACCTCCTACCAGATGGAGTGGAGTGTTTCGACGGCAGATAATAGTTCCACCGTTAGGTAGACACATAAAACCTCAGGAATGTTTTGGTTTTCGAGGGTTTTATAATAATTCACGACATCAAGTAAGGTACTCTGACTATAATAATCTAAGATGAGGAAACTTTCATCCCTGAAATAGAACAATGAATCAGCATGTATGAATCGGGATGATAATTGTCGTTGGTTTACTAATCGACGATGGATTATATGAAGGATATAAAACTCCCATTTTGAACTTGGTGATTCTATCTTGAGTGCTTTCAAAGTACCATCAGATCCATTTTCGATTAGATAGACGTATCCATATCCGCCTTGGCCCAATTCATGGATTAGACAATATATTTCGTCACCGCAATAATCTATGATGGCTTGTTGTGATCCACGATTGATTTTTTTGGTTTTGGCAGCTGTTATATCTCTGAATTTCTTCATGCGGTGGATAGGAGGTTGAGAAGATCTATCATGGTAGCCCAGGAATGCTGATAATGGAATTGGTAAGTTGTCCAATAATTCCAGTTTTAATGAGTTATCAAAAGGATTGACTAACTGTGAACTGGTTGCTTTTTCTGGGGAATGGTCTATGAATGGGGAACTTGTGTTGGTATAATCCTGTTCTTGATCTGTGGGGGGAGTGATCTTGGTATCAAGGTGTGATTCTATTGGTTGTTCTTGTTTAATACCTGGAATCGTAAGAGTTTCGGTAACAAATTCATCATAGTTTGTTTCTTCCGGAACTGGGGCTAACAATTCTTCATCATCAGATTCGGCAGTGCCACCACGATACATAAATGCGACTTCATTATCTGCCATTTTGGAATACATTGTCATAGTTGGTTCTCGGGGTATGTGATCAGCTCCGATAGTATCATCTATGCCTTGAACGGGAATAACTAAAGTCTGAGTATTTTGATCTTGAATTTCCCTTAATTCTTGGTCTTGTGGCTCTTCCTCTTCTATGATCCGTGGTTGAAGTTTCAACCCCTTTTCTTTTGGGGTATATTTATTTTGTATGGTATGTCTTCTAGATAATGCAAGAATCTCTTCAAAAGTATATTCATTATCAGATTGATAAACCAAGTCCATATTCACCATCACCTTCTCGGTTTTCTTTCCTGTCACTTCTATCTTAGTATACGCCATTTGCTTGTCATCATACTCAACGTTCACTTTCGTAATGATTTCATCCTGTGGAGGAGTAGGGGGACTTCCCGAATCCCTAAATACATTGATTTTGGAAGTGCTACTTGAACTACTTGAACATCCTTGAAAAACAAAGTTCTGGAGCGGTCAGGTAAAGAATGCAGTAATTACGTTTTCTTTTATTCTACTTTTGGTTGAACCCAATTGCAAATCTTCGTCTTTAGTATAATTCCCAAATATGGAATATAGCACGCTTTGATTTTGATCTTGATCTGTATCTTTAAAAACATCCAATTTTTGTTTTTTCCTTCGTTGGTCTTGTTGATCTTCCTGTTCTTCTTGTTCTCGTGAACGAATAATGCCAGTTCCTGATTTAATTGCCAATACATCTCTTACTACTTGTTGGGAATTTGCTTGAATTGTATGTAAAGGTCGTAGGTTAGATCGAACCTTCAATAATATCCTAGAAACATTAGAACGGTTACGACGCGCGTTTGATTGTATTCCTAGTTGGTATATTTGATTAGCATCATTGAGTTTATTATTTAATTCGAGATAATTACCAAAAGATTCATAATATAATGCCAATTGATTACCAATTTCCTTTTTAGCTAAATATACATAGATATCACGAGGACAATCAGAATAATTGGCATATTCTAGCCAAACTTTTAAATATCTTGCATCATTTTTATAACTTGGTATATCTCTTAAACTTGATGTACATCTTTCCAATAGTAATACTAAACCACTGTCAACATTAGCACCTTGGGGATAATTATAATGAATCCAATTGATATAATCAACAAATATTTGTAGTGGATCATCTAATTCATCGACCAGGTTTAGGTGCATTTCAAATTGTTCTCTTTCTTGTTGTAGTCTTAATTTATGGCTGTGTAAAGACGTTGCCTGTGTTGCTGCTTTGAAACCATCTGATAATTTTGATGCTAATCGTCCTTGTGGTAATGGCTGGATGTTTTCTTTGTGTTGTTCAAGTAGTACGGCAGATGAGGAAATGCTTGATGCATTCGCAGGAATTGACAGACCTGTCAGACTATTTCGTGATTCGCCCAGCAGATGTGATAGCATTGCTTTCAAGGTAATCTATGTATTTGATATGAGTTGGAAATAAGTTTATTGATGGATTGATGGTTGTAAAAAAAAAAAAATGTAAACAAATACAAAAACGAAAGAAAACAACAAAAGCCAATTGTCGTCCAAATTTCGCGTTTGTCTTAAAAGTTTTGAGTTTGCGACACATGTAATTACTATATACATAAACAGCATGTAAAGCAGATTACAGCATTTTAGAAGATCAAGTGCTGTACCGAAACTACCTGTAGTAAATTTTCAAACAAATTTGACAACACTTTTGTTAATTCAATTACCAAAAAGAATCACCCACACATCATATCGATATCCAGTCACCAATAATATCATAAATACACAAGAAAGTGGTGATGATACTGATACCGGTATTAATTCTTTCATTGATTGTTTGGTTTACTCAATCATCAATTGCCATTGATAATGCAATTCCATCCAATCAATATTATCAAGAACATCTTAAACTTAAACCATTACCGAGAAATAAATTATTAAGTGTATTTGACTTCCAAGTATCATCATTACCATTCCAATTATCATACCACAACCATAATGATACTATTGGTACTAATAACATACAAGACATTCGACATTATACATATTTCCCAAGTACATTAGGACCAATAATCGAATCAACAAATACACGAGAATTAAGTCTTAGATTCACTCAAGGTTGGTGGGATGCTGAATCTTGGGGGAAATTACCAAACAATGGGAAATTTACTGGTGGAACAGGAGTAGAAGTGATTGCTATTATTGAAGCTCCAAATATTGATATTGCTAAAGCAAACTGGCATAAATTAAATAAAGTCCTTTCAGGTTTCTTTTGTGCTTCATTAAATTTCATTCAAGAAGAAATTACAACATATCCTAAATTCATGACCAATAAAGCTAATGTGCAATATTTACCTGAAGAAGGAAATAAGTTATATTTAATGAGAGCAGCATTACCAAGTGAACCGGTTTGTACTGAAAATTTAACTCCATTTTTGAGGTTATTACCAACTAGAGGAAAATCGGGTATTTCTAGTTTATTAGATGGCCATAAAGTATTTGATTCCTTATGGCACGGAATGTCAATCGATGTGACTACTGAATGCAGTGATGATGATGAAAATAATAACAATTGTTCATTGAAATTACACCTGACAGTAAATCAAGTTGTTGATATTATTAGATCAATTCGTAAGAAAGAAGAAGGTGGAATTCCAAAACCCATTGCGGGGGATAAATTACGTTGTGATAAATCAAAAGCATATACTGCTTGGCAATGTTTCCCATTGGGAGATCCAACTGAATTACAATGGAGTTTGGAAACAATATATGGAAGAAACATTCTCGGACCAGCATTTGAAGATGATACTAAAAGTAGTGGTATATCAACAACTGAAGTTACAGTAGAGGCTGATCCACAAGCATGGAAAGTTCAATTAAGAAAATTATACTCTGATTATGTTGTTTTTGTATCAATGAGTGATGGAATATCAGAATCCGATTACTTACGTGAACAAATCAAATATGATGTTCGATTCGAAACTACAGATAGTAGTGTGGTATTACCTATTGAATCACCACCTTTATATGTTTCTAGATCACTTACCGGGTATTCCTTGGATCAGGGTGGATTGCGTGTTTCATTCAGTAATCCTTCCACTACTGAATCAGTTAAATTTATCTATTCAGAATCAGTACCTTGGTTTATGAGATTGTATTTACATACATTGGATTTATCAGTTAGTGAAATCAAAGGAATCAGTCAGCACGTATCCAAACAAGATCATTCACTATATATCAAATCCACCTATTATCGTCCAGCCATGGATAGACACAGACCCAACCATATGGAATTAACCATTGTCATTCCAGCAAATCTGACGCTCACTATGACTTATCAATTTGATAAATCGCTATTATTATATCGTGAATATCCTCCTGATGCAAATCATGGATTTGATGTTGAACCCGGTGTGATTTCAATACTTGATGAACAAGATCAAGAGGTTTATCAATTTAGAACCACTAGTTTGTTGTTGACTTTACCTACCCCTGATTTCTCAATGCCTTATAATGTGATTATTTTAACTTGTACTGTATTATCATTAGCTTTTGGAATTGTGTTTAATTTATTGACGAAACGAGTTGTGACTGAAGAAGAATTTGAAAAGATAACTGAGGCAAGTAAACTTACACAATTGAAAAAGAAGATTAGATTACAAATACAGAAAGTAAAATATATCTTAGGTATATAGAATACATAGTATATAAAATTAGAATGGATCTTCATATGGATCTTCTTCATCATAATCGTCATCCTTTTCAAATTCATAAACAATTGCACCTCCACCGGTTGCTCCTAATGCTTCTTGTGCTTGCATATAAGGTAATTCCACTTGTTCCCTGGCCAACTTTTGTTTATTGCTGGTAGTTAAATTGAAAGTTGTCAAATCCTTCAATAAACTCTCATCTTCTCCTATATCTTCATCAACCTCATTCTTTTCTTTTAAGATTTCATATTCATGATTAATACAATTCATTTTGAATTTATATATCAATGCCCTTCCTGACTTTCTACGATTGGTTAAAGTTAATTTAAACACCGCATTATTCAATTGTGAGTTCACAGGGAAATCCAATCTCTGAATCTTATTTAATATCTCCTCTTCACTAATTCCATCATTCTCAAGAAGTGGTTCTACTTCATAGACTGAACTGGCGATATATGACAATAAACTAAGACAACTTGGATAATTAATTAATTTACTACTAGTGGAATCAGCAATTGGACAATTAGTATGGAATACAGATAGGATAGTTATGGCAGGACTAGCCAATCTGGCTACGAATTGAGTTATATCTTCTTGTGGGATATAATTCAATGAATCTATAATCACGACAGTTTTGGAAGATTCCAGATTTGTTTGCACGAATTTGATTATGTCATTGGTTGATGTGGTGGTTGTACAGTCAAGGAAATGAGTGGCGTAGGTTGGTTTATTTATTGTTTCATATGAAAGATAGATGGTATTAGTGGAAGTGGTGGAAGTGGATCGATGGATGAATTCTTGGATTAGGTGATGAGATGATTGAGATAACGAATCTAATATTAATTGAAAAGCTGACGATTCTTTTAATGAAAGTAATCGTGTTAAATTATGTTAACTCAAAACTAAACTGTAAACATAGAAACAACATAGACACACAGGGCTCCGTCCTCTGTTTGTTTCTGTTGCTGTCGATGAGTCTAATCTCTGATGGGGTTCCAGTAATTTTTTTTTTCGATGGGCCTAGACTCATCCATTGATTCCATGTTAACTTCATGATATAGGTGGATTATATTATCTGTCTCTGTTTCTTAGTTGTTACCTAGTCGGGTTGGTTTTCTTCTTTTGTATAGCTGGAAGCTATTCGATTCCATCAGAATTGAATCAAGAACTTCAGCGTGAATTCCAACAAGATGTTTCAATTCCAACACAACAAATACAACAAGACATCAACAGAAATGAATACAAGAGACAACGATACAATCGAATAGTAGATTTAAATTTTGATGATGAGAATAAGAAGAAGAAGTCATACAAAGAGATTATGGCTGAAAGGGATCTAGAAAGAGAAGAGAAGAGAATTGATCAATTGATTAAAGAGAAACAGAAAGAGCAACCTCAGCTACAACAACTGGAAGTGGAAGAGCCAATCAGAAAACGTAAGAGAAGATGGGATGTCACTCCAGAAGAATATTCTAAACAGCAAGAAGCACAGCAGCAGAAACAATTAATAACAAAAGAAGCTTCGCAATTACTTGAGAGATTGAAAGAAGCTTCCGTGCCAATCATTCATGGAATTCCTTTAACTGATGAAATACTAGATAAGATTCTACCCGAAGGATATATTAAAGTATCTCCACCTCCTGGGTTCAAACAATTAGATAAAGATGCAATCCCAGATATATATTCTGCTACTGTTGTTACAGGATCTGGCCCTGGGTCTCAATACTACGTACCACCTTCTAACGAACAAGCAGCAATCTTACCTTCAACCACGGACTTGGTCATTCCAGGAGTACAAGGACTCGAATTCTTCAAAGAAGAAGACATGAAATACTTTGGTAAATTAGTCACAACTGATCCCCAAAGTTTAGATGCTAATACATTTTTCCTTAATTTACGGTACTTTAACTATAACTTTCAATTTTTACCAAGTTCTATTGTTCGTAAACGAGCCATGAGACAATTAAGCGATTCTGCCAATAAATTCGGTCCTAAAATATTGTTAAATCAAATATTACCAATCTTGTTGGAACCTAATTTAGATTCAACTGAATTGCATACTCTCGTGAAATTGATAAATCGAATCTTATACCAATTTGATGAATTGATTAGACCATATACTCAACAGTTACTACAAGTGATTTCTCCCTTTTTGATAGATGAAGATCCAATAATTAGATTAGAAACAAGAGAAATTGTGTCGAATTTGACAAAAGCTGCTGGGAATCGTTTATAATATAGATGTAATTCTGGGCTAAACCTAGTACATCTACTTATATTTCGAAACTTGACTTCGAGAGTATTTGCCATTGTTATAAACACTCTAGGTTTAAAGACATGTTTACCATTCTTGAAAGCGGTTATAAAACTGAAAAAAAATTGGATGGCAAGGCATACTGGTATAAAAATAATTCAACAGTTATGTATTATGTTAGGTCAAGGAAATGGTAGTTTTATATTGCCTTATCTCTCGCAACTAATTGATGTCTTGAAACCAGGTATAAGTGACGAAGCATTACAAGTACGTACAGTCACTGCATTAACATTGGCTCAATTGGCAGAGAATGTTACTCCGTACGGTATAGATTCATTCGAATCGATTTTGGAACCGGTATGGTTTGGAATTAGGAAACATAGAGGAAAGAGTCTTGCGGCGTTTTTGAAATGTATTGGGTCGATTATTCCTTTGATGGTACATGATGCTAACTATGAAGAATATTCCAATTATTATACGAAAGAATTGATGGTTATTATTTCCAGAGAGTTTAATTCACCAGATGATGATATGAGAAAAACAATATTGAAGATTATGATTGATTTACCTCTTTCAACGAAGTTAATCGAGAGCAAGAAAGTCATTAAACCCTTTTTCAATTCATTTTGGAATAGAAGGACTGCTTCGGATACTGGAAGAATCACGAAACTTGTAGTGGAAGCAACCAATCATTTAGCATTAAGATTTGATTTCTTGGATATTTTGGAACATGTTGTATACTTTACCAAAGATGATAATGAGCAACTTCGTAGACTTGCAATCGAGACAATCACGAAGATGATCTCAGGAAATCCGGAGGAGTTAATCGGACTAGATTCACAATTGGAGATTAAATTAGTGGATGGGATCTTATTTGCATTTCAAGAACAACAACAACAGAATCGGATTTATTTATTATCTTTCCAGGCATTGGCAAAGGCTTTGAATATAAGATTAAAGCCCCATTTGAATTCAATCATAAGTACCATTTTATATCGGATGAAGAATAATATCCGAGAAATTAGACAACAATCAATTGATCTAATTACAATTATTGCCCCAGTTATAAAACAATGTTCCGAATATGATTCTGACAATTCTATCTTGAATAAGCTTATCTTAATCCTATATGAGTCTTTAGGAGAAGTATACCCGGATGTTCTCGGAAGTATTATCTTGGCAATATACGCAGCAATCGATTCCCTAGATAAAGCAACATTATATACAATGACCAACCCATCACTTAACCAAATCTTACCCACGCTTACTCCAATCCTCAAAAATCGTCACGAAAAGGTACAAGAAGCATGTATAAAACTAATCGGTCTAATTGCAACCAAAAACCCCGAAACCATTAACGCAAAAGAATGGATGAGAATCAGTTTTGAACTATTGGAAATGTTAAAATCCCAAAAACGTCGTATCAGAATCGCCGCCAATGACACATTTGGACATATTGCCAAAACCATCGGTCCTCAAGATGTGATCGTCATGTTGTTGAATAATCTCCGGGTTCAGGAAAGGCAATTAAGAGTCTGTACTGCAGTCGCCATGGGAATAGTCGCCGAAACATGTCGTCCATTCACAGTTTTACCTGCAATTATGAATGAATACCGTATCCCTGAGAAAAATGTTCAGAATGGGGTATTGAAAGCTTTGAGTTTCTTATTTGAATATTTGGACGGGACAATGACTCGAGATTATTTGTTTGCGATTACACCTTTGATAGAAGATGCATTGGTTGATCGGGATCAAGTACATCGACAGACAGCCGCTTCTGTTGTCAAGCGTATAGCAATCAATTGTGTTGGATTAATTGATAGTTATGATTATTTTGAGGTGTTTGTACATTTCTTAAATTTGATCCTTCCAAATATTTTCGAAACTTCACCGCATGTGATTGCGAGAATTTTGGATAGTGTGGATTCCGTGAGAGTGGTGTTAGGAAATGGGGTATTTATGAATTACGTATGGGCGGGTTTGTTTCATCCAGCGAGAAAGGTAAGAGCGCCTTATTGGAAAATGTATAATAGCGCTTATGTTCATTGTAGCGATGCATTGGTGCCTTGCTATCCTAGAATCGACTTACAACCGGCGCAACTTTCGGTTGGCACACAAGAGGTACAAGAACAACGTGATGATTACAAGATTGAAGAATTGGATTTATTTTTATAAACAGAGCACTACTCTAGAGTATATAGGAAAATATTAATAAAGGGTTTCTTTTAGGTATAGTTCGGGTGTAGCATAACTTGATAACTTTCATCTTCATAACCACCTTCCTCAATTCCATAAGCAGCCTCATCTACATCTTCTTCTTCAAGTGTCGAGATTGGTTCAAATGCATAAAGTCTAGTGACATACCGAGTAATCTTTCTAGCTTGAAATTCAACAATATCATCAGCGTCAGTCAAATCAATTTCAGAATCTGATAAACTAGGAGATGTGGAGTGGTAGGTGGCATCTGGATATCCCTCGGCATACACGTCGTAGGGATGGTGCATATGTATAGCATGTTCATTCATGGTCTGGTCATGTATATCGTTGCTATACCTTTGTGGAGGAATAGTAGCTAGCCATTTATTTATCTTCTCTTTAAAGTTCATATTTGGAGCTTTTCTTGGATTTAATTCATTAAAGAAATCAGCAGTATTCCCTCCACCTATACTTCCTAAACCTGCAATAAGTTGCTGTGCTTCATTTCCTAACATATTCCCTGAACTCCTTCTATGACTATAGTTGACCATCATGGTACTTGTAGTACCAGTGTAATAATTGGGATATGGCAATTCTCTCATATTGGCATTGGAGGCATCATTTGCACCAATATTACCCAATCTACTCAGATATAAATATCCATCAGGTGGCAGGACATCAGGAGGAGGAGAATATAAATAATAGCCAGGTATAGGTTGCTGATGTGTTGCATTTGGTGTGGAGGTGGCGACTGGACCTGATGGCGCTTGTGGGTTCAGCGGATGAGTTGGGCGCGACTGAACTAGCAACGAAGGTGGTGGGGGACGCTTGTTAGGATACGGAATTGGATACTCTTGAGAATTGTAGGCATTGGCAATCGGCTGCGGCTTTTTGAAATCGTTGTTGGCGGATATGTGGTTAACTGGTTTTAGCAAATACGGTGGTGGTGGGATCGGAGGTGGAATATGGTTCTGTTGTGGCTCTTGTGGATCTTTGACTTGTTTCTGATGAGATGTGGGTTGCATAGTGATGTTAATTATAACCTGATAAACTATAGATCTGGAATTTCTTTCTTCAAGAAGAATAAACAATTGTGATTGCGAAAATTGTTTAAGCGCTCATATTCAATTTTCTGGACTATATATCTGGCGCTACCAGAATGTAGGTGCTACCAATTCAACAAAATTCTTGCACAAATCAGCCGGTGCTGCAAATATTGTGGTATTTGACTTAAATTGACGTAATTTGGGCATCAATAAAGATAGGTAGTCTCTTGAACCAGGAATCCATATAGAGCAGCTTCAGCCACCAACAGGGAAAGCACATTTAGTGAATGATTTCTTTCTCGAACTTATACTAGTATATTTATTAAAGAATGTTCTGATGTGAAAGTGGTATCACTTGACAGACGAAGCATGATAGGAATTCTCTGAAATTTCTGTTTCAAAGTAGTAGTTAGTGTTTGTCTTCATCAAATTTATTTTTTAATGGATTCAGAGGTAAATTTTGCAGGACATTTCTGGATGGTGGAAATCGAGAAATTATTAAGAGAATTCAGTATTGTTACACTGAAAAAACGCGTCTCAAAATTTGAGCATTAAATTAAAAAAAAAAAGAAATCTCGCTGATCTTTCACTTACGGCCACATAGACGTTGATCAGACACCAATACAATCAAAGATGCCCAAGAGAAAGATTGAATTAGACGAACTAGACGAAGAATACCATCAAGAAGAAGAATATCTTCAAGAAGCCAATGATAGGTCGGTCATACATCCAACCTCTCGGGTTGGTAATAATACCTCTCATGGAAATCCACTGGGAGTCAACACTCCAACGGATGAAATGGAATTCCAGCATGTTGTCAATCAAGTTATACGAATAGTTCTTGGACGGGAGTTGAAAGGAATGTTGACCAGACGAGAACATATTACTCTGGCGTTAACTAATAAAAAAATCAAAACAGATTTGATAGTTAAAGCCGTTGATCAAACGTTAAGAGACACATATGGATTAAGCCTTGTTGAAACTCCAATTATTAAGAAGCAACCCGATGGAAAGCTAAAAAAGGGAGCTCCTTCGAAAGTCAAGCCTGTGGTTTCATATTGTGTTGTAAACGATTTACTGACTGAAGGAAGGAATGTTTTGGGACAGATTTGGAATAATTCTTTGAAAACATTCATGAAGAAAGATATGGGTGATGTAAAATACTTTTTACCTACTTATAGCAAGACGAAATTACCTAATACAAATCAAGAATTAGTTAAGGATGGGATCATGTTGGTAGTGGTATCCTTAGTTATCTTATCCGAAAGTCATATTCATGAAACAAAGCTTGTAAAACAATTGAACTCATAGCCTAAGAGTTTATTATGGTTAGTTTTCTTAAGTTTGTAAGCGTACTCAAGTTGTGATTTTATTACAGATTTATGCAAACGTGACTATTTAACAAAAATCACCTTGGAGGGTACTACAAAGGAGCATAATATAATTGAGTATGCATTAGGTAGGAGGTGCTTAGTTGAATTTACCCCAAAAAATGTATTCGAGTTTATTAAAGTTGTTTATGGTGACGATTTTGATGGCTCAATTGCCGAAAGAACATTGATAACTATACAAAGGGCTTATGGTGTTGCCTTGGCTGCTGAAGAGAATGATGATGATTATAGGAGTTCTGCAACACCAGGTGTTGAAGAGGGGGTTGAAGCATCACATACTGAAACCCCCAATGTATAATATATATTTCATTGTCCGTAGTCTGGTTTGTAATAATTTATAGCAAAAGTAAATTGTGCCCAAATTTTATATATTTCATCAATAGAGAAGGAGGCTTATACAATTGCTTGATTAATCAAGGATGCGAAAGGCTATTTTATCACCCCCCCCCCCTCTATTAGCTCCACTGCAGTTGAGAAGGGACTCTTTTTCTTCTTTGTTCTTGGTGGAGCCAAAGTTTGATTATTAATACACACTTTGGTTGCAAAAAAAACAGACAAACCACTTTTATTGCTTAGTAATACTAGGCTTTATGTTACTCTCATAAGCAAACACTTCTCTCGGATTTTATTGTCGTAGCGGTGTCAATTTGATTCACGGATGAAGATGAATTTGTAATAATTAGGCTACCAATTTCCTGACATGTACAGCAAGTAATGATCTCGAGGAAATTTAAGTGTTCGTCAAAACAATTGAGGCCTAGTCCTTTAAAACACGGGGTGCTGGGATTGTTTAAATTATGTTGAGACAGTGAAGGGTGAACCATTGAATCTTAGCTAACAATATTACAGTACTACCACTCTCAATACTACTGTATATAAGAGTGTCTGTGAGTTTATGTTCTCTGTCAGTTTTTGTTGGGTCTAACTTTTTACATCAGCTGATAAGTTAACACATCGTATGTCACAGGAAAGCTTATACGGCTTATTCTTTCCTAGTTTAGAAAAGCGTCATTTTCATTGAGCAAACAAATTATGCTACTATGTTATTAGTTGAGGGGGAACTAAAATTCTGAAGAGTCTGTCCAACATACACTATCTATTTTTGATTTTGTATGTTTGGGGCACATGCTTCTTTGCAATACAAGTTCTCTTCCAATTCATTATTAGCTTTGTTGACAATATTATTATTACGAGTTTTACTTCAAATACTTTATTTAACTTTAGCAATAATATTAGTGTAATTACTGTTAATAGTGTTTCTATTATTGTTATTACTGCTTATATCATACATCATTCTATTTCAATGAAATTACAGTGAGTATTTCAACTAACTCCGGAACTCGGCCATAATTTAAACTGTCGTTTAGAAAAACTCGCGTGCCTCGTTTAAATTTCAAACGTTCCACCACCACCGTTCTACAAAAACAATACAAAACCAGTTCAACCTCCAGGTCACCAAAAAAAAAGATTAAGTCCGCTGAAAAATTCCAAATTTACGGCCACCACTTTTTTCTTTTAATCCTCTTCGTCAAACACCTATCACATTTTAACTATGGCAGTTGATACGTTAGATATATACGTCTTGTTAGCGTTAGCAGTAGCAACGGGTCTTTATTTCCTTAGGAATTACTATTTCCAATCTCAGAATGCCGATGCTACATTCTTTAGTAGTAACGGTATTGATACCGGATCAAATAATAGAGATATCTTGGAAACTTTGAAGTTCTTACTGTTCTTACGAAACTAGAACAAACCAAGAGTTTGTCCATGACGTCTTGATTATTCCCATAAATTATCTCGTGAATTACATGCTAGATTTGGTTTGAAAGCCATGGTTGCCGATTTTGCTGATTATGATTGGGATAACTTTGAAGATATCAATGAAGACACATTAGTCTTCATCTTAATGGCTACCTATGGTGAAGGTGAACCTACCGATAATGCCATTGAGTTTATGGATGCTTTAGAGAATCAATTGGAGAATTTGGCTAATTTGAAATTTACTGTTTTTGGTTTAGGTAATTCAACTTATGAATTTTATAACGCAATGGGTAAAAAAATTAATGAATCTTTAGAAGAGAAAGGTGCTAAACGTTTTGCTGAATATGGGGAAGGTGATGATGGTTTAGGTACTTTGGATGAAGATTTCTTAAGTTGGAAAGATGCCGTATTTGAAAGTTTAAAGAATAATTTGAATTTCGAAGAACGTGAATTAGAATATCAACCAAATATTAAATTGGAAGAATTGCCAGAATTATCAATTGACGATGAAAATGTTAGTAATGGGGAACCAAACAGAAAATATCTCTCCAAGGATGCTGACTTAACTAAAGGTCCATTTGATCATACTCATCCTTACTTGGCTCCAATCACTGTTACAAAAGAATTATTTAATTCCCAAGAAAGGCACTGTGTCCATGCCGAATTCGACATCTCTCATTCTAACTTGAAATATTCTACTGGTGACCACTTGGCTGTTTGGCCTTCCAATGCCGATGAAAACATTGCTAAATTTATGGAAGCTTTTGGAATTCAAGATAAATCTGGAACTGTCTTCCAATTGAAAGCTTTAGATCCAACTTTTACATTACCATTTCCTACCCCAATTTCGTATGGTGCCGTAATTAGACATCATTTGGAAATCACTGGTGCCATCTCCCGTCAATTTTTCGTTTCAATTCTTCAATTTGCTCCTGATGAAGAAACTAAACAAGCTGTTGCAAAATTAGCCCAAGATAAGCAATTATTTGCTAAGGAGATTCATGCCAAGAAGTATAATATTGCCGACGCATTATTGAAATTATCCCAAGGTAAACCATGGACCTCCGTTCCTTTTGAATTTATAATTGAAAATATCACCCATTTAACTCCTAGATACTACTCCATTTCTAGTTCTTCCTTAGTCGAGAAATCAACCGTTTCTATCACTGCTGTCGTTGAAGCCGAAAAAGAACTGGATGATAGATATATTACCGGGGTAGTCACCAACTTGTTAAAACATATTGATATCGTCCAAAACAAGAAATCAGAAACTCCACTTGTTCATTACAACTTAGCCGGGCCTCGTAATAAATTCTCCAAGTTCAAATTACCTGTCCATGTAAGAAGATCTACCTTTAAATTACCATCCAGTTCCACCACCCCTATCATCATGGTTGGTCCAGGGACCGGTGTTGCTCCATTGAGAGGATTTATCAGAGAACGTGTCCAACAAGTCAAAAACGGTATGAATGTCGGTAAATCCGTCTTATTCTACGGATGTCGTAGCGAATCTGAAGATTACTTGTATAAATCAGAATGGCCAGAATATGCCCAAGCCTTAGGTGAAAAATTCCAATTATTCACTGCATTCTCAAGAGCTGATCCAACCAAGAAGGATTACGTTCAACATCATATTGAAAAGAATGGTGAAATGATGAATGAATTATTAAAGGAGGGTGCTATTGTATATGTTTGTGGTGATGCCCTGCATATGGCCAGAGATGTCCAAGCGGCATTCGTCAAGGTTATAAGTACCCATCGTGGTATTTCGGTCGAAAGAGCTGGGGATTTGGTGAGAAGTTTGAAGGTTCAGAATAGATACCAAGAAGATGTTTGGTAAGTTGTAGTTTAGTGATGTAAATAGAGTCTTTCCTTCATTTTATCTTTAATGTCAATGTTACAAATTTAGCATATATTTATGTCGCAAAGAATTTATCCCCGTTCAATATTTTCCGATATGACAGTTGATGACAGCTCCAGGCTAGCATTTGATAGCCCAGGTGATGGAAGTACGATAGCATTATGTGTAGGAATATCCTGATATAAATAACTCTATGAAAGTAATTGACCCATATAAGTTCTGTCTATTTAGTTAGATGTTAAGATCTTTAATCCCTCGAACTTACCTAAGTCCCCCCATATATCGAAGTCTGCCGGCTTAACAAGGCAAGAATTCAAATCAAGGTGCTTTAATGATTTTGGTAGCATCTGAGGAAGCTTGGGTTTGGGTTCCTCAGAATTTTTGGCCAGTTTTACTACTATATTGGCACACTTAAGGCTCATCTTAATAACAGTATCCGGGATTTCGAAACTGTCCGGACCGGATATCTCAATTGCCGCGAACAGTAAGTCAAGAACAACAAGCCCCGGTGCCTCAATACAGATCTTCAGTAATGTATTGGCTCCTAGGCAAAGATATTTCAAGCTCGGCGGGAGCAGGTGCTCAAAAGATTCAATAAATATATCAAATAAGTCAAGCCTTACCAAATCAGGCAATTGTTCGAAGTTAAAACTACGTAATGAGTTCACAGCAGATCCTCTTAGCAGCAAAGTAGTTAAAGACAAAGGAAGCTTAAATCCACTTAGCTTACAACCTTCTAGCCTTAATACCGATATATTCGAAGGAAATCTCACACCTGAAAAATCAAGGTTTCCCGGAAAACAGTCGATTGTTAAAGAATAAAGTTTGGGAGGTAACAGTAGTTGATTTAAAATAACTGACCAAATCCTGACGGGAGCATTAGAATAAGCTATTTCCAACACCTCCAAGCTATCTGGGAATAATATCTCGTGCAAGTTAACCTTGTAGCTAAGCTCGACATACAACCTCTTGAGCTGAGAAAACTGAACAATCGAGTCTAAACGTTCAGTACATGTGATCATCAATGAGCTAATTTGTGTCGGCAATGTCAAACAATGCAAAGGCAAACAAGCATACCGTTGAATGCAGGAAAAGAACTTTAGGTCTTTCAAACTGGATAAGTCCATAGTAGGAATTGGTGTCAGAAAAGACAACCCCAAAGTTAGTGATTTCAAAGAAATAGGCAAGTGTGGAATTAGATGAGTGTCATCTCCCAAAGTGAGTTTCAAGTCCAAAGAAGTTAAATTCGTAGGAAGGTAACACAATTGGTCGAGGATACAAGAATCCAATGTACTCATTGTCTTTAGACGATTCAATGCAGGGAAATTGACGTTGCATAACATCGAACTTGGTACTTCCAATTCTTCAACAGTTTCTGGGATTTCAAGAACAGTTACTCGGGTTTGGACAAGTAACCTTTGAAAATCATAAGGAAGGGTTAAGATTTCCTTTTCCAGTGGATCATCGTCTCTATATCTGACTTGAAGTTTGACTCCTTCAAGTAATGACGGCTTTCGATTATGTATAATTAGGACTGTTTGCAACGCTTCAAATTCAATAACTCTAGGCTTTCTATCAGGGTGCTTTTCCATAAATTGGAGAAACTGATAAGCATTATGAAATGAAAACTTGTGTGACGCCTGCCATCCATTATTGTTACTACTTTCATCTTGAAATTCGTCTCCGATTGGAACCAACAATTCTGGAGAGCAATATTTCTTTTTCTCAATGTACACCTTGTCTAATAATATATCAAGAGCGTACATACCAATAAGTGGATTGTCGATATAAGTTTGTAAAAATTCATCAGGAATGTGCCAGAAAATCAATTCAATCAATTCGAAACCTTCCAAGTTTTCACTCAGTTATTTTATATACGGGCAGTAGATGCCGTTCATCTAATAACGCTTTTGAAAGTTGTAAATAAACTACCAATTCCTTGGAGTCCACACAATTTTGTTGGATTAGAAGTAGATAAGGAAGAAGAACGAAAGTATGTATGGAGAAAGCAGTATTAAAACTATAAAGTTAAACCCTCTCTTAATCTTATAAGCAACAAACACCTTTTGCCTGGAATTGGAAGTGAATTTTCAGTTGGGGTTAGGGGATCCTTTTTCCGATATCGGCCGAACAAAAGTCTTACCTTTTTTTTTGCAACCTTGTTATTCTGTATAGCCCTCTCAAGCCATAGATTGTTTTACTGGTTGGCAACGCAAATGTCTTCTGATTACTTAAAAAGTCCTTAGTAATCATCAAACTAAGCATGGTCGTATCTAAGAGTATTTTTCAGAGAAGTAATGAATCGAGTCTGACCAAAATAAATCTGTTAACTATGTGCTGGAAAGTAGAAGCACATGGATCCCAATAAATGAATCGCGCTACTACAAATCAGCCCAAAAGTCTTCTCTTACCCTCTGAGTATACAGTAAACCATCTTTTAAGTAAAAGGCCGAATCTATAAGAAGTCGAGAGGCTCGAGAGATTGTCATGGGATTAAATTTGAATTGAGCTTATTCTCATCTAGTAAACGTACGACCGTGGTTTTTCACAACTAGTAAGTGGTACACACAATATTGTAATATTAAAATGACATTATAGGTTCTATTAAATAAGCGCAGATCACTATTCGCTCAATACATTCACCTACATAAACTATACGTACTCCGATTCCTGTTACACTTATCTCAAGCTCTGAATGGATGGACACATTTCCTGGAAATCAGTTAAGATCTTCTTATAATCATCCTTTTTACCGAAATACAAACGAACAGTTTTTAATTTTTTACAATTCTCTAATTTGATGCGCTTGAGATGATTTTCCTCAAGAGTAGAGTCTCGCATGTCCAACATTTCCAAAGAATCAGGGAAATGCCTATCCTTATCTAACCAATCTTTGAGCCCAATAGAATTAAAATTCAAATATTTTAATTTATTAAAAGCCTTGAAATCCTCGCATGGAACTACATCCATGGGTCCACCATTTAGATAGAGAGATACCAAGCTCTTCGGCAAGTTTATTGGACTCCTATCACAAAAACTCAAGTCAATTTTCAAATACTTCAAATTTTTAGCTGCTGAAAAATCCCATGTCTCCACGTCTTCTACCATAAGTCGGAACATGGACATATTGAGCTCTCTCACAGACTTCGGAAACATTGTTACAAGGTCGTTCACGTCTGTGATTGATTCATAGTCCATCTCAAATCCTGCTCCGGGCGGGAAGTGCAGTCTTCCAGTCATAAATTCCCTGTCCGTTGGTGGTGGCCACATCCTACCTTCCATGTACATTCCACTCATGTATGGAGGAATGCGGGGAAAGTGGAGAATCAAGTCGAACTTCGCGAAACTGAAATCTACTTTGATAATATTGTGGGGAATCTGGAAAGTCTTGTGGGATGCATCTATGTCAGTCGTGTTTAAATCTAAAACTCGAAGATTTCGAGCTCTGAAGGAAATTTTTCGCATTTTATTGTCAGATAGATCAAGATATTTCAAAGTTCGAGGAAAGCCGGTATCAATATACTTAATCTTACAATGACTCAATTCGAGTCTCTTCAATTGTGACAATTTGTTGAAATTGAACTGACGGTTTAATCGCGAAGTTGACAAGCGAGACCGATTCAAATTCAAGGAAATTGCCGACGAAGGAAAATTGAATCCAGCCAAGAGGCATGATGTTAGCTTTAACGTCAACAAGCTAATGGGCCATTCTATCACAGTACATAGGTTAACGGTCCCTATTAAAAGATTCCTTTTTCTTATTTCAAAACTACCTTGTTTTAAAGACCGAATGCCTGCTAACTTTCTCTTTTTGAAGACAGGGTCTGACTCTACATCTGATTCAATGTAAGCGCTTAAAAATCCTTCTGACATGTAACCATCTTCACCTTCATCTTGCTTGTCATATTCGAGAGATAGCCACCTTAGGCTCTCTGGGAAAACTACTCTTTCAAGGCTGATATCAGATTCAACATGAACATTCAACCTTTTGAGTTGCTCGAACTGAATAATGGAATCTAACCTTTTGGTGCACCAGGTTTTTAAATCGCAGATTTGTTTGGGGAGCTTGACTTGATGCAAGGGGAAGCCAAACCCCGAGAATTTTTTGAGGTTCTGTAAATGGGATAAGTCGATGGCTTTGTCGGCTCCTAATTTTGAAACACGCAAGGTCAATGATTTCAACGAAGTAAACAGATCTAACTTGAACTGGGTGTTGTCATTGCAAATAAACTTCAAATCCAAAGAGGATAAATTTGGCGGTAACCAGTCCAAATTCTCGATGGTACAAAAGTTCAAGATCTTCAATCTTTTTATATTCATCAATTGGGAACTGAAGCGATCTAAAACTTCCACTGGGGCTTGTAGTTCCTCGGTGCTTTCAGGGATTTCGATGTCATACTTAGGGTTACCGACGAATAGTTTGTGAAACTTATAAGGAAGCTTAAAGACTTCTTTGGTCAATGGAACATCATGGACTCCATTGACTCGAATGCTGGTACCTTCAAGAAATGATGGATTTTCCTTATGTATCTTAGAAACTTCTTCCAAGTTGTTAACTGTGATATACTTAGGTTTGATATTTGGATGTTTCTTCATGATTTCAAGAAATTGATTGACGTCTTTGACTTCATAGTCGTGGGTAATCTGAAATCTCTCTTCACATAAAAATTCATCTCCGATAGGAATATGCAAATGGCGATTGTCCATGTAATAACGCGGATCGCAGATTGTTATGTTGGAAAGTAAAGCTTCAAGTGCATGTTCACCAATTAGTGGGTTGTCGATGTAGGTATGTAAAAAACTATCAGGAATATACGAAAATATCGATCCAATTACTTCCTTTGGAAGTCCTACAAGGAAATCAACGAATCTGGGCTTTTTCCTCGTCATTTTTATTATATTGATATTAAAGGTTACACTGTCTGTTGAAGATTTGTTTCTCAATTGAAAATTATATTAAGAATTATAGATTTGGAAGGGAAAAATTCTGTTAATTAAGAAAAAAAGTGACGCGTCTTGTGTTGAGTAATTTAATATTTTTCCAACAAAGATTTAAAGAACTATTTATGAGATACACTAAAAATTTATACATAAGCTACTAGAGAATTATAACTTAACAGTCCTCTTTTAAGTTATTTTGCTTTTATTTTCTAATTTGATGAGGGTGAGGAGCTTTTTTAAAGATTGACCATCGATTGGTTTTAACTTGATTGGTTTCAGCAAGAACACGCGTCGCGCCCCAAGTAAGCTTTCAGCAAGAAACTACGCTAACTCCCCTGCTTCTTTTTATTTTCAGCTATAAACATAAAGTATCTTTCAGAAACATGCAAACCAGGTAAATTTTTTGCAACCATACTAGTTGGTGTACACGCATCTAGGAAAGTATATATCCAGAACTGTACATTGGATTTTCATTGAGAATGGCCAATATTGACAAGGGCTTCGTTGTCAGATACGGGGGTTAGCCTTTCGCGCAATTGGTTGGCAGACATAACAAGCGATGATGCAATCTACAGTTTTAAGCAAGAATTACCTCAAACATTTCGGAATCCTCTAATCCTGCTACAGTACTACATGACATTACGCAATTGATGTAAAAAATGAATTAAACCTAACTTTCAGATGAATCATCCTGGTTTAATTTGTCTCTTCTAATACAGTATTTCCAATTTTCATTGTGAGAATTGTATATTGGTTGCAATTCCTGTTCGACTTTTATCCAATGAGTATATTTCAAATTCGATTTTAAATCCAAGTCATAAATATTGCAAATGATATTATACTTACCTTGTGGTAGTTCAGTGACGTGTTGTTCATCTCCTCCTTCGGAAGAAGTATGGGGTTCGAACTTAATGAATATTCCAACGTCTCTAAGGGTCATGACTAGGGATAAATCTTCCGAAACATCTTCTGAACTAGTCAAGTTTAAAATACTCTGCGTTGACTTCAGTTGATATTGTTTCAATTTTTGAAAGATATTTTGTGGATCTTGGAGATAACGTTTAAATAAGTCATATATTGGCAAACTTATTTGGGATAATACTTCTTGCGGTATAGCCGAGAAGATGTCATCTAAGGCAACGTTGATAGTTTCCGGGTATAATAAATCCAAAGGACAAAAGTGCCGCTGATATCCTCTATATTGGCTCAATGAACAATTTCGACAATAGTTTGTAGAAACATTATCATACAACCATTTAGGTTTAATTTCAAAAATTACCTGATTGTTATCACTATAATAAAGTTGACAATATTTGCTTAATTCAACATATTTCAACTGTTCGTCGTAAAGAATATTGGGGATTAATAATCCATATTGTTCATTGTTCATCAATTGATGTCCTCGACTATCTAACTGCGACACAAATTCCGAAGTTAATACAATCAATTGGATTTCTAAGATTAAAGAACTTGGGAACAACGGCTTTGTAAAGTTAAGCTATTTTAGTATATTAAGTTAACACCTTTATATGAGGAACCTATGTTTTAACAACCGTATGCGTAATAGCTTATTAAAGAAATAATCATTAGGTCCAATATATTTGAATAAGATGTTGGCTGCACCCCTCTTGAAGTATACCCAATCATGCGGTGGTGTTAATTTGGAAAGTTCCATCTGGTTGTAAAATAATGCAAAAAATTTATGATATTTCGAAATGGTCTGAGATGTTAGATTAAATAAAGGTTGAGAGGACCGATGAGAACGGTACAATACTGTTGTTGTTGTCACTAAGATTTGTAATGACAATTGCAACAATTAGTTAGCCAATTTCTCTTACTAATAAATGTGAAGTAATAAATTTAACGGTATGATATGCAAAATGAGTGAATGTAATAAAGCTCACAAAAACAGGATAGCTGTGGCATCAATCCCTAAGAAAACCCTTCTTCGCTTAAAGAGTGAAAAACTTTACTATTTACGAAGAATTTTTCATTTGGTAGCACCTTTAAGCAAGGAGTATTCTTTAGACATTGTAAAGTAAAACAGTATCATCGTGGTTTCTCTATTTACAACAATATTCGCTTAATACTAATGAGCTCCCCAGCGTCTTCTGCTTTCTAAGAAATATATATACTATCGATTTTGTTTGATGATGATTGTCACAAAAGTCAAGTTTCCTTGCAACCACAATTTAAAACTTATTAAAGATATCATTCAATTCTTTGGAAGTGAAAATATTTCTACTATAGTGGCTATTGTTCATTAATAATTTAGCCGGACCTTTCACTTTAAAATATACCGGATTTCTATTTCTAGCTCGGTTGATCAAATATTTCAACAATTTGAAGTTAACATAATCGCCAAGATCGTAAAGGTATTTTCTGACATTATAAGTAATACTATTCAATCTGATTGATCTGAAGAACTTAGCAACTCCTAGCATTTCAAATAATTCTAAATACGCTTGTTCAATTCTGGTTGCAATACTTCTGAATGAATTGAATATACTTCCCATTATCCCATATTTTGGCAAATTGATCTTGGGGAAGTTCCACTCTGTTACACTTCTTCCTATCCTAGTACCCACAGTTTCTTCACCAGCATCTTTTCCTCTTCCAAGAATATTTATTTCAATATTTGGATTATTAACAGCAATCAACGAATTCGGATTCACTAAAATCTCTTCACCTTGCTTCAATTCAACATTAAACAATTCATTATCACCGTTCACAACAAGTTTCCCTCTTCCAAAAGTCCATATTGAAAGGTATAAGAGTTGGTGAGGTAAAAGGGTAGAGAAGTTGGGTTTTAGAAATCCACTCCATGCAATTACATTTTCTCTATTTAAAACAATCCACTCTTCCAATGGCTCTTGTACATCTATGATAGAATATTGTCTATTATTTCCATTTATTAGCACACTTACTGCAGAATTCGAATATACCAGACTGTACTCTCCACAACTCTCATTGGTAAGATTGTTAAAATCGCCATTGATTCCAATTATACTTGATTCATTCTTGATAGTTAAGCGAGACGCTTGGGGAATTGATATCACCAAGAGACTATTGGGGTGATTGGGATCTATGGGTTGAAATTTTGGTAGTTCTACAAATGGCCCATTGCCCGTGACTAATGGTTTCTCATTGATGGGAATGGTTGTATTTCTAGATTTGATGAATCTAGAGATAAATGTTCGCTTGATTGTCTTCCCGGTAGTGATGTTGGTTGTTTGGTTGACAGTCGATTGATATCTTCTCATTGATATTGGTCTATGCTTCTTGTTTACTTGTTGCGTACTTAAATAGAAATAAGAAACGAGTTAAATTGGCAGGAATATTTTCTTCGGTTTGTTACTGGTTGGCTATTTATGGCGTTGCTACCAAATGCTGTCTCCATCTTTTCCTAACAAAATTCGCTTGGGTATAAACTACTGATCGCTACAGAACTCAACTTGTTCAACAGATAGAGAAACTGTTGTGTTATTATGAAATATCTAAGTATATACCATAAAGATCTAAATTAAGAAAACCTCTTAACCAATTCATCAGCCTCAATAATCAGTTTTAAGTAACCATCGTCAATCAACGATTTATCCACTTCATTAACCACTTTCGATAACTCAACAAATTGATTCCAAAATTTGACTCCCAGTTTGAAATCATTCAACAATTGGTCTGCACTAATGGAATTCATTCCGTGAACATTTATATTAAAACTAGTGGCTTGAACTTGATACACGTGATTGAATAAATGGTCTTGACCATGTTTGATAATATCTTCTCTGGTTGATGATTTGGGTTGTTTCAAACATACTTCGAAGTATATTTCGGCTAAGATACCCAATAAAGTGTTATTTAAATCATGATAGAATGGTAACTGATTGATTAAGCCATACCAATGAGATTTAGATTCAAAGGTGGTTTTGATATTGTTTTGTTCCTGATGGACAATAAAATCGACCAATAAGCATTCCAATGAGTTTATAATATGATTATTTATAAACTTCAAATGACTGCGGAAGTTTAACAAATTACGAGAAATTGGACCTTGATAATTGATTGGTGAAATATTGAATTTGACTAATGAAAAGATTCGTGAAATTAATGTAATTTTAGAAACATCTTCATTGGCCACTTCTTCAACTTGGGAATTTGCATCTTTGAATAATTTGGATACAGTGGAGAATTCTCGATTTATATCATTTAATTTTAAGGTTTTTGATTGAATCAAAAACAAAATTAAGATTAAATGTTCCAATTGATTATTGTCAATTTCGTTTCCTTGTGATTCACAATATTTAACCAAAACCTTACCCAATGAGTTCACTTGCGATTTATCATCGATTATTTTAAACAAATATAATGTTCTTAACATTACTGTTGATATAATATCTTCCACTGTAGAAATTTCCTTATCAGTTGAATAATTACCATCGAGCTTTTGTTTAAAGAATTCAATCAAGGAAAACTTTTCACCTGAATTATCGTTCTGAATAAACAATTTATTAACTCTCTTTGAAATTGGGGGAGTTAACCTTGTATTTGATTTAACTAACTCATCTTTATACCAAAATTTAACATTGATAGTTTTTACTTGATAATATCTTGCCAATAACTGTGTTAATAAATTAAACTGATAATCCAAGTTATCAAGATAATATTTTGAATTAATTAAACTTTTGAAACTATCGTTTAACCCAATTTCTAAGTTTGGTCTAATATCAAATTGACCTTTTACAATTGATTCCAATAATTCCAAAGGCAATAATCCAATCGATTGATAGTAGTATAATTCAGGTGGCAATCTTTGACTAATGATCTCATGAATATCATTGGGGATTTTAACCACGGATTGTGGTTGGTTATCAATTTCACTTTCTTCATCTTGCGTGTCTTCATCTAAGAAATCAATGTTCGAATCGAAGCCTAATTTTGCCATTTCTACATTATACAATTGAACATACCCATCTTTATTCAAGACAGGAATATATTTGATGGCGGAATGACCTTTGAAATACAAGTCAACTAATCTTGGGTCATTAAGGTTCATAATGTATCCTAATAAATCACCACCTTGATTGAATTGATTATATTGATATACGATATCTAAACCCAATTTAAAATGACTCAATTGAGGATATGGTTGTAATGGGTTTGGTTTTGGAATACTTGGGAAATTTGGAAAAGTTACTGGTTGTAAAGTACATCCAACCATTAAACTGATATCAATAAATTGTCGCTCAGTTAATCCTAATTCTAATAACACTTTCTGTTTATCAATGAATCTAAAATCCTTTGATTGAAATTCCATTCCCAATATAAATTTGTCAATCTTTGTTAATAATAAATCAGTCGATCCGTAGACTGAATCAATTATATCCAGTTGATACAAATATGATAATTGGAAACTGGAATCATAAGGAGAAATCAAGTAATCTATACCTGTCTCAATAAATAATTTGATTAAGTCATTGATCATTGGTCTGATAGGCAATGGATCATTGAAAAGTCTAAAGCTTTCAATATTATTGTAGGAATACTGTTGTTTAGCAGTTAATTTAGACCAAGTATTTTCTAAATGTTGTTCATAGGCACTAAGCTCATTCGTCTTGAAATTATTCATTTGTAATTGAATATTTAATCCGGATATAACAAAGATTGGTTTGATATTAAATTCTCGGAATACTTGTAAATCACTCAAAATATAATCCTTCAAAGAACTTGGGATCCCACCAATACCTGATAGGAATTGCTCCTTTTTGAAAGTATAGATTCTGCTTAAGTAATGATCAACATCAATACCGATTGTTGCATTCTGTAAGATTTCAATGGAACTCGTATTGGCTAGTTTCCGTTCAAATAGATAAGATTCAAGTGATTTAATTGGCATGGTGGTGACTTTTTGTTGTTAAATAATTCAGAGTTTTCGGGGTCGGGGGAGGGGGGAGCAATGTGAAAATGGAGATTAAACGAAAGTTTGCGGAAACCAGTTATCTGAAACTCGAAATGTCGATTATGATTATAATGTCGATTGAATTGTAATCAATTCCTTTTAATCGTGAAGAAGCTTGGAAAAGTGGTTGTAAAAACAGGCTCGATTAGAAAAAAAAAAAGGCAAACACCCGAAAAATTCTACACACTACTTTTGAACTATGGTACACGACTCAAATGCTCCTGTGACGCGGTTTTCATCGTTTGTCGTTTTTCCATATGAGCCATTTGTCGTGTAATCTTATTTTGCAACTCTTTTTTACGAAGAAATTGGGCTCAGTGTTATCAGATAAAAAAAAAGAAGAAAATGGGCTCAGCAAATTTCAATTCTCCAACTTTTTCAAATTATTATAAGAGACAGTATAGATGACTACGTAGTTGAAAAAATTGATGACTCTGTAATCGAAACTAAATATAAAGGATACGGAAAACCTTATTCTTTTCTCAGCTGTTTAACATCAATATTAATTGGTAACCACAAGATGGAATTCATTAGGAAAAGAGTGGTCTCGTTTATACGTGAGAGTATATGTTTCAACTAGGAAAGAAAGAAACCAAATTCCAATGGTTCTGCCGTTCTGAATTTTTGGTCTTGGGCTAAGCCACTAAGCCATGCTTTGATCTAAGCGGGTTAGTTCTCCAATTGACATACGAAAGACAGACTAGCCCACTTTCTTTGAGCCATTGGATGAGATGACTAATCTTTCCATAGCTATATAATTTAGTATAAATATCTAATAGATTTCAGTCAAATAACTAAAAAAGTTTTCATTCCATCTTCATCAAAATATATTCACACTACAATGCTTTTCATATTAGTTTCTTTAATCGTGTCAACTTGCATGATTTTCTTTAGAATTATATTCTTCCCAAGAAGAAGAAGATATTAGTAGCAATGGTCTATGTGGAAATTCTAGTTGCTTCGATGGTTAGAGTGATTGCAAGTTGTTTTGCTGGCCAATTATGACTATAAGCTTTATTTATAAACTATTTATACTACTTATACTGTTTCTCATATATGTAGAATTGAATACAATGATATTAATGATCAAATCTAAAATCTAATCTTGCAGAACCCTCATCTTTTGTATTCTTTCTATAGAAATCTTTTTCTTCTTCCGTCATACCACTCCAGATGCTGTCTCTTCTCTTATTTTGATAAACGTAATAGTATTTAGTCAATAATAACACTGGAATCAAAGCAGCAGTAATAAAGAAGATTTGCATATTACCACGATGATATAAAGGCAAATCATCTTTTCTGTAAATATTCTCACCAAACACACTTCCTAGCTGGACAAACATGTTATAAAGTGCAGAACTAATGGATCTAGTTCTAACAGAATTAGAGTTTCTAGATACCCAAGAAACGCAAATAGCATGAATATATGGTTGACCTAAGAACAAAGTGTTCAAAACATAGGTTGGCCATACCTTGATACCTGCACCTGGCCACCATCTGATAATTGCAATTAATGGAGTTGCATAAAGTGGAGCTAAGAGACACACTAATGCCCTTTGATTAATTCTCTCTGAAAACCAAGTGATCAGCAACAAGAAAATAATGTGGAGTACCGCTTGAGGAATGGTTAAAAGATTGGTATCAAACACTGAGAAGCCTAATTGTCTATTCAAAAGACCAAAGTATGACCCAAAAGTGTTTTGACCAATGAAAGCAATAACACCAATTGCGAAAATTGGCCATAAGTGGTAATCTTTCAAACTCTTGAATAACATTTTTGGACCAATAGCTTGACGATTGTGCATGGAACCTTTACTTGGATCATCTCTCAAAATTCTATTAACAACGATCTTTTCTTCTCTCTCAGTAAACCAACCTTTAGGATGCATCCAGTTCTTAGTTTGAACAGCAGATGGAACCATCATGTAGAATGAGGCAATACCGATAAACAATGTGAAGATTCCTTCGATCAAGAACAACCATCTCCATCCTTCTAACCCAGCAATACCTCTCATTCTCAAAACACCGAAAGCAAGTAATGAAGTACCAATTTGAACCAAAGACAAGGTAGTCCAGAACCAAGATAATCTAACTGGCAACTCTTTCCTAGTGAAGAAGTAACTTAACCACAAAACCAAGTCAGCAATGAACCCTCCTTCTAAAGCACCAATTAATGCTCGAGTAATGTAGAATGAGACTCTACCACTCAAACCGGCTTGACACATAGCTACCACACTCCACATACAAATTTGGATAGGAATGAAAATATCTGGACCAAGCGCCTTGGAAATTAATTGGGAAGGGATTTCAGCTAATAAGAATGAAACTCTGAAAACTGTATTACCGATATTATAGTCATTGGTAGTCATACCTAAATCGTCCAACAAGTTATCAGTGACTGCTTGAGCCAAGTTACCTCTATCAACTTGTAAACCGACAAACATAATGCATGCAGCCAATGCAACTGTTAAGTTTCTTGACTACTTTCCTTTCTTCTTCTTCGGTCCATTCATATCCAGGATCAAAAGCATCATAGCATTCATATTTCGATTCAGAATATAATTGACGATAGTATTCCTCAACTTTTGGATCTAAAAATGGATTTTTGGCAACTTGGTCAGTTTCAATCGATGATGTTGATTCTATAGCTGTAATCTTAATACCGTCATCTTTTGTTTTAGATTCGGTCAGGCCGGGGTCAGTGGGCTTTGAATCGGTTCTATGAGTTGAGAATCTTGACATATTGTTGATTTGAGTGTTAGTGAACTAAAATAATGAAGGCTTAGGGTAAGGCTTATTAGCTCGTATTTATATTAAAACTGGTTTCCAATTGTGGTTTATCCACTGAACTTGACTGTCAACTTTTATTACACAATTTGAGTATTAGATTGGTTAACAAATGTAATTAATTATTCTCATCGTCGCTAGCAAGTTGCTACCTGTGGTTGAAATTTTAACAGCCAATGCTCTAATCACATAATTTTAAGGGTGCATTCGCTAAAATGCAAATCAAAGCCATATTCATTGTGGTTTGGGTATGTAATATGAAAGCCTCATTTACAAATATTTCAAATTTTTTAACCAAAGTCTGAGAATCATTTGTGGCCCTGGAAGCATTGTTCCCCTTATCTGATGAATAATCACCTTGCTCATTACTGGCTATGGAGGGGACAAATGAACGTTATCCTAATTTACTTTTGTGTTGTGGCTGCAAACTTGTGCGAATTGACCTGGAAAGATTTCAAATGTGGCTGCAAATTCATTGTTTTATCTGGAGACAAGAAAAGCTTATTGTTATTAATTAAAAAGGATCAATTGTCTTCCAGGTATTGCTCATTCAATATGTGAGCCACCATGCAAACCTGATAATAATTCAATCTCACATCAGTACGTGTCGAATTTTAAATTCTCAACCAATTAGTAAGCTCAACTCCCTAAACACAGTTTCACGAAAGTAAGCCAAAGTGGTATTTCTTCAAATGTTTCCTAAATTCATCTATACAATTATGACCACTTTCTTCCAGAAATGAGTGTAGGTTACGTTTTAAATATTAGTGTATAAAAAATTAACTTTCTATTTCATATCTATTTACTAGGTTTGAAGCAGCAATTTAAAATCATATTACAATAACTAATGTGAAAATCTAAAGTCCAATCTATTTGAACCATCATCAGTAGTATTCTTTCTATAGAAATCTTTTTCATCCTCGGTCATAGAATTCCAAATTCCATCTCTTCTTTTGTTTTGATAGACGTAATAGTATTTGGTCAAAATTAAGAGAGGAATCAATGCAGCCGTAATGACAAACAACTGCATGTTACCACGATGGTATAAAGGTACATCATCTGTTCGGTAAATATTCATCCCAATAACACTTCCCAATTGGACAAACATGTTATAAAGTGCAGAACTTACCGACCTTGTTCTAACGGAGTTCGAATTTCTAGATACCCAAGAAACACAAATAGCATGAATATAAGGTTGCCCAAGATATAAAGTGTTCAAAACATAGGTTGGCCATACCTTGATACCTGCACCTGGCCACCATCTGATAATTGCAATTAATGGAGTTGCATAAAGTGGAGCTAAGACACAAACCCATGACCTTTCGTTAATGCGTTCCGACAACCAAGTGATCAGTAACAAGAAAATAATATGAATTATAGCCGGCGGAATAGTTAAAAGATTGGTATCAAACACTGAGAATCCTAATTGTCTATTCAAGAGACCAAAGTATGATCCAAATGTGCTCTGACCAATGAATGCAATAATACCAATAGCAAAGATGGGCCAGAGGTGATAATCTAACAAACTTCTGCGAATCATTTTAGGGGTGAGACCTTGACGATTGTGCATTGAACCTTTAGTAGGGTCATCTCTCAAGATTCTATTGACTACAATCTTTTCCTCCCTTTCATTGAACCAACCTTTAGGGTGTAACCAATTTCTTGTTTGAACTGCAGATGGAACCATCATATAAAATGAAGCAGCCCCAATAAATAAAGTGAAGATTCCTTCGATCAAGAACAACCATCTCCATCCTTCTAATCCAGCAATTCCTCTCATTCTCAAAACAACAAAAGCAAGTAATGAAGTTCCAATTTGAACCAAGGACAAAGTAGTCCAGAACCAAGATAATCTAACTGGTAATTCTTTACTAGTAAAGAAATAGCTTAACCACAAAACTAAGTCAGCAATGAACCCTCCTTCTAAAGCACCAATTAATGCACGAGTAATGTAGAATGATAATTTACCCCTCAAACCAGCTTGAAACATAGCTACCACACTCCACGTGCAAATTTGTATAGGAATGAAAATATCTGGACCAAGTGCTTTGGAAATCAATTGCGAGGGGATTTCAGCTAATAAGAACGAGACTCTGAAAATTGTATTACCGACATTATATTCATTGGTAGTCATACCCAAATCATCCAACAAGTTATCAGTGACCGCTTGAGCCAAGTTACCTCTATCAACTTGTAAACCGACAAACAAAATACAAGCCGCCACCGCAACCCGCAAGTTAAGTTTCTTGATAACCTTCTTTTCCTCTTCTTCGGTCCATTGAAACTCTGGATCAAAGGCTGAATAACATTCATATTTGGATTCGGTATATAGTTTACGATAATACTCTTCAACTTTGGGATCTAAGAACGGATTTTTGGCAACTTGATCTGTTTCGATTGATGAAGGTGACTCAATGGCTGTGATTTTCACACCATCATTTTTACTTTTGGTCTGGATGCTCTTTGATTCTGTATCTTCAATTGAAATGCTTCCGTATGACATATTTCTATTATTGGTGGTCTGTATAATTAAAGCACTGAAATTAATGCAGGAATATGGAAAAGGCCGAACATGTAATATTTATACTTGAATCTTACTAGCAACTGTGGTTAGTCCATCTGTGTATTCCCTAATCTCATCATTTCAGATGTCACATTGATCAGCTGTGTTGTAAATAGTTACTGTGCCGTCCTAAGCCTTGGTAACACATACTGTGGGATGAAAACTCCTTGTGGAATTCATGATTACAAAATTTTACGACAAGACTGATTGAAACAAAAACTTGCTAATTACAATCATAGTTGCTTTAGAGTGTATTATACTGATGGTTGTGAAGTTAGCTTTTCTGATGAGGATTGAAAATCGCATAATTTGGGGGTTGGATTTGTAGTATTCAAAGCTTATACTATCGCGATCTCACATTCCACGCTATTTCTTGGCAAAAGGTCAAAAATTATGACCTCATTGTCTTGGAAGGAATCCTTTAGATATGAAGCATTGAAATTTGTTTAGAATAATGACCAAATTCATTGTTTTCGGTCAGACTTTCTAGAAAATACGTCCTTATTCCATTAGTGGTGTGGGGGGAGATGAGTCGTAATCCACATTTTTTTCTATTGTCTATTTATGTGGCGGCTGCAAAATTCGGTTACATCATTCAATAAAAAACAAATGTGGCCGCGAAACCAAGGGGTTCCGAGTGGAATGAGAAAATAGTTACCAATTACTACCAACGTAAAAGCTCAAGTATGGTATTTCTGAGGCATACGATATTGATGAATGTGGAAATGACGAAATGCGATTTTAAGCTTGAATCAACTATTTAAGAATTTTATTACTTACTCAATGTTTTTTCAGAATTATTTTTAGAATTTTAAAATTCAGTTCACTTGAGTTCTTCCAGTATCCACTTCTTTAAGTATAAGACTCTATTGAGTTTATCTAGATATTTCAAAAATGCATTAGTTTAGGCTCCCAAAGGTTTTTTTTAAGAATGGTTAATCTATTCAAACCAATAACAACCTTTCAGAATAGAGTTAAACTTACAAAATATGTACTACAATTAATATGGTTCTAATATTAGAGGCCACGAATTCTCACTTTGAATGTCTATTTATTTGATACATACAACAACTAATGCGAGAATCTAAAATCTAATCTATTGTTACCTTCATCAGTGGTGTTCTTTCTATAATAATCCTTTTGATCTTCTGTCATGGAATTCCAAATTCCATCTCTTCTCTTGTTTTGATAGACGTAATAGTATTTGGTCAAAATTAAGAGAGGAATCAATGCAGCCGTAATGACAAACAACTGCATGTTACCACGATGGTATAAAGGTACATCATCTGTTCGGTAAATATTCATCCCAATAACACTTCCCAATTGGACAAACATGTTATAAAGTGCAGAACTTACCGACCTTGTTCTAACGGAGTTCGAATTTCTAGATACCCAAGAAACACAAATAGCATGAATATAAGGTTGCCCAAGATATAAAGTGTTCAAAACATAGGTTGGCCATACCTTGATACCTGCACCTGGCCACCATCTGATAATTGCAATTAATGGAGTTGCATAAAGTGGAGCTAAGACACAAACCCATGATCTTTCATTGATACGTTCGGAAAACCAAGTAATAGCTAACAACAAAATGATATGAAGAACAGCCTGGGGAATAGTTAAAAGATTAGTTGTAAAAACAGAGAATCCTAATTGTCTATTCAAAAGACCAAAATAAGCAGTGAAGGTATTTTGACCGATATAAGCAACAACACCAATAGCAAAAATGGGCCATAAGTGGTAATCTAACAAACTCTTTCCAATCATCCTTGGAGTAAGACCTTGACGATTGTGCATTGAACCTTTGGTTGGGTCATCTCTTAAGACTCTGTTAACAACGATTTTCTCTTCTCTTTCAGTAAACCAACCATTGCGATATAACCAATTCTTAGTCTGAAGAGCAGATGGAACCATCAAGAAAAAAGAGGAAATCCCAATAAGCAATGTGAAAATACCTTCAATAAGGAATAACCATCTCCAACCCGCCAAACCACCTACACCTCTCATTCTCAAGATACCAAATGCAAGCAATGAAGTACCAATTTGAACTAAAGATAATGTAGTCCAGAACCAAGATAATCTAACTGGCAATTCCTTACTTTTAAAGAAATAACTTAACCATAAGACCAAATCGGCAATAAACCCACCTTCTAAGATACCGATTAAAGCACGAGTAATGTAGAACGAAACTTTACCACTTAATGCGGCTTGGCAAAGAGCAACTATACTCCATAAACAAATTTGAATTGGAATAAACATATCAGGCCCAAGGGCTTTGGAAATTAATTGGGATGGGATTTCAGCTAACAAGAATGTAACGTAGAAGATTGTATTTCCAGTATTATAATCATTAGTAGTCATACCTAAATCTTCTAACATATTATCAGTAACAGCTTGGGCCAAATTACCTCTGTCAACTTGTAAACCAACAAACATAATACAAGCAGCTAAAGCAACTCTAATATCGATCTTTCTAATCACTTTCTTTTCTTCTTCTTCGGTCCAATTAAACTCAGGATCAAAGGCTGGATAGCACTCATACTTGGACTCAGTATACAAGTTACGATAATATTCTTCTACTTTGGGATCTATGAAAGGATTCTTGGCAACTTCATCTGATTCGAGAGATGATGTGGAATGGACAGCAGTGATTTGAACGCCGTTGCTGTCCTTCTTTTCATAAGAATCCAGCTTTTGACTGATGCGGGAGATTGTTTTCTCTATGGACATGTTCTACTGTAGGGTGAGTGGATTTTGTTGTTAGAAATGAGTTGAAGAAGTTGGAAATGAAGAGGTCTTTGCATTGTATTTATATGCTCAGCTTTAAGCTTTACTGTGGATTTTGATTATTAGCCCTTTTCTTGCCGGTGGGGCGTTCTTGATGCTTCACGGATATACAATATTTCATAATTTTCATGATCTATTGTGTTTGATTGATTAAACGGAAACTTGGGTGAGTCAACCCTTATCTCTCATTGTTCTCATGGACGATTCGATAGTTAAAACTTTGCTGTGGTGGTGGATGCAAAAAAATTTATCGTAATTTCTTTTGTTAGATTGTGTGATTAACGATGTGGCGCAGATGTTGCAACATTTTTTGAACCGACATTCAACAAGTGGCTGGAAAAACAATTAAAGTTTGAACCGACAACAATGAAATTTTATTGAACGCAATTATTACTCAAATTAAAAATTATGATTAAAGATTATTAATCTGACTGTCAATCTCAGTGACTATCACATCATTTCAAAACTAAATCCTCCCGACTTATCCATCGATCCAGATCGACAATGGAAAGGCATTCATGCAAAGCTCACTAGATTGTTTAGCATATTTCGCCTATTACGGGGGTCTTATGTCAAAGCATTTTGTGTCAGGCTTGGCGGCTCTGATTTCCTCCTCTTGGTAGTATTTGAGTTACAGCTTGTTTTCCAAGTGTTGTGTTACGAGGTTCTATAGATTAAAAATAAATTCGCTTACGGAGTTTGTAGAAATTATCCGAAAGTATAAATTTTGCTGCGTCATGTGATTTTCCGCGGGATTGATTTTCTCTCCCGGTCCAAATAATAATAATTTCCACCCTTGCGAAATGAGAAATATTAATTGATTGCAACATCGACTCCACAGTAATACTTGATAACAATGAAATTTTTGAAAATATGACTATGACCTACCTTCCCTTCCAGTTTAAAGAAGGTTTTTCAAAACATCTAGGATAACACTAAAATAAAGTAATAATACTACAATTAAAGAATCCCCAGATATTTATATTTTATTAATATATGTACATAATTATATATTTTCTTTATAATCAATATAAAAATACTTTACATAAAACACAGGTCACCCTCTACTTTATTAATCCTCAACAAACAAACTGCCAAGGGCACTATTTTCAGTAAAGGGATCATTCATTACATCAACGGTTCCTTTCTTCTTTCGGACGACATCCGCAGCTTCTAATTCTTTCTTTCGGTTGCTCATTTCGTCATCATAACCTCCAAGATTCCCTCCATTCAGTTTGGATATTTTGATAAGTTCCAATAATGCCGATCGTTGGTGTCTTGATGACTTTGTACTTACCAACAATGCTTCAAAATTTCGAATGTTTTCAGGAGTAATGGTTGGTAATAATGAAGCCAATACTGTGGCTGGATAATCATACTTCGATCTTAACGAATAATATAAATTACAGAAGGCAAGTCCGGCTTCACTTTGAGCATCAACGAAATAATCATCTAACAAAACGGCCAATAATGATTTCAACAAATGTTCACATAAATATTTATCAACTTCTTCATCCTTCAATGTGATTTCTGACAAAATGTTTCTAATTATTAGAATGGTGTTGAATGAACATTTTGTATCCTTAAACACTATTAGGTGACAGCATATTTGTAAAAATGGAGCCAATACTTCATTATTCTCAATCACTAATCTTCTCGAAGCATATTGTGTTTCAGTCAATGTCTTAGAGTTGTATTGACCAATAATATCCATCAAGAGTCTGACAACAGTCGCAGTCAATTGTCGTAATAAGTGCTCATCCATCATTTCTTCAGACAAGGTTTGATCATCTTCATTGCCAGTTAATTGTAATCCATTACTGTAAACCTTATTCCATTTTTCAACAAGTACTTTATCAATATCTATAATTGCTTTAGGTAATAATTCAGCCATAAATGTATCGACAAATTTCGGTGGACAATATTTGATCACTAATCTTAAACAACTATTAATCATATGTTTCCAACTATGTGTAGTAACACCCACTGTATCTCCAGCTACTGAGTTCCAAATTAATGAAGCAATGTTAGGATATTCATAAAGGGTATCATTTAATTGTGCCAAAGATCCAACTGTTAAGAATGCATATTCTCTAGTATACCTTATCAAATGACCAACTGAGTCGGCAAAATCTCTTAATGTTAAAGCTGCTTTGACATTCTCTTCAATAAATGTTTCTTTGGATTGAATACTAACACCTTGTTGCCAAAATCTTTCCATACAACTATACCTTACAAAACTTTGAACTGACTCAGGTAAATCATTCCAATTTGCTGGGTTATGGTATGCTTGAATTTGTGATAATAATTGTAAAATATGTGGAATAATTGGTTGTACTCTAATTTTCCATAATTTTAATAAATTTAAAAATTCATTTGAATCATGATTTAATTTTTCAATACTGTATTGAATAAAAATTCTCGTGGCTCTAATTGGAAAAATTGATGACCAATGATCACGCAATCGATTTTTTAATAACCTTCCTTCTTCATCCATTTTCGCCTGTAATAAATCAGTTGTGGGTGTAATTCCACGTTTTTGAAAATATGATGCAATTTCCACAATTCCGATCCTTTCCATAAACCAATGTAAATCTAATAAACCTTTTTCTGTTTCCGGAGCTGACCAAGCACCTAATTCGGGATCAACTATTTTGGCGAATAATTCATCTTTATCGTCAATCGAGGATCTTGATGCAATCACCAATAGAAATGATTTGAATGCGACATTTTCATGATCACTTACTTTTTTAGAACTTAAGATATTAGCAATAACATTTTCTAAATCATTGAAGATTTTTTTCAAAGATTCTGGCATAATATAAGCTAATCGATTTAATTCAGTTCCACAACTAGTTCTTAAATCACGAATTATTTCACGTTCATCATCACTTATATTCTCTGGATATTCAAATGTAGCAGTGGTTAAAATTTTTTCCAAGACTTTAAACATTAAAGGACTTATATCTTTTAATAATGGAGCAAATTGGACTAATGTTTGGACTTGTTTCCTAATCAATAATGGACAGGCAATGTTCATAGCTAATAATCTTTCACCCAAACTTTCAACCAACTGGTTTAATCTATCATTTATGATATTTATATCATCACCATTATACCAGATTCTCCATCTTGAAATACCTCTAATACTATTTTCAATAATATTGAATTGAGCAGTACCATAATTCAAGGGTGGTGATTTTTCAGGTAAATTATAATCATTAATACACTTATTACCCAACTCAGAACTGAAGAATACTTGTAATCTATTTTCTAACCACATTAAACCTTCTTCTGGTTTTTTGCAAATTGTAATTCTAACAATATCTTCATTAAATTTTCGATAATTCAGCAAAAAGGAACTAGCATCAGTTATTGAATCAAAGTCAACATCCAAAAACTTCTTGGAAATATGATCATCATCATATGTATAATTAATAGTTCTATTGGCTGCAATTTCTAATAATTCTAGTAAGATTTTAAGTATTGGCTCCTTGGCAGATAATTCATCAAATCTTAAGATCGTCACCCACATTTGTAAACTCAACCCACTAATAATCAAACTTGGATGTTCAGTAGTACTTAAAACTAATCTTAAGTAACTATCAACATCTGCGGTTTCCCAAGATATGCGATTCTTGGAGCTGATATTAAGATATTCAGATATGGAAACAATCATTTCAACTGTCTTCTTTAACAATGAATAGACTTGTTCATCGATATCATCTGGGTCCAATTGTAATGATCGATAGAAATCACTCAATTTACTGATACCTTCAGTTGTAAAGATGGATCCGATGAAAAAATCGAAATCTTCTTGATTTGTATAACTTCTGGTAAATAAAATATGTAAACAATCAACTGCTAATGTTTTAAATTTCACATCAGGAATAGTTAAGATATTTATCAAAGTTTGCATTATGTTTTCATTTCTTAATACTGAAGGTTGTACCCAGTGTAAACAAGTCTTGAATGTTGACAAAATCTTAGGAATAAATGATTGACATGTGTTATTACTGAAATCAGTATTGTTTGATAAGATTTCCATTAAGAATTGAGACCATACAATAAACCAACCACTGGGGAGTGCCTTACAGATAGTTACATTTGGGTTATTTTCATAGATGGTTTCCAATACACTATTAGGAGTAACAACCAAAACTGCTAGTTGGTTTAATATAATTGACCTCTTTGACGCAATCGGGTCATCTAACAAATAGATATCTTCAAACAAAGTTCTAACAATAATCAAAGACAATTCTCGACAAGTGATATTATTGTCCCATAATTTTGATAAATCAGAATCCATTGATGTCCATCCGTCAATGAAGTCTTGTTCTGTATACTGAGGTGGTGGTAACGGGGCATCTTCTGAGTTCTCCGCTTTTATTCTTTCCTTTGATTTAACTAAATAACAGCCCCAAATCCGTTTGGCAATTGATACCCATAAGAATGCAAGCTTTTCTTTTATATAATGAGGGTCATCGGGTTCAACTTTCATAGCCAATTCAATTACCCAATTTCTAATTGCTAGACATTTATTTGTATCAAAAGTATGATATCTATAATTAATTGAGGTTTGTAATAACGACAATCCAAAGTGTCTAACTATGTAGTTCTTACCGTTATTTGCGTATGATGCTAGCTGATATCCCCAAAATGGAGATTGTTCATTTTGTTTAATTGTCTCCAAGAAAATCTGAGCTTCATGTCGTTGTACATTGGTAGATTTGGGATTATAAACAATGTCTAAAGCAGAGACGATTTGTTGAACACCACTACTATCCATTGTCATTTGCTAGTTAATGACGATTGTTGTTGGGATGTCTTTTAAAGTACAGATGAACTGATGTAAAATTAGTTTGTGGGCGTGGGTGTGTGTGTAGCGTGTGTTGACTTTTTTTCACGGGCGGGATGGAAAAAAGATGATTCTAAAAATTAAAATTTGGGGATTAAATTGATTATTGAGGCGAGTAAAATAGACTTGATTTCAATGATAATAATTTATTTACACTACCTGTAATGCCTTAAGTGATGAGAATTGTAATTGTGATTATAAATACGCCCAATTGTTCAGCAAACAAAAATACGCAAGATATTTGGGGCTGGAAATGAAAAAATTGAGTTTGTAGAAATCTTTTTGTTGTTCTTTGATATTGAAATTTGCGTGATTTTTTTTTTCTTATGTAACTTCTGCTTCTTCTTCTTCTGGTTAGACAAGTGATAAACCCCTTTTTATGTCTTCTCCGTTGGTTGTTAAGATTTGATGTAACTTCAAAAACCTAAAAAATTAAAGTTTCGCTTTGTTTGACCTTTCAATTGATTGTTAAGATATTCCTTCTTTAAGAAATAGGAGATGACGGAGGAAACAAAGAGGACTCCGTGTGATATGTTTCTTGCTTGTACTGTTTTTTTCTTTGTTAAGAGAGGGGTTAGTCTTTGTCTTACTACCTTAGCGTTCCTTACCTGGGCAATTTTTGTACCTTTATCTAATCGGAACAATAGGAGAAAAAAAAGGATTGGTGTCGAACGAAGTGAAGTATGGACAACAAACAATAGGAACAGCATACGATAACAACGATACGTTGCCATCTAAGCGAATTCAACCATATACGTGCATCGTCTTATCTTCTTTAAAACCAGCATTAAATTAAATTTTTGGACACAAACTTTATTGCTCAAACTTCGTCGGACATTTGACAGCAATTTTCCTGATAAACCAAAGTACCACCCCTGGAGCCTCTTACTGTGATGGGGTCTGTTAAGCATCGTTCCCTTACTTTTAACTTGTCGTTTAGACTTGCGAATGGATGGCTGACGAAATTATCTATCCGAAGGAATAGCATGAAACTTTTTGGTTGTAAAAGTTGGAAAATTTAAGCTTTCCTTGAAACCTTTCCTAACTTCGAGCCTATAACAAAGGTCCCTGTCACATAGAACTCCAGACTATTAACAATTGAGGCATCTGAGAATTTCCTGTAGATTATGGTTGATTTCCACAACACACAGTCAGTATATCTATTTTGCAACAATTGTTAAACTTATAGAAATTTTTCAGAAAACAAAAGGAAGACGCGCTACCACGAAACTAGAAGAAATGGCTTCATTTTCACGACAACCCCAGCTCTCTTTTATTGACTTTTACAGGGGTGATAGAGATATGATAGAACTGGTTACAATCTATCAATATCCACGTCTGACTAGTATTTGAAATTTCAATGCATTAATGTATTTATAAACTCTATTTGATAATACGAACATATACCCTACAAGTAGAACTTCTTCTTGTCTCTTTCCATATCTGGTCTGTATTCCCATATAATATCTCCTTTAACTCCCTTCTGGACTCTTCTTAATTTCAACGTGAATTGTGGTCCTAACTCTTGTAAACCAACTTTCTCTTCGTTTCTAAAGACATATCTATGTCTTCTAACAAAAATATAATCTCTTTGGTTATGCAATGTTATGACTTGTCTACCTTGAAATTCAGGTTTATGAGGGAAGATGGTTTGAAATAATTTACCTACTGTTTTACCTAATCTTGAATTAAAATTATTTAAAACCAATTCAGGAAGCCAATCACCGGCTTTCCCATGACCTTTAATTCTCTTACCATCAACGATTGATTTAATAGAAAAATAAAAGGATGGACCTTCAGGTAAGTTTATAAAAGTTAACCCGTTGACTACCTTTTTATCTTCATTTATCACAATTAAAGTAGTATAATCACGGTTTGAACTGAATTTGCAAATTTCTGGTATACTGTATTCACTCTTTCTTTTAATAAATGTGACATTTGGTAAGAAATCCATCAACATATCAGCAAATTCGTAAGCTTCTTTCTTTGCATTCTTATTAGTAGTCAATAAAATCTTTGGTTCTCTATTTAAATTTTCTTGAAATTCATCATCGCCCTCGACTTCAGCAGCTATAGTTTCATCATATACTCTTTTCGAATCTATAGTTTCTGGAATATTATTAGCTATTCTTTCTTCTCTAAGCTCTGGATTTGAACGTTCTTCTTTGGCTCTTTCTGCACGTAATTTATGACGTTCTTTATTCTTTTCATGTTTTAATTCAGCAAACACTTTTTGCCTTCTGTGTTTGTTCTTGATATTCTTTAATGCCTCACTTGTATTTTTACCTCCACTCATATTAATCTATAAATTTCTAGTCCTTCAGGTTGGTAGAATCTTATTTCAAGTTGTTTTATTTTTTTTTTTTTTTGGAGAGAAGTGATGAGCTTCTCATTTCTGATTCTTCGGAAATACATTTCCTAAATTGGCCTTACCGAAATAGGAAATGGATTCCTCGTCTTTGCCCCATTCTCTGAAAAATTCCAACCTCCTACCACAGTACTCCTCTTTATCTTCAACCTCCTTCGAATCAATCACCTAAGTACTCTAAGCGTACAATGACTTTAATAACCAAAGAGTGCATATACAAATGGGCCAATATAGTCAAATCTCATCCTACAGTTTTAAAGGATACAATATCTATTGGACCAACAGTCCATCTATCCAATCTACTCCATCAAATGCTTCAAACGACTCCCTCCACTACGACAGGTACAGCGGCTGATCCAGTTCCATTTCCCAATAGCTTATATACACCCTGGAATCAGGGCTTTCATTTCTTGTTTAACAATCAACTAAATTTAAAGCTCGGTTCGGATGGTTATGACAATTATCAAGCACCAATTAATCATCAAGGTGAACAACTCTATCTCAGGCGATTATGGGCCAGGGGTGAGATTCAATTCATTGACACTCCTAAGATCAATACCAATTTAACATGTACTGAAAGTATCAAATCAGTTAGAATGATAGAAGAAGATACGTTTGTGACTATTGTACGAAATTTCCAAGAATCGGAGACTGGGAAGGAGTTATTGATTGAGAATAGAACTTTGGCGTATACTAATCAATTATACAATCCTGCTAATAATAGATGTAAAGTCTTAGAAGGTGAGATTTCGTCGGCGAAAGATATGTGTATTTCATATGTTGATTTGTTGAAATACAGTATGTTGACATTTAATTTGCATAAGATTCATTTCGATCCCAAATATTGCCGATCAATTGAAGATTTGCCAACTACTATAGTCCAGGGCCCATTACAAGTTACATTACTATTATATTGGTTTGGGATCAATTATCCTGATTTGAAGGTCTCTAATTTCAAATATCGGACATATGAACCTTGTTTTGTTCATGAAGAAATTTGCTTGAATATTGCCAAAGAAAAGGACAATGAGTTTGTGTTGAGTATTTTCAACAAAGAGACCAAGAGGGTATATATTGATGGAAGTTTAACAACTTCAGTCTAGGAGGAGAACTGCTTCTCTTGGTACCGGAGTTTAAGCGTAGTTTAGTTGAATATATCAAAGCCGTGTATACTCCTGTGTATTTTGCATGTAAATAGCATTACATCTATACAAAACAGTAATAGCTCTGTAAGTGGATTCCCGATGGGGTTGGGTTACCTTTGTAGAGAGAGATTTAATTTCGACTGCGACGAATGTCGATCATGCTCGCAGGCATAGCCACCAACTTGGTGAATGGTCGTCAGCCCCGATGCCTAGTTGGGCCCAACTTACAATTCCTCAAACGTTACTCTTCTACTTCCCCTGACTTTCTTCATCTTTTCTCTCTATAAATCTTTATTAATATTCATTCTTCTATAAAAGCTAGACTAAAATAAAACAACCTTGTTTTTAAAATGCAAGCGCAAAAAAAATGCAATGATTTGATTTAATGTTACCAGACGAATACCAGATGCTAAATCAACTTTTAAATCCCCTGAATGTCGGAACTAAAACATTCTTCTTATAAGTATCCCCTATCATTGTGGAGCATGGTGACTTATAAGTTCAAAGTAGCCCTGACTTTCCCAATACAATAATCTTTATACTCCTCGACATAACCAGGATGATTCAATTGAACATCCCCAGCCAATTCACTAACAATTTCCTCATTTCCTGCAACAACAACCATTCCAAATGGTATATCTTTCAAATCCAAAAAGGTTTCTATCAATTTATTGTCAAATAACAAACTTTGTAAATTGTTAGCTACCAAGCGTCCCATATACATTGCCCAACCAGCAGATTTTATGATTGGTAATTCGACTAAATCGCCAATGACGAAGAAATTATCGATTTTTGAAGTTGGGGACGACCCAGCCGTGATTGCCATTTGGAGATATTCATTGACGTGGATGTTATTAAGTTTGCTGACATAGGTGGTTTTGAAATCATTGGATAAAATATCAGTGTTGTTATGTTTGGTAGTACACCAGAAATTTAATTCCGAAGGAATAGTCTTGTTGGTTGTAGTTATCAAGTCACCATTATCAGCTTCCCTGGCGATTCTGGTATTGAGATAGACATTCACACCTGATTTTTCAATGCTTTGTTGAACAAGAGTTTTGAATTCTTCAGATAATGGTTCTGCGGGAAACATACTATGAGGATGGATTAAATTAACTTCCTTTTCGGGGAATGCACTTTTGATATCACCAGCAATTTCCAACCCAACGGCACCCGCACCAATTACACTGATGGTTTTAGTCGTGGCGATATCGTTTTTTGATTTTGACATTTCCTCGACGAATAAATCGAAAGTGGATGCCCTAGGGGTAGTTGGCCAATTCCTATCTCTACCAGTTGCCATAATAACATAATCAAATTCAATGATTCCACGTTCACCTTCTTGATCATTGTTTAATAAATATTGGGCCTTTTCGCTATCTAAATAGGTAACAAGACCATGAACATAATTGAATTGCAAATATGGATTATCTTGCATAAAGAAATCATCTTGAAACTTTTCCTTGGATAAAATATTAGTGAATTTGAAATCTTTAAGTTGGTTAAAAGGTACAAATTGTGTCTTTGCAAATTCAGTATCCACAATTGCTTTTGGAATCCCCAAAATATTCAATAATCCATTTCTAGGTTCAACCAAAGTGATAGAAATCTTCTTTGGTTTCTCAACAGAAGCTAATCTTTGAGATAAGTGAGTTTTCAAAGCGCTTATAGTCGCCAAACCAGCATAGGCCCCTCCTACCACTAAGATATTAGTGGTAAAGGAGATTGGACTGGGCGAAAATTGGGGCAATTGACTTGGTTTTGAAAGTTGCTCGTAGTTCTTAATATACAGTGAATTACCCCAGTTAGAAGAACTCATTTTGTTAGTGCAACTTGATTTAAGTCTATAAAAATGTCTATTAGTATAAAGAACCCTTTTGTTGATAATCTTGATCATCATTCACAATATTTTGAACACCCGAAAATTTTTATCTTTTTCATCTTTTCAAAGATTATTACACAAAATAATTGTAAGAAAATAATTTAACTTATATTTATATTAGAGTTCAGCCATAGGCAAGATTGCTTGCTAGTGCATTTTTCTCTAGTGTGGTTCTTTTTTGGGATCTCTCCAGATATCGGTAGGCACACCGGGATCTAGCCGATTCTTGCTATGCAGTTGGTTTCTGTAAGATTTGTTTCCTGAAAGAGTAAAATCAAGATATCCGATCAACGGATTCTTTTTTGTTTCACAAAGTTCAAAGGGGGCGGTTCAAGGCTCGTAATTCGCTACAAATTTAGAAAATTTCTCTTGGTACACGACCAATAAAGCCACTTGATTCCACGGTTTCTCCATACCTCTGGGGAAGATAGTGTATGGTTCGTACTTGGATTTTGTGCTTGTGGTATGGATATTGTTGAAATAAGTTTCAGTCTGGCCAATAATAAAAATAGTGGAATATTTTCTGTAGAAATAGTCATAAATCGGAACTTCGGGACGAGGCTCGGTTCTGACGAATTTGGAAGGCTCTTTGTTAGACAAATCCTTTGTTGGTTTGGTATTGAGCACATACAATAGTGGTACGACATTGACATATATGTGAGATCCTGTTTCTCTCTATGGGCTGACTTTTGGATATTAATAGTCAAGTAGTATTTCTTTAAAAATGAAACAGGAGTAGTATCGACTAAGGATTATTTTATACACGTCTTCTAAGATACGGTGGATGTGTTGCCGTATGCGGACATATATTGTTGTGACTACACTGCGAGTAAATGGTATATCAACTACTACCTGGCAGAAGTTTGTTGGTCCTATTTGGCGAATATGGTGGCTCATGAAAAAAAGATTGGCTGCAAAATATCATCGGGATATGTTTTTTCTTGGAACAGACTGGACCGAATTGGTTTGAGACACGCAAATGATTTCGAGACACATAGGTTGGCAGTAATCATTTCCAACTGAGTGCAATTCATCTATACTGAGCTACTTACACAATCAACTTACACAAGCAATGTAAAATTTTTAACAATTAATTAAATCTACTTAATAAAAAAAACGAACAAATAAAAATCATATAAACGTCAATTAAATACTTTTTTGAAACAACTAGTATCACTAATTTTCAACAAACTTAAATATAAAAGTAGCAAAAGTAGCCAAGAAAATACATCCACAAATCATATTAGCACCAAACATATCAGCATATTGAACTGGTTTCTTTTCTCTAATCATTAATACTCTCCACATATATTTAAAAATTGCATAAATTAACGTAAACAAAGCAGTAATGAAAAACCCAATACTTGCAGTCAAAGCCGATTTAGTACCATAATTCAACAATGCCATAGCTGTAAAACCTAATAACATTCCAATTGATAACCAACTCAAAAATGTTCTTTCATTGGCAAAATAAACTTTTGGTTCGATTCTAACTGGGACGGAAATTGTCTTACCTTTTGGAATTTTGTCTTTAAAAGTTTCATTCAAATCCCAATTTGTACCTGGTTTGACAGTAAATGTACGATCATCATTGAAATAATGTAAAAAGGCTCCATAGGTACGATACATAAAGTTTCTAATTGGACTACGGGTTTGCCTTTGAGAATAAGTATTTGGTAATAATAATGGAGTACTTTCATCTAAATCTTCTTCCAATGGATTAATATCATTTGAGAAATGGACTCCAGTATATGACGAACCAGTTAATTCTTCCTCATCTAAATCATTTCCTGAACTTGAAGATCCACCTCTGATATTGCGATGATTATGACGTTGAATACCGACATCATGTTGGATCTTTGGTTTTCTAATATCAATATCCATTTGTGGGAACCAAAATGGTAATAAATTGACATAATCAGTTAATAAGCTAGCACCACCATGAATAAATTTGGAGAACTTAGGAACAGCTTCAACTAAATGAGAAGCAACTAATTCTCTAATCCAAATTGGAGGTTCTTGACCTAATTGAGTTTGTAATTTAACTTCCAAAACAGCATATGGGAATCTACAAATATCTTTTTCTGGTAATTGACTAAAAGGATAATCAATACCAATATCCATTCTTCTCCAATTTCCATGAGTACGATCATATCCATCAAAATCATCTTCTCTGACCATGGATAATTCAGTATCCAAAGAGATTCTAACTCTTGCATCACCTGGTAATTGGAATGCAGTTCTATTATAGAAAGATCTCATAACTGGACGATATTTTTCTTTTAAAATACGATATTGAACTTCTTTAGCTAATCTTTCTAAATTATCAATTTCTTGAGGTGATTTCTTACCTTCTTTTCTTGCCTTTTCGAAAATTTGAGCAGGAGTGAAATCACCTTTAAGATAAGAATTAACTTTCTTTTCTTTTAATGCAAATCTTGCCTTGACTGATTTTTCACCTGTCCAATCTTCTCTATGAGTTTTTCTTTCCACAAAGATTTGATCAGATTTCATACCACCATACCATCTTAATCTAATAGCTTCAGCACCTTCATCTTTTCTTAATCTACCATAATAAAGATCCATTTCTTTATTATCAAAGTAAATGGAAGTAATTGCAGAATCTTCCGGTTCGAATTCTTTATCAGCATTAAAAACTAACACGGGTAAATGTTTTAAAATGACTAATTTCAATTCAGTAATATTATCAGGATGAACCCAATATTTAGTAGTTTGTCTAACGAAATTTTGTTGCGAACCACCAGCTGAAGAATCACCTTTAATTGGATTACCTCTAGTTCTAACTAAATCATATAATTTAGATAATTTAACAATTAAATTATCATAATTATCCTTGTAGAAACATTTAGAATTTAATCTAACTTGGAAGACTGGTTTTAAATGGAATCTAGTAGTTTTATCATGTTTTTTAATGATTTTTTGGAAACCAGTATAATTTAATCTAGTGAATTTAGCCAAATCATGAACATCAGCAATAATATCACTTAATTCTTCTTCCAAATCTTCAAAATCTTGTTCTTGAGGTGGATTTGGAACTTGTGGATCATTATTTTGATATCGTTGTAAAGTATCAACTACTTCATAAACATATTTTTCCAGAGTTTTAATTCTTCTATTAACTTCAGTATTTTTGACTTTAGTGAATGAATATACTTTATCCAATTCAGTTTCTAAAGCATTTAAAAAATCTTCTTCTAATTGATTACTCCATTGATAATCATGATCTTTAAGTCCTTTTTTTAATTGATGTTTTAAATCATCATAAGCAATATAATAAAAAGAATAATTCTTGATCAATGATTTTCTTAAATGTTCACCAAACTTCATTGTTAGTGGCTATTGTCTTTGATTGATTAACTAACAAAGGGGAATGAATAAATTGGAATGAATAAATAAATTAAAAAAATTTGCAATGAAAACTTCTTGGACGTTTTTTAAAGTTTGGGGAGATTTTCAAAAATATGGATTTTATTTGTTAGGGATATAATCAGTGTAGTGTAAATTGGTACAAAAATGTCTGCTTATGTCCAGTTTTTAACAAACGGCTAACTAAAATTGATGAAGCAATTAAACAAGAAAAAGAAGAAGAATTTAAAGAATCAAGAAAAGTTAATTTTAAATGAAAAATACTTCAGGTTTTATAAGAAGACCTTATTTAATGAGAATACAAGTTAATGAATATTGGAGAACATGATGAGATTCCTGTATTTAAAAATAAATTTCCAACCCACGTGTGGATTCATAGAACACTAGTTGATTGATTACGAGAGATAATAAACTAATTATTATTTTTTGGATGATTTTGCACAACAAAATTTTAACGATACAACAATCAAATGGCTTTAAATAAATAGTTCCTATTCATTCCATTCTTTTTTTTGTGTGCCACCTTGACTGGCTAACCGAAAGGCAAACCTTCCCGCCCCTCCCTTAATCTAAGAGTAAAAGGGTTAATCTAACAGTTCAACTTGTTCCTTTAAAGCTTCATTCAATAAGATAAATGACCCTTCAGTCTGTTCAAATATACCCATCCAATTAAATAAAGGAATTAAGATTCCACCAAAGATTTCACTTTGAACAAGTTTCGTGGTATTTCCATCTATTTTGTCAAATTTAAATGAATGAGCACCACTAAATAACCAATTAAACCATAAAACACCCAACCATTTGAATTCATATTCATCATTAACCAAAACAGTAGGATACATTGACATTGGAGAAGAATTCCCCTTTGGTTTCATGTCAATTTTTAAACGATCACCAACTAATAATTCTTCTTTAGATTTATTGGTATACTTTTCAAAATTAACAAGAAATGGATTCCAATTCTTATGGTTTTTGTAATCTAAAAAGAATTCCCGAACTTTTGCAGCTGGTGCATTGATTTCAATTGATGTTGTAATTGACTTCATATTATGTACTGGATGTAAGATAAAATGAAGTAAAAGAAGATAGTTTCTTAAGTAAGATCTCTCTTCTTGTCTTTTCAATCTTATCCTTACCATCCGATTCTCATTTGTCTCAAAGGCTGGCAAAAAATTTAACAGACATTGCATTTAAAACAATTGCAACAAAAAATAATAATTAATAATCAGTTACAAAATAAATTAACAATTAGAAGCCACATGGATTCTAAATAATAATTTTATTATTAAAATTCTTAATAGAACAAATTTTAATTAAGATGGTTTAATTGAGTTTATACTCACACGAGTTATATCTTGATGAGGTTATATATATAATTGGTATTCATAGCTAACAATAGAAACCATATGCAATAGAATGGTTTCGCTACCCCCTTAGGCGAAAGAGTATAATTAACGGCAGTTGGGCAGTTCTATGAATAGTTAGCATTGAACATATACTGGATATTGATATTTCAATAATGAAAACCACGTGTATACATTTGTCAACAATACAAAATTAATACATTAAAAATTAAGTTGATTATTCATACTAAAATATTTATTACAGGTCATTCCAATTTTTAATAAATATGAACACGCACAATCAAGATTGATATGTTTTTGATTATACCAGAAAGGAAAGAGAAATGTAAAATATCTTTAACTCATACCGAGATGAATCTATGCGTTATGAAGGAATCAACTGTTCCAATTGGAGGCTTAATCTTTCAACTACATCTAATCGGAATTTTTTATACCGCAACTCGTTAATAATAATAGGTTTAACCAAGCTACTTGACCAGTTTTGATTTCTTTCCGTGAATCATACAGTTCAGTAAAAGACTTCCTTCAACTCATGTCGTCGAGTCGTAAACTTACTCATATTATTTCAGATCGGTGAGAAAAATGACAATTCGATCCGAAGTGAAAATTTAAAATAACCGATCTAAAATTCAGGGGAAAAAAGTTAATTGGTGCCCCACTCAAATCGCCGACCAGAGAAATTATAAATTCTTCCCTCCACCACCACCTTCTTTTCATTATCACCAACATAGGCCTAATCCCTAACATTATACTACCATGTCTAAAGAATACCAAGTCTTAATATTTGATTTCCCAAACATAGACAGATCAAAAGTCCGTCCACAACATTTCAAAGAAGTTCTTCCATCAATTGGAAATCCAATCAAGGCAGCCGGTGCATTGTATCATGATGATGAAAGAACTAAATTTTCTGGAAGTTGGTTTCAATTAGCTCTTGATTCAAGAGAGGCTTGTATTGAGTTTTTGAAAAAGGATATTTATTATCGTGAAGGAATTTGGGATATTGATTCGGCGGTGATTTATCCGATTGGATGTGCTGCTAGATTGCCTGTAAAGCTTGATGGTACTCCTGATGAACTTTATAGAGCTTAGATGAGTGAACTTGACACTGCCATGAGAGAGTTTACTGGATAGTTTCAAAAAATACATACGTCATATCAGAAATAACTATTCTTTGACCACTATTAACGCACAACTATTCTTATACATTCAATATGTTTCTGATAAATAAAGAGATAACTAAACTAAAGTTTATATTGTCTTCCAATAATGGCCAACAAATTCTCATACACCTTCAATCCAGACCCATACGACAATTCATATCCCATCCCACCAGCTCCATAATTATGAATAATATAATTCCCCCCTCTTTTCTCAGTCTCAATTCTTAATCCTGATTTTCTAGCTGGTCTAAGTCCAACATTTATTTTCAAAACATCAAAATACCTCTTGCCATCTTCATCAACCTTCATTAATTCCGGGAAATATGCTTCACCTCGTTTCTTTAATGCCTCTGTATCATCACGTCTAATTTCGGTCGACCATTCATTTGGTTGTTTTGTTCCACCTAAAATAACCCCACCATTGAGTGGTCGGGGGATCACAAATGTCCAATTCCCATCAGCATGTTGATATGTGATTGTTTTATCCAAGTATGGACAATCTTTGGGTGGGTTGATTAATAGGGTTTGTCCCCTAATTGGGAAACATTCCGGATCGTAGCCTCCGTTATATTGTAATCCCATCCCAGTACAATTTATAATAATTGGTTGATTGGGGATATATTCATTGACTTGTTTCAAGGATTCGAGTTTTTGATTGATGAATTTCACATCATATTCAATTAATAATTTCCTATAAAGGAATTGTAAATACATAGGAGCATTAAGTACCCAGGTATCATATTTGAATCCAATATATCCCTCTTTAACATCTTCTAACCTTGTGAAATTATCAATCTCTTCAGAATACCCCTTCCCAGCAGTTTTATAAAACTCATCAGGATTTTCCAAATATTCAACCCCCTCGACAAATTTAATCGAACTTTCAGGACAACCATAACTAAGTGATTTAAATTTCGACAAGGTTAATCTAGTTAATTTCATCTCAGCATATTCTTGAGAATTTTTCGATGGGAATGGTCTAAAATGAGCCCCAGCCCATGGGGATGTATATCTTGCATAATTCGATAAACCAGCATTCATGGATGGGTCATGAGGTCCGTATTCTCCAATGATGGTTAATTCATGGGGAATGGTCAAGTTTTCACAAATGACTAATGCGGTTGAAAGTCCAAGAACACCAGCTCCGACTATTACGATTTGTTGTTTGTTTGACATGTGTGAATAGTAGGTGATATTGATAGAGAGTAGATAAAAGGAAAGAAGGGGTTTATCGTTGGGTTTTATATATTGTTCAGTAATTCAACTTCTTTGATGAAAAATTTCAACTACGCGGCAATTTGAACAATAGCAGCCGATAAAAGAACAATAAGAACCGATTTTCCCCATCCAATTGGAAGATTATATCCGGCTAAAATCAACCCATATTGCCAGTCTATTGTATTTCAAGTTCGAAGTGGTTCGACATACTTGCACTAATGTACAATTCGCTATTCTTGGAAAGAAGACTTAAATGCCTCCAATACAAAAAGCCCGAAGAACAAAGACGTACTGTACATGGTAGCTCTGGCTTTGTAATAAATCTGAAAATCTATACAGATAACGAGTAAAACGTTGCATAATGTATCTTTGAGCACATCGATGCACATAATTAAGCCAATCCCGGAGATTTCCTTCAATACTAAGCTGGTTATTACGACCCGGCTAAGATTGCTGTAAAATCCATTCCTCTTAGAATTCTCGCAAACCAACGTTTGTTGATAAGCAACGAGCCCGCCACAACTTGCCTGTTTCCGGTTATATTCGGAGGAGAAGAAGGGGAGGGGGGTCCGTAGCAGTTTTGTGTCACTAGATATGGTCTCATTAGTCCATTCAAGAGGCGAATTCTTTATCAAGTGGTTAGTAGGTGAGGAAACCTTCGGCATTATTGTTGTTTATTTTCCCTAATGTGATCTAACAACTAACCTAATTAGTCACCGAGAGTTTCAGTTGGTCTTTGCCAATTTTGCAGAAAAAGTCCAAGCTTTCCTTCAAGGTTTTCCAGAATTGCATTGTTCCAGGCATGAATTGATCGTGGGAACCAAGAAAAAAAAAGAAAGAAAAAAAAATTAAAAATAAGGTTTGCCCCACTTGCCCAATCCAGACAACCAAACTTGAAATATCATATCGACTGCTAAAACCACCGTTCTCTTTGTTCTAACTTCCTGTTTTCTCATTCAATATGATTATAGTATCCACTAGACGCAAAAAAATCTCCCGGGGGTGAGTCGAACACCCGATCTCAAGATTACTTTTGAGGTACTCATTACAGTCTCGCGCTTTAAACCAACTAAGCTACCAGGAGTTATTTGTTGAATTTTGGAATTTTTTTCACCGATTGGTGGAGAGCTATTGAAGGGGTTCATGGATTCAAGAATGGGTTTTCTCGGGAATTGTGGTATGGTATATGGTACTTAAGGGGTTGTATTGTGGTTTGCTGTCATTATTTTGTAAGAATATGTTTGGAATAGCTTTAGGAGTCAAAAACTTGTAGTGAAATTAATTGCAAAAATTTTGGGAAATATTAACAAAAGTTATTAATCTGATAAAACATCAATCTGAGCTCCAGAACAATAACAACGTCAAAAACACAACGATAGCACGGTTCATAAGGGCTTTTAGAAGTGAAGATCTTTTCTTAAACCATTGTGCATGTACGTCTTAAGTGAAAATCATGTGAGAGAGGGAATGTTTAGAGTGCCCAAAGATTGAAGACATAATCTTAAGAAAATTAACATAAATGTAATTAATTTATAAGAAATTCGTGACCGACCTGAATTGAGAGAGCTCTTATTACTGAAGTGATACAACATGAGCTTCAAATTTTGTATTTCAAAATGTAAAGTTTCAAAATACTTTGAACACCAATGAAATTCCAATGAAACTGTCGAAGGTTCAAAATTAAGGTCAGGATTGGGCTTGAACCAATTAGAATACTAAAGATAAAGTGAACAACACATGTCCCCGAAAAGATCTATTCATATTGGTTCATCTCCAAAGGTGGATATTCACGTAGGTATTATAATGCGGCTACAAAATTGTTAAATGGCTGCAAAAATAATGATTTAGGCATTAATTTGCATCACTAAACAAGCTAAGTACGTATTAACTGTAATTTACTAGAGTTATATGCTCTTTACGTCACAAGACCATCATAGTCAATAATATATATAACTCCCCCCGCCAGACGCGTGGAATTATTGTTTTGGGGGAGCTTGGTTTAGTTATGATTTTCTCCCCCGCTTAACAAATGATAAAAACTTTAGTTGAATTTTAGAAATGTGGTGTATTATATTTTTAATAATTGCAATAATCAATTTTTTATAAAAATAATCTCTTCGCCTAAGTTCCAAACATTAATTCTTTTGCTCATATGCGAATAGATACGATATCAGATCTATGGGGTAAAGTTCAATTTAGTATTGTTGAAGCGAAATCGGCGCGGCTTTTGGGATTTTTCACGAAGAACAAAAAAAGTAAAACTCTAATCTTAAGCGGCAATTTATGTAATTTAATTTTTCGTCGATAACATCATAAAGGAGGGAAAGATTTTTTTTTTATAAAGTCCCCATCATTTTCTCTCCATAGGATTTTTATTCAATCAATCAATCAAAAACAGATTCAAGATCATCACACAATATGATGGGATATAGAGATATAGTTCCAATTGGAACGACTTTAATCATCGGAGCCACTTGTTTCGGCCTCGGTGCAGTATATTCCAGTTTACCTTATGATATAGATACGCTTTGGAGAAATGGAGGAGAAAAAGCAGTACAAGCATCACTTGCTCATTATTCACAATGGGGTAATGCACCAATGCCAATTCATTATACATTACATTTTGTTGCATTGTTGGGATTAATAGGTTCATTTATTAAATTATATAAACCAAATGATGATGCTAAATATTTCGAATATGGTTCATTGGGATTGTTTATGGTTGCTTTGATTATCTATTTGACTAATTTGAGAGTGGGGGTTAATTCATGTTTGACTGGACAATGGGGTGAAGTTGATATTGTGACTGGTATTAATGTCATGGCTGCTTCTCAAGTTATGATTGTCTTGGTTTTGGTTGGTGTTTTGGTTTTACAAGGTGGGTTGTATTATGCTGAATGGTATGATAATAAATTAAAGGAAGACTTTTATAAACAAGAAGCACAAGAAGCTGCTAAGGCTGCTGAAATGCAAGCTAAACAAGAAGAAGAAGCTTTAGCAACTGGTGCAAAGACTAAGAAGAAAGAAGGTGATATTAAGAAAAGAAAATCTTAAATTGAGGACAATTGTTCAATTGTCTGATTTAGTGACACTATAATGTTTTGTTTTTTAACTCTGTACATCACGTATATATTTGTAGATAATACATGTTTCTTTGCTAATTATCGATTCTATATCAACCTTGTCAAAGGGATCAAATATTAGTCTCTGTGCACGACCTTTGTAAATGCGAATGGTTTTTTTTTTCATTTCTACTGTCCAATTAGGACACCAGAAGTTTTCATTACCTTAATAGAAAAAAAAGGTGAAATATCGAAAAGTTAGAAGCATTTCATTTACAACACAAACTAGCACAACAATATCACAATGGCATCCGCTCGTAAGGTTTGGGGAGACTATCCAGTATATTATAAAAACCCAATTAGAGTATGTCTTTTTTAGAGGTGAAATTTAAGTTGGTATCTTGTTTGTATTACGGGGAGGAGGGAGTCACCATGATCTTTTAATTGCACGTCCTCTGGATTGGTGAGGGACGAAGATGCATAGTCTTAGACAGGAGATTTAATTTGTATGACCTACACACACGACAGGCTCATCTGATGGTTTAGACATAGTTTTAAAACAGATAGGCTGCTGACCCCGAATGAAACAAACCCAACGTACAAAACAGCCATATCCAATAGGATCATATACTAACAGATAATTCTAGTTTTGTCGTTATCATGCACACGTGAACCCACATCTATTCCTTTCCGTTGTCTTAGGTGTAAGTGGTCCACTTTTATTACTTCTTACTCCATTAAGAAGGAAATTCTTATATGAAGATTATGCCCCAGTTCCATATACTTATCCACTTCCTACCAGAGCAAGAGACGCTACTTTGACTGGATTTGATGACGAATAAATTGTATAATATAATATAAAGTAAGGGGAAGGGGAGTGCTTTTGCATCAAGAAGAGATGGGAGATATTGAATGCGTTTTCCTATACAATTCTGCTGTCTATTTTTATTTGTTTAGTTTTTGTTTTCATGGAGTGTATGTCTGTTCTTACCTCCTTCAACGGGAGGAAAGGATATAGAAGTGTATATCTTCATATATTTATATAACTTGTTTTCTTTATAAAGTAACGATCATTTTTAAAATACATGTATTTATCAGTAAATTTCGGATATTGTAGAAATTCTCTTCTTCTACACTGAAGTTTATGACTCCCTCTTGTCTATAAACTGTTAGCTAACCAACTTAGACTCTGTCAGGGCCAGAAGAATTATGTGCTATTAACGTCTACACCAGCATCCGGTAGCTTGAATATTTGGCAGATCCATTGGTCGTGCAAATTTCCCAAAATCATACAATTTTTCACTATTGAAAATTTTTTCTTCAATTTAATATCAAAATCACTCTAATCCTTCAAGGTCCAATTAAGCACAACGCCTAGTAATGAACAGAATTTCATTCATTTCCCGGTCTTTCATAAGACCCATGACATTTGGGTTCCAGTCCAGAGCCATTTCATACACTCCAATAGCGCGTTCCAACATATTTGGTGGATTAACTTCAACTGAAAGTCCAACCAAGAAATCCGAATTACCAGCTAATGAACAAATCCAAGATGATGATGGGAATTTGGACTTATCAAAGATTACAAAAGAGACAGATAGTGATTTAGTTGAATTCATGGCTAAGAAATCCGCTGGGGCACAAATCAAATTGGAAGATTATATTCATCCATTAAAACTTGCATTATATAATAACGTCGTTGCCGAACATGGATTTTATAAAAATGGACAAACAGTAAAACATGAAAACAAGTATTATAAATTGAATTTAACTCCAAAGGAAATTGAAATCTTGGAACCTTCAATATATCTTGAATCATATAGAATTAAATCATCAACCAAAAAAGCTACTCAAGTGAATAGATTTGTTAGACAATATGATCTCAAAACCGCCATTAATCAATTACATTTCAATCCCAAGAAGATGTCTACCGAATTAGAGAAATTATTAAAAAAAGGGTTGGAACAAGTTCGTGAATTAGGATTGGATGAAAACAAGGTGTTTATTCAACAATTATGGGCCGGTGATGATGGGCAAGCAAGAAAAAGATTACAATTTCATGCCAAAGGTAGAGTTGGATTTCTTAAACATCGTTATGTTCATTTGAAATGTATTTTAAAGACTGAACAAACTAGATTAAGACTTGATTGGGAAAGGAAACAAAGACATTTAGCTAAGAAACCAAAAACTGTCTTAAATAATGACCCATTGAACTTTAAGGTTAGACCTATTTATAAATGGTAATCAATTTTGGAGTATAACTTTTGTACATAGATCATTTGTAAATATTAGTTAGTAATAAAAATCATTTATAACGGTGGTCATTAGAAGAGATTAAAAAGGATGTTTATCTCGTCAACTGTTATCAGAATAGGTTGCTCCCTATGTAGACGCTTATCTCAGAGTTGTAATGTAGTGAAGATCCTATAGAAATAATTTTTGCAACCCAGCAACCGAGTCTAGAAGAAGATTTGGGGCAATGTAATTAAAATTTTTTTACTTGTATTGTACTGTGAAGATACTTTTTTATAAATGACCAAAAGACAACTAACCAATTGGATTTTATACGAAGCTAAAAAAACCAAACCAAATCATTAATTACATCATTCTAAAAGAAGATCGGATTTTCGGAATTCTATGAGAATTGATAATAAACGAGGAAGTGGGGATGATCTATATGAATCAATTAAAAATTATGGCAATTCTGGAACGAATTAAAATATTAAATTACTAATGTCAAAAAAGAAAACTTGTGTGGGAAACGAGGTTGAAACCGGGTGGCAAGAGTTAAAAGCAATGAATGAAATAAGAAAGAAGAGGGGTTAAAATGTTTAAAACAACGACTCAAGGTAATAGAAAAAGATTCCAATTAGATTCATCCCGACTCAGACAGGTGATAGAGTACAAGAAAGTGTGATGGTTTTCTGGCCAAATCTTACGAGGTGAATGAGTGTGAGATTAGGAAAGTATCACTGACTGAAAATCAAAGAAAAAAATTGAAATCTTGGGATTCCCTGGGCAGAAATCTGGAAGAAAGGACATTTCATTCATGATGAATTGAAACGTGTATGACGATTGTGTCTCTTTTCTTAACAAATTCTAGAACAAAGCAATTCGTCTAAAATACAAAAACTGTGTATGTGTGAAAATCCAAAGTTCTGTTTGTCGGAGAATATGTGTGTCCTCTCCCCACGAATGTCAAAATCTAAATCAGGATACCCTGTAGCCCGGTGGTAGTCAACCGCCTCCCTTCTACCATTAAAAAACTTATTCCATTGATGAGTATGGATTAGGACATATTTATAGATGTAGTTTCAATTGAAATGATATTGTATGGTCAATGGATAGTGAAAGGTTGAAATAGGAAATGTAGTATGGGGTAATGTGCATTTTTCTTAAATCTGTAAAAAAAAAAAAAAATTATAACGGATTAAGAACAATTGGGAAGTAAAAAAATAATTTAACTATTGTGTAGTTAACTATTAATAGGTTGCATAATTTGCAATTTAAGTTTAAAATGTAAAAAAAAAAAGATTACAATTTTACAATTTACAAATTTATTATGAGGTATTTTAAGTCATTTAACTTTTTCTTAATTGTAATATAAAATTCACATTACAGTGTGACTAAGTAGAATTCTTAATTAAAATTAAAATTATAAAAAGTGTCTGTCATTTTACAATTTATATTTTACATTCCTAATTCTCCTTTTTCTATTTCTATTATTAATTGGTTACAATTTTTACTTGTTAGTACAATTTTAACACATTTACACTATTTGATATTCATATAACCATACTTACCAATACCATCCCCCCACCCCCTCCCCCATATTCTTCGTAATCTTTAGGAAAAAAAAAGAGTACAAGAACAAAAAAGGGGATTTGAAATCAAAGAGATAACAGACGAAAGATATAATTATATAACTCGACTAAAACCAGTTCAGGGAAGTATTGAAAAGGTAAAAGAATAATTCAAGAACAAACAACCCTTTCATTTTTCCCCAACAAAAATACTACAGAGTCATTACTTAAAGTCATATAAAGTGCATTAGTTTTTTTAAACCACCATCATCATAACTACCACCACTGCCACTACCCCCTTTTTTTAAAAGAAAGCAGAACTTATTTAAACGATTACTTTAACTACCACAAAAACAGAATAAAAGAGTAAGAAACAATGGGATTAAAGTGTACTAATTATTTCGAGAATTCAAAATATGATACCCCAAATATTCAAATTATAACTTGTAAAGGTTGTTCATCACATTTATGTTTATCAGATTTAATATTAAGTGATAATTTTAATGGAGCAAGTGGTCCAGCTTATTTAGTTGGTAATTTAATTAATATTGAATTTAATTTAATTTCTGAAGAAACTGAAATGAAAACTGGTATATATTTAATTAATAAAATTAAATGTCATCAATGTAAAAATCCTTTAGGTTGGTATTATAAGAAATCTTATAGTTATGAAGAAACTTATAAAGAAGGGAAATTTGTAATTGAAAAGAATTTTATTAAATTTGTTGATAATCATACAACTACTAAACAATTGATTGAAATTGCATTAAAGAATAAAAATAGAAGACGATCTTCTACATTACAAGAAGAATTTGATTCAATAGAAGATGATCAAAACACGACTACTACTAATACTTCCCCTACCAATAAGAATTCAAAATTAAAATTCTTTTCTTATCAAATTAAAAAGAAAAAGACAAATTCAGATTATCGACAAAATGGGTTATATTTAACATTTTCTGATGATCAATCTACAACAAGTTCAAATAGTTCAAATTCAAGTACTGGATCTACCACAAGGCATACTCACCACAGTCATCATCATCATCCTCCACCTCATAGGCATAGTGCAACAACCGCAATTATCGAAGATGATGATGACGAAATATACGTAGATGCTTAGTGTATTGAACCCATCTTCATCCCCTACCGTTTCTTGTCCATATTATCTGCTTGTGTTTTTTTAATTAATTGTGATTGTTGCAAAGGTCTCTACTACTACTACCACCACCCTCCGCCCCACATATTTATTAATTAGTTCCCCCTACCACCATTTTTTTTGTATATCATCTGGTATATGATATTTTTCACTCATCCCACTCCCCCCTTAATTTAAGCTTTTTTTTCTAGATGTCATTATTGGTGTTATTACGACAACTACAGTTACATCCTACTCTATTCTCATTGTTGCGTTTGGTTTTTTATTTTATTTTCCGTTTGATTTGATTTTGGTTTTTTATTCTGGTTTGGTTTTTTTGGTTTGATATTTTTATGGTTCTTATTTTGGTTTTTATTTACTTCATGATGTTTTTATGGTTATTCCCTATTGTTTGATGTGGGATTTGTCTGGAGTAGAGATTTTCAGAGAGAAGTAAGAGTTATTCTGCTTTTTGTTTGATTGTTAGTATTCTTATTTTGTTTGACCTCTTTCCTGTGTCTTTTTGTTACTTTTCTAATTACATATATCATCATATTGAAATATACAAAGTAATTTAAGCACCTCTTGTAGGCACAGCTTGTAGATCTACAATTTGTTATCTCTGAAATTAAAGTGCTGCCAAAAAAAAATATTTGCAACACATTATCAATACGTTATCAAATTGCGCATTCCATGAGAGATACTTTTAGTCTTACTACAAGAGAGATATTGAGTTAAGTTTACTCTTATTTTATAATTAGTGTATTAAATTTATCCTATAATACTATTTTATGACATTTTATTACACCCTCTTTCTTCTCTTATACCCCCTTCCCTTTTTGTTATCTTCTTCTACCAGTTCTTGTTCCAACCCTCTCTTATTATTCTTCTTATTCACCAAAGTAGGAGTCAACTTCGTATATACCAACACATACGCCGACGGATCAGTCAACGCCTTCCTCTCATCCAATTTATTAATATATTCATCATCATAAGTATACCAACTATATCCATCCGGTTGAAGACAATGAGCGACATAATGTCCCGAACTGATTGATCTACCTTCATGAACAATCACGGAAACTAATTTATATCTTGCCGGTTCGGCCCCTGGTTCACAATATTGAGAAATATCGAGATATTTATTATAATTGATTGATTGTTTTACTTTTGATGATGAATTGCCATTGAATTTGAATCGCTTGAGGTGGATGGTTAATGTTTCTGGAGATCTATTTATGAGGGAGATTTTATTGGCGGAGGTGTGGGATTGACATTTTTCACAATAATAGCCGGAATTCTTTATTTTTGGGTCGAGTTTGATGGTTTCATTGCTGAAGAAATCACGAATTGATTTTTCAATTGAAAATTTATTAGTTGGAGTTGGTGCTTGTGATTGTTGTGGCTGTTGTTGTTGTGAATTCTCCTGTGATTGTGATGATCCATCTTGTGATTGCGGTTGTTTTAATTTCTTCTTATTCAAACCTAATGATAAATCATAAAATTCTTGTTTTGTTTCAGATATATTATGACATTTCATACATGTAATTCTTTGATGCAATAACCCTCCAAAAATATCATAAATTATAGATTCATTTAATTTATGCCCCTTAGGAGTAGAATCTTCTTGTAATCGAGATATCAATGACATATAATATTCATGAGAATCTTCTTGTTGCCATTCACTCATCATACAATTAATATCATCCAATCTCGATATGATTTTCTTCGGATTAACGAATTTCATCGGCTTATCCAATCCCCACATCTTTTTAGATAAATCTGCCAAAACATGACTTATTGAACGAGGTTTTAAAACCTTGTTGTATTTCCCCTTATTGATATCATTAAGATAATGTTGCATGGCTGGTATGTGGACTAATGATTGAATAGCAGAGTTCATATAACATGTAACACCATGATTCAAAAGTCCTACTGGTTTTTTATTGGTTAATTCACGCCAATTTTTATAAATTCGTGTGGAATTATTCGAACCTCGATCATTTGGATCTTCATTTATTTCAAGAAAGTGATATTCTGGTTGTTGTTCTGGAACTTGTGGTTTCATATCATCATCTTCAGGTTCTTCTTCTGGAGATGTGGGTGGGGTACTTACTGCACTTGTTCTAGTTGGGGCTTGAATATTATCCAATCCATCATCGTCTTCGTCATCTTCTTCATCTTCATCGTCTTCTTCGTCGTCTTCGTTGTCGTCACCTGCGTTAACTAGTTGATCAACTCTCAAGTCATGTTTCAATTTATCCATATCTTCATCTTCATCAATGGCATCTTCTGAAGAACTTGGTGAGGCAGTGGATGTTGAAGATTCGGAAATTGGAGTTTCGTCTTTATAATCTGCATCTTCTTCTTCTTCTTCTTCTTCCTCGTCATCCTCTTCTTCTTTATTAGCATCAGTGCTGGACTCCTCCACGATCAGTGGTACTTGTGGCTGAGTCTTTTCTTGTTCTTCTTCTACTTCAGTCTCTTTCTCAGGATCACTGAATCCAGTAAATGGAGAATACTCATTCTCTATATCTTCACCCAAATCTTCATCAGTAGTTGTGGCTTGTGAAGGAGGAGTAGAATTATTAATACTTCTAAATGGTAAAAGTGAAATTAAATTACTAAACATTCGTGAAGTAGTACTACTTCCTTTCTTTTTCGGTGGTTCTTGAACTTCTTCTTGTGGTTGTGGTGTTGACTGTTGTTCACTGTCTATATCTATACCTTGATCCTCTTCTTCTTGTTCTTGTTTATTTTCTTGTTGTTGTTTAAGTTGATCTAGTTTACGTTTTTGTCTCTTTTCTTGTTTAGTAAGAAATTTTTTTCCGGTATACGCCGCAAGAGCCTCCGATAATGATTTTGGATTTGTAGGAGATGAGGAGATGGAGTTTAGATTAGATGATTTTGTATGGGTATATGCAGACGATGACATTGAATTAGACAGTTGTGGTTGAGGTGTTGGTGATGCTTTAGATAAGACTATATAAGAAGATGGAATATGAGATGATGATGATGTAAAATTGGTCGTGTCTTGATTCTTTGATTGTTTAAATGTTAAAGGAGTGGAAAGATATCTATCAATTATAGGATTAAGGGTATTGTTATTATTATTAGTGTTGTTAGTGTTTGACTTTGTAGATGAATGTAACATCTATGCAGGAGTGTAGTATCTATTGTAGTAAGTAGGTAGTAAGTAGTAGGATACAAAGTATCTGGTTGTAATAATCTTCTTTCTTAATTGAAAAAAAATAAATGTAAATAAATTTTAAACTCCAAAAAAAAAAAAAAAATCAAAAAGTGAGGGATGTCAAAAATTTCGATTGTAATAATTTCTTTTTTTTTTCTTGGTGTGTATTTGGTGGTGAGTGGTGAGTGGTACTTGTAGATTTCTGTGTTTTATTTAGTCGAAATTTTGCAGTTAAAAAAAAATAGAGGTTGAAATCTTCTAAGTAATTAATTAATTAAATTTGAATTAGTGGATATATTAATATTTCTTAACTTAGACTAAAGCTTTGATAGTTAATTCTAAGGGATATAAGTTTCTATGAATGGGACTTTCTTTATGAGTTTCTAGTAAATCACAAACCAAATTTTATTGTAAAAGAAGGAAACAGTGAAAGGAAGGCAAAGTAAAATTTTTTTTTTGCTCTTCTCAGTCCTCAGTCTTCCCGTGTTAAATTAATTGTAAAAATAGAACGGAATGAGAAAGAATAAATTAAAAATTGATGCGATGAACAATGAGTCGCACAAAATCAATTTTTTTTAATACGTGTAATACAAAGGGGAGAGAGGTAAAAAAAAAAAAGGAGAAATTGTACACAGCCTATCAAATTTCACAGATTCAGGTTCAGACACTGGAATTTCATTTTGATCTGCCAAAACCCCCTTCCCCCCCATCCTATTCCAATTTCAAAAAAAAAATGTATATATAGAATCATTGTTAGGCTGTAAATATAAATCATTTCTATCAAGCCAGGAGTAATTTGGTTTCTCACTCTGGAACATTTTACGGTTGTGTTGTTATTTGGATTTTAACGCGTCTAGAATTTTTTATTTACAAATACTGATTACATAATCAGTACTAATATTCCCCTGCAAAACCAAGCATTATCATCATTCACAATCGCAAATTAAAACTTTTACAATGATATAAAGAACCTCTGGGAAGAAAGATGGCAATGGGAATCCCAAAAGATGACCTTGTTGTAGATATTCTTGTTGTACTTTTATTGTAACACACTAGTAAAAGCTTGCTTTACTGAAAGTAAAACGTGCCAGATGGGATACAGTTAACGGGATGATAAACATATAATATTTAGAGGTATTCTCAATGAGGAATGCACCTTTGCTTAAGTTTTCAAAGAAGTATATTAGCAAGTATATCATTTGATTTGACCTAATTTAACTTCTACAAAAATTTGTTGATGTTTTTTTTTTGCAACCATTTGCATTTGGTTGTCAAAAAAAAGGAGGCAGCCAAATAATTTCAACCACCTTTCTTTTACTAACAACACACACACACACATCATCATCATCCTTTCCCTTCCGGTTATAATAGTACTTGTCAATTGATGACCAATTTAAACCAATTAGTTGACCGTTTAAGAGATTCATTTAACCAACTTCATCAATACTTTAGAGATACTTTAACTACTACGGATGTCTCATACGATGATTCATTAGATGATCAAGAATCAATCATGCCCATGAAACATCATAGAACAACCTTCCATTTCTAAATTGATGTGACTGCTAAAGTTTTTGCTCATACTTTTTCAGCTTTTTGTTATGTTGCTTTGTTTAAAATTTGCTTGCTTGCTTGTATTTATTTATATTAGAATCTGTTAAACTTCGGACGTGACATGAAAAATTTCTCCCAGCTGTGACTGAGTCCCTTGTATAGACATATAATTTTGTGGGAATCAGGTACCCCGTCAGCTTTCCATCTACTTTTACTGAAAACCATAAATTAATTTGTGTAATATGGTTTTCAATAAATGTATTTGGAAAGTTAATGGGGTACCTGATTCCGTCAAAATTATATGTTTATACCCAAGGACTCGATCACATTCTGGGAGAAACTTTTCAGGTCGTGTCCGAATTCGTCATTCAGACTTTCTTTATTTAAAATTAGTTAGAACTAATTGTTTGTAAATTCCTCTCTTCATAGTTAAGCAAAATTTCCTGCCTCAAAAAAAATCCTCCCCCCATGAAATTTATTTCTTACGCAACTACCATTTATCTCTGAAACAATCACCTTTAAAGGTTCACAAATCAATCGAATACATTCATCCCACAATGTCATGCTCCCATGAAATAGCAGCTGCATTGGAAGTCGATAAACCAGACCAGAATCAATCTACAGTTGTAGATCTACAAAACCTTCCTGTACTACCAGGTCAACAACCTGGATCCACCAATTCAACAACACTGACAAATACAACTCTTACCACAGGAAAACCAAAATCTCCTCCCATCTCCAACAAAACAGAATCATTCTACTCCTTACCACCAATATCCTCCACCCTTGGCGAAAAACGTCCATGGCGTCAAGATCCCCACTATTTCTCCAAATGTTACATATCATCCCTTGCCCTTATGAAAATGACCATTCATGCTCAATTGGGAGGTAGTATTGAAGTTATGGGTATGTTAGTGGGGAAAATCATTCCGGGGTCAATTATAGTCATGGATGTCTATCGTCTACCTGTCGAAGGAACCGAAACTAGAGTCAATGCCCAAGCTGAAGGATATGAATATATGGTTCAATATTTAGAAATGAATAAGAAATTGGATACTTCAAGAATGGAGAATATTGTGGGTTGGTATCATTCTCATCCTGGGTATGGATGTTGGTTGAGTGGGATTGACGTGAGTACTCAGGCTTTAAATCAGGGGTTTCAGGATCCATATGTTGCCATTGTGGTTGATCCGATTAAGACTTTGAGACAAGGAAAAGTTGAAATTGGGGTTTTTAGAACATATCCTGATGGATATGTCCCACCTCAGGAAAAACAAACTGAAGGAAATTCAAAGAATTCAACTAGTGGTAGTAATAAAGTTTCGAAGATTTTACCAAAATCGAAACGAAAGGATTTTGGAAGTCATTCAGAAAGATATTATGCATTGGATGTTGAGATATTTGGAAGTCAACTTGATCAAAAGATTATTGAAATGCTTAGTTTTGAAGATTCTTTATCATGGTTGAAAAATATGTTATATAATACTGAAGATAATTTTAAAGTCATGAGGGATAAAGATGTTAAATCAATGCAATTTACGAAAAATTATGATTTAATTTCAGATGATCAATCTAATGATAGTAATAATTATATCTTTAAATTAGTTGATCAACTTAGACAACATCGAGCACCTGCAGATTCTTATGAACGAGTTATTGGTAGAAAATTTGATAATGATTTCGAAGATAAAATTTATGAAAAATTATTAATGGATCCCAAGGGAGGGAGAAAAGGAAAAGCTAGATCACATATAAGAAAACCAAAGCGCACGGGTGGGTCCAATGAAGTTGAGTCTGAAGTACCAGATGAAGAACAAGTCGATTCCCGTGACAGCAACGAGAATTACGAGGATGAAGAAGATGATGATGAAGATGACGTTATGGATGAAAGCGATTTAGAAAATGAAAGTGGAGGTTCTGATGGAGATGGTGATACTGCATCGATAGAAAGTGGACCCGGGAATCAAAGATTTAGAGTTTCAACTCCAAGAAAACACCAACTGCAAAGAAGCAATGAGTCCAAATCTGATGAAGAGGAGATCGATAAATTAGAAACAAATAAAGAATCAGAAGAAGAATATGATGAATTGGGTTCACAATTGCAAAACCTAGGTGGGACATCAGAAGAACCAGAACAGCCACAACAACAGCAACAGCAACAGCAGGAAGAAGAACAGCAAGAGGATATTTCAATGGAGGGAATATACATGCCAGATAGAAGACTGAAAATTGATCAAAGAATGCGTGAAAATGCATTATTAAAAAAGAGAGGATTTGGAATTGACAGAATAGATTCTAGAAAATCCGGAAATCCAAGATTTGGATCCCCTAGAGGCGGTGGCGGTGGTGGAAAATCATATCCGTCTTCGTCTAAGAATAGTAGATTTTTGGCTGAAGATTTCCAAAGATCAACCAATTCAATTCGTTCAATGGGATTTTCGGAGTTTGGTGGATATAGAAGAACTGCATTTGTGGGTTCTGCTGCTACTCCGACTACTGGAAGAGATGATGCTAGAAAGAGGATTTTGGAAATAGCTGAATTGGCTAAAAGTATTGGTCAAAGAGAAGTTTATGATTTAATTACTTTAGAAACACAAGAAAAATTGTTCAAATAGTAGAGCCGGATTGCTTCGCTTAGAGTAGTTTGTAATATTGACCTACAAGTTTTCCTTCTATAATTTTCTATATTTCTATTAATATTTTTTGATTTCTATTAATACTTTTACATATGATACATATTAACTAGAAGCCAGCTTTTGTATTTCAGCAATTTTTATTAGCAATCATCAGCAAATCTTAAGTTTTCTTCTCATTAGATGCTATTTCTGATTCTGTAGGATAATAAACATAACTTGGAATAGCAAAAGAACCATGGCTTGTAGTTGAATACTCACTTGGGTCGAATGGAGGGTAATACTGCTGGTAAACATTATAGTAAGGGTTTGGGGAAGGACCAGAATGAGCACTGGCTGGAGTTCCAAAACTTGACATTACATCACCACCTGGAAAATAATAGAAAAGAGGAATATTTGAATTATTAATACTACTTCCTCTACTAAGATTGTTAGCATTTCTATAATCGAACTTTGGAAAGATACCCCGTTTGGATTTGAATTTAGAATCAGGACGGTCGCCGCCCCTACTTGGATTTTCTGGGGATTGAGATTCATTATTAAGATCTAATTGGGTTGGGTTGGAAGCCAGCCAAGTGAAGTAATCGCCTTTGGACTTCTTCTGATCCCCCCTATCGGACTTGGGAGGTTTGGAAAGCCCAGCGCTTCCACTAGAACTACCACCAGCACCAGTAACAATAACTCCTGAAGACGAAGATTCGATAAATTCATAAGGTCTTTCATTTGAAAACCTTCCAGTATTGAATTTACTGGTTCTATTGAAGTTCCGATTATAATTATTTGAAGGATAGCTGCTAAATTTTGTCTGTTTACCAAACTCATACATAGTTTTGTACCCTCCACCACCTCCTCCAATATACCTCGTATTTTCATTTACTGGCCTATTAGTAGTTGTTCCAACTCTTTTGTTTAAATTGATGGGTGGCGGGGCCAATGCAACACCATTAAATGAAGGAGACCTGGAAGAGGGAACATGGATTTCTCGATACTGAACATGCATAGTTTTGCCACAAAACATTGAATGATTCTCTCTTTCCACCGAGCTAGCTGCACTAGTTTCTTCTTCAAATTTGATAAAAGCAAATGTAGTTGACGGTTTTTTAATCAAATTAATCTCAGCAATTTCACCATGTTTTTCAAACCTATGGCGAAGGTCATCTTCAGTAATTTCCAGATTTAATTGACCGACAAATATAGAAAACTTATCAAACTTTACCTTCATTTCAATACTATCATCATTTTTAACAAGTGCAATGGAAGCTTTTGTATCTCGTTCGATATTTTGAGCCCATTCAACTCTATAGAGATTTTCTTCAGTCAAATTAGCAAAAGCTCTAATTGCATCATCCCGATAAACAAACTTACAGAACCAATTCCTATAACCTCTCAGAGGATTTCTAACTTCGAATATTTCACCCTTGAAACTACTAGGAAGCAAGTTCTCAATTTGGCCATATTTAATTAATCTTTCCTTTACAACTCCTTCTGTAAGGAATGACTTTGAACTAATAAACAAGGTTCTATTAACTTTAGCAGCTTCACATCTTATATTTCTACCATCTAAAATTGAGTTATGACCCTTTTCAATTGCATTCTTAGAATCAACATCATTAGTATATTGGACAAAAGCATATGGGCGGTTGCAAGTATCTCGCAAAACCTTAACAGTAGATAATTTCCCCCATTTTTTAAAATGATTAGTAACCGACAAACATAACTCATCATCTGATTTGGTTGAACAAAGACTAGCTACAAAAACACAAGCAGAAGGACGACCACGAACAAAGCTTGTTTCCGATCCACCACTTTTTAGCTTTCTAGTGATCAATTTTGAACCTTCTAAATCGCTTTCGTGTTCACTAACTTCACTACTTGACACTGATGAAGATGATGAACGCATACCGTTGTCACTCCAAGGTTTTGAATATAATGAATTAATATTTTCTCTAGGTGATATTGTAGGTTCTAAAACATCCAATGACTCAATATTATTATCAGTAAGAAAGCTATCAGAAGAATGGGATTTGTTTGACAGCTTTTCCGAAGACTTCATTTGTTTTGAAATAATAGAAAGAATTGCTTTTAGAAGATGATGATATTTATTTTGTTAGGATAGATTGGCAGAATTTACTTTTAAACTTGACTGCAAATCTTTATGTATAGACTATTGGGGAGGAATTGGAAAAGAAAAGGGGGAACAAATTGATTTGATTAAGCTGTGTGTTTTATGTAAGTTAGTTGCGGGGGGTTTCTTGATTGATTGATTGATGTGGTTATTGTATGTTTCTGTTTCTGTTGTTGTTGTTGTCGTGTGGAATATAAAGGAAAAGAAAAGTTAACAATAAAGCAAAGGGTTCTATTTTTTTACAACCAACTTTCTATTTTTACTAAGAGAACAAAAAGAACAATGGTTGCAAAACTTTTTTTCTCAATGTTGTAATTTTTTTTTCTTAGCCAGTTTGCCCTTTTTGGACATTTCCGTAACGGTTGAGGCTGTCACATTAAAAACGTTAAGTATAACCGAACATTTTATGTTTGGTATGTACATTTTTATTATTAGAAAGTGTTGTAATCCGGTTTTTCAAGTACTGGCAGTTTGAAAAAAATTTCAACTGATGGCAAGTGAAATTGACTTCCAAGGACAAGGGAAACGGCAGGGCTCATAACCTGTTGTACTCTGATTCCTGAGGACTGCATATTGTTTATATTAATCCTATAAGGATCAGCATATTAGGTTGGTTGAATACAAAGCTAATTGAATGATTCCTAAACTATATGAAATCTATAAGACATAATCGACGAACAAGGAGCAATATATATTGCCCCTGACGCTGTAGTGTGTCTAGCACATATTTCGTCACGTGATATTTCATATTCACTACAGATAGTATAAATAGAGACTACTTAATAAATGCTTTGGTACTGTCAGCATCGCTTTCATCGTCATCATCATGATCCTTCAACTGCTCATGTTCATCATCTTCTTCTTCTTCTTCACTTTCCTCGTCTTCCAGGCTAGAATCTTCTATAGATGTTTCGGATTCATCAGACTCTTCGTCAGATTCTTCCACCTCTTCTTCTTCACTGGAACTTGCTTCATTTCCAAAGAACTCATCCAAACTTTGAAGTTGATAAGCTGGCTTACTCTTTGAAGCTGTAGTCTTCTCTACATTCACAGCTTGCTCAGAAGAAATAGCAGTATTAGTGAATGATTGAATAGGAATATTATTTGTGACCTCTTTAGATGAAAATCCAGGAGTGGATAAACTATTAACTTGTACTGTTACTGGTTTTCTTATTGACGATGGTGGAAGAAGAGATGGATCAGAAGTCCATTCGACGACCGTAAAATATTTGGATAAAGGTGCAACAATATCATCATTTTCTGTGCTAATAAAGGGAATTGGTTTGGGAACTTGCAAAAATAAAGATGCTAATTGAGCTTGGTCCGGTCCAGTGTTTAACAAAACATTAAACATTCTAGCACGGTCTCTTGTGTCATATGATTCATCATATTTGGATAATTGTAAAACATGTTGGAACATCTTATATTCTATACTGTTTGATAATTTCTCTTCAATATAATCTTGATCATCCGTTCCAATTTCATTTTTGAGTCTAGCTAAATCAAATGAGAAAATCTTGCATGCCAAGACCAAAATCTGATATCTAACCAGAGCTGCTTCCCCTGGAAATGTCTTGAGCAAACTTCTCAACACATCAGGACCAAATGAATTTTCACCGAGAGCAGTATATTCTCCAATTAACCAGATTATTCCAGCTTTTGCCTCATCATCCAAGTCAAAAGAATGATCTTGTAAAATCAATGATAATTTATAGGTGGTCTTTAAAACCTCCTCCTTTTCCTTGGGATCATTTCTATCACTCTTTTGTTGAAGCAAATAACGGATGACTTTTAGCAACTCATTCAAAACATCTCCATTTGAATCCTTTATCCTTGCTAAACTCCATTTTAGAATTTTTTGTGACCATTCTAAAGAAATCTGGGAACATTTTCCAATTGTTTTGATGCTTTCTTTTCTTATATTGGCGTCTCGAGAATGAAGCGAGTAATACTTTAACTCCTCAAATATGTACTTAAAATTCCCCTCGTTAGACATTGATGAAAGAATTGAAAGTTTGCAAGTGGCAATATCACTCAGGTCTGTCGGCATCACATAAAATTTCCTAAAGTGGTCATTGAAAATATTAGTCTGGTTATTGATAAATGCAATAGTCTGTAATGCATATAGTCTAATTTGGCTCTCATCATAGGAAGTCGCTATCCTAGTTAATATGGAATCCAATTGAAATTCTTTAAATACTAAAGGCGTGGCAAGCAAATAGACCGATCTTACGATGCTTAATATGACATTTTCTGAATTTGAATAAATCAATGGCTTCAAGGAATGCAAAAATAATTCAAGATCTTCATCAAAAGATGTCTCATATTCCTCAAATGGGATCTCTCTGATATCTTCAGGGAGGTCGATTATTTGATTTGATCCATCCTTCAGATATAATTTTGGTCTAGGCAAGAACTTTCGAGAATACTCAGTAAGTAAATCAACAACTAAACATTGTGTCCATTCATCAAAATCCAACAAAAGAGAACATAATCTTCTAAAATGACCATGTATTGGAGCCCATTTTTTGGTCTCGTTGGTATAATCTTTTCCGATTCTATAATATGATTTCAATGCTGAAGAAACTACCAATGGCTCACTGTCTGCAAGAAGACGATTCAAATATTCAACTAATGATTTCTTAGAATGTTCAGATATTTCATATGCTTTACCTATTGAGATAGCTGTTGCTGCTCTAACCAATGGCGAAGGATCAGTTGATGTCCTCTTTATACATAAATCAAGAATTGGAGCAATAGAACTTATTCGAATTCCAGCTAAGGATCTAATTGCATTTGCTCTATTAATTTGATTTTTCTCATTCAAAGATTTTTGAATTGAATTAATAGAAAGCAATGCTGTATCTGGTTCCAAGTCAGCATATTTGGTTAAATAAATGACAACTAATTGTTTGATTTTGCCATTGCTTGAAGTTACATTTTTCACAACATCAGCAAAGTATGGTAAACCATTCTCACCTCGCGATATTATGGATACAACACATTTCATCCCCTTTAGTATATCTCTATCTATTCTCGAGTTTAATAATTTTGATACCTCGGCTGGTCTCAGTGCACTTGGTGTTTCTGTCAATCGGGCAGAAGCAGAAACTGCAGCCTCAATCGTGAACTCCTTTGCCGATTCCATCATAGATGAAAGCTTGGCAAATGAATCAGACATGATTAGAGTGTTGTAGGCGTTGCAAGAGAGAAGAAGTGGGGCTGTCATTTCATGATATCTCACAGATCTACAGAAACTTGACATAGGCACACAATTTTCAGGTCGTGTACAAGTGGCAAATATTTTTACATAGTTACTTACAGAGAGCCTATAAACTATACATTGGTTGTCTTCCTCTTCTTATTAAGCTTATTAGCGGCATGTTTCATTCTCTTCCCTAAGTTTATTTCCTTTCTAGATTGAATATACTCTTGTGGGAAAAATTCTCCAATTGTTGACTGAGTTCCTTCGGCCTTTCTTCGATTCATATCTCTAATTAAAGGAATCATAACCTCGTCTACTCTTTCTTGAGACCAATTTACATTATACATCAAGTATGATCTAATTTGATCCAAGTCTGGAACACCCCATTTAAATTCATCCTTATCAGAATCAACTTCAGGTAACATGTATGCATCGAAAACGACTTTATCCGGGAAACTATCTGACAAATAAAGCTTACCATTTTTAATTCGAGTTAACAATGTCTTCTGGACAGAGGTCAAGTTCGATTTATCTATATTTGTGGAAGTCGTATGTTTATCGAACCATTTTTTAAGTTTTTCCAATGTTTCAAACTCAGCTAGAATCTCCATCGCTAAAACAGGTCCAATACCCTTGATTCCTTCCGTATAATCACTTCCCAACAATAATGCTAATTCAATCAAATTCTTTTGAGAGAGCCCAAGTTTTGCTTGTATATCATCTCGAAGATAACATTCCACATACTGCTTTTGATTGAACATATTCTTATAAATCTTATCTCCACCAAATAAGAAACAATCACTATCGTCAGTAATTATACCATCCACCAACCCGAGTTTTAGGAGCTCTGCACATTGTGCTTCAGCTTCCATGGGCGCCGTAATATAGGGAATACCGAATCGTCTAAGTAATTCTTGAACGTCATTAATCATCGTTTCAGTCACTTCGTCAGAATCTCTTTTTGCCTTCTGCAATTGTTCTTGTAATAATTGTTCTTCAGTGATTCTAGTTTGTAGCGACATGGTGTGAGCATTATGTGATTCTTTAATTTGCACTCGAAGTTTTTCATGATCACCTTCTTCGACCTCCATTTGTTTTGAGAGCTCCACTTCTTCATCTTCTTCAAAATCATAGTCAATGGCGACTGCTCTTCTTTCTTCCTTTTTCTTGTTCCCAGATTGATCAATAAGTGCCACATTCTGAGGCTTTGACAACGTTGGAGCAATCTCTTCAACTTCATCCTCAACTTCATTAGTGCTGCGCTCCTCGCCATCTAAAAAATCCTTAGCTTCATACCAGGGGATTAAGCCCGCATCCTCTTCTTCTGTCTTATCTCTATGATGAGCTTCATGCTCTTTATATGAGACAAATGTTTCATTGTGGGGATTTAGAGTTCTTTTCACTTCATCCTGAAACCATGACGGCAATGCTTGAGATTTAGTGGCTTTCGGTTTGCTTGATCCTAACGTCTCTTGGCCATCTTCTCTTTCAATCACATTGACTGTGGCAACTTCTATATCAGAAATATCTGATTCAATTGTTTCTGGGCTTTCGCTAACATTATTTTCATCTTGATTTGTTTCAGGTTCACCCACGGATCTGTCAAGGTGAATCTCCCCTGTTTCGTGTTCTTCTGAACTAAATAAAAATGATCTACCAAGACCTTGTGATTGCTTCACTGGTTCCGGTCTTGACTCTTCAGGCTTCATACTATCAAACAAAAATGAGTTTCCGAAGTCTGGATCCATAGCCCTCATCTTTCCGTTTTTATCATCGGGATTCCCACTAGTTAATAAATGGTCCACTTTTTGCTCTTCTTCTTGCATTTCAAGATATTCTAGCTTCGACTGCTTGATTGCTTCTCTCAACTCTGCCTGGTCATAACCATCAGTCGTGGTTGCGCGTATATTGTTCAGTTCCAACTTGGACTCATCTTTAAATCTGTCATAAATTGATGCGATTATTGCCTTCTGGATTTCTTTCTCTTCTTGTGTCTCGGTGTCTTGCTTTACATCAAGAGGAACATCTTCGAAATCCGAATCACTTTCATCCAGATCATTCTTTGGATCTTCAGATTTGATGACAGTTCCATCCGCAGAAACTGGGATCTTTTTGGTATAAGATATCACATCTCGGGTTATATCCCGATCCTCGTCTTCATCCTCTATGTCAATTGGCTTTTGCGCACTTGATTCTTCACTTTGAAAAGCCAATGTCCATCCGTCTTCATTCTGAATAAGAGCATACTTTCGATCCTTATCACTTGCAATTCTCTTAGTTACATTTCCATCCTCTCCCATACCGGCCACTTTCATTAACTTTTGAGTATAGAAGTTCCTACGTTGAACTTGCTGAATTTGAAACTTAGAAAAATCCATACTATTAGGAAAGAGATCTTCTAGTTGTTCTTTCTTATACCCCATACGCAAACGTGATTTTAGCCTTAGATGAGATAGAATCATATATTGAGTTGCGATGGGTAATTTCTCAAAGGCTTCCGATTTCGGATCAACTTTATTGATGTCGATACCATCTACGTGGTCAAAATCTTCATATGATTCAAGAAATTCCTCTTCTGGCATTATTCTTTCATCGTCTTTGGAAACTTTAAACTCTGTTAAGTCTGGCAAATGATACTCATCAGCTTTTCGAAATTTCAAGCTATTGGGTGTTGGTGATCTCTCCTTAGCTGGGGTGGCGGTTTCGTGTTGGGGAAAATTCACAGGCAAATCTTCAAGATATATCATTTCTTCATCATCTGAATCCTTACGCTTCGTCCTCGAATTGACCACGTCTTCTGCTTGTCTCTGAATCTGGATCGCCAATAGTCTCTTTGCCGCGTCTCGTTTAGTTTCTGCTTTCCTTTGCCTTCGATTCTTTCTGATATTGATTGTTTCACGTTTCAAAACAGGCACTCCTCCATCGAATACGAATACAGGCTGTATGCCAAAATACAATAATTTACATATTCTTCTAAAAAATCCAACTATATGCGATTGTGGCAAGGCATTGCCTTCCTTATCTCTCACTGCTTTCAAAAATTGATAAATCCAAATGGATGCATCTACTGCAAGTTTCTTTCTTGAAAGAGCTTCTAGTCGAACTGGTCTGGCTGTTGGTCCCAAAATATCCCATAACGATTGCACACCCATTTCAATCGATTCACACTGTTGGGCATTTCATTTGAAGAGAAACACGAGACGTGCATCGCGATTTCCAAAAGATTTTGTGTCCCATTTTTTCCAGATTTCACTTTTGCTTATTGTTGCGATTTTTCATGGTTAGAAGAAAGCGCCATGCGAAACAGTTTTCTTGACAAATAACAGACTTCCTATCGAGTAGCTCGTTTGGAGTGACTCCGTTTCTGATGCAAACAGTTTGCTTCGGAAGTTGTTTCTTCATTTGGCCAAATAACCGGAAAGCTAAGTGTAATATAGTATTGATTTGTACTCGATCCGGGGATCCAATTGTTCAAAGTTCTTCCATTGTCCTGGGACCGCAGGGTCGTTCTCAGGAGAATTGTGTTCCTCTGGAGTCCGATTACCGAAGCAGGAGGAAGCTTTTGAGTTTTCCCTTTCAACTAAACCCTTATTCAAAGGATATCGTGTATATGTGTGGCTGTACATCCTATTTCTAAGTTGACTTACGCACAAAGATCCTTAGCTAAACTTTGTCGAGGTATCAATTGTGTCCGGGTAATCATGAAGTTTTATTGTTGCTTTAAATTTCCTATTGTTTTCGTTGATCGGTCCGTTCTACATTTTCTGACCCAGAAAAATTAGCGCGCGTTGGTGAGTGGGGCTGAAAATTTGGATGATTCACTGGGGTATTTATATGATTCCATTCCCACAGCTTTAAAACATGCTTACGACTTGAAACCTCTATCAATAAGCAAAAATGTCTCAAGAATATATGAGATTTCCTTCAAGAAGATCCACAGTGTATTCCAGTAAAGGAATTGTGGCATCTACCCAACCTTTTGCCAATGCCATTGGAGTTAAAATCCTCGAGAAAGGTGGAAATTGTGTTGACGCAGCTATCGCCGTATCAGCTGCATTGGTGGTTACAGAACCTGCATCCACTGGTATTGGTGGTGATTGCTTTGTCTTGTACTATCAGTTGCAAGATAAAAAGGATCCAACAAGTGGAAAAGTCTTGGGATTAAACGGATGTGGGCGTGCAGCCAAAAATGTTTCGATTCAAGATGTATGCGATGAACACAACAATGGAAAGCCTATGAAAAGAATTCCATACTCATCCGTATTCTCAGTTACTGTTCCTGGTGCTATCGCTGGTTGGTATGATGCCTTTGAAAAATGGGGATCTGGTAAGGTATCCTTTGAAGAACTATTAGAACCTGCAGCTGTTTTAGCCGAAGAAGGATTTCCAATATCGGAATTGGCAAGTCAGGCTTGGAGAAACTCTATTCCTAAGTTGAAAAATCAAAATCCTAATGTGAAGGAGAATCCATTATTAGTCAACAATGGACAAGGACCAGATGAAGGTGATTTCGTTCAGAATGTACCAGTTGCGAAATGTTTAAGGCTTATTGGTAAAGAGGGTAAAAAAGTCTTTTATGAGGGCCCAATTGCTGAAGCCATTGTTAATACAGTCAAGCCAAGAAGCCATAAATTGGATTTAGATGATTTAAAGACACACTCGTCAACCGAGGTTGAACCAATCAAACTTAGATTTCAAGACCATGATGTCTGGGAGATCCCTCCCAATGGTCATGGGTTGGTTACGTTGTTGGCTTTGGGTATAATCCAAGAGCTTCATAATATGGGAAGAATTGATCTTTACAAATTAGAGCATAATTCAGATGAGTATTTACATATTTTAGTGGAAGCTTGCAAATTGGCATTCTATGATTCGGATGAATATGTCACTGACCCTTCATTCAAGGACCTTCCAATTGATTCATTATTGGAACCGGCTTATTTACAGAAAAGAGCAAAATTGATTTCATTAGATAAAGCTATTGATGGAGAACACATGACTCATGGCGTGCCTGATCCAAAATATAAATCGGATACTGTTTATTTATCTGTCACAGATTCTAATGGAGAAGCTTGTTCATTTATTAACTCGGTTTATGAAGGTTTCGGATCGGGTATTTTGGTTGAAGATTATGGATTTTGTTTGCACAATCGAGGTTGTAACTTCAACTTACTGCCTGGCTTTCCCAATTCTATGGAAGGTGGTAAGAGACCATATCATACTATCATTCCAGGTATGATTACTAATAAAGATGGGTCCTTGTATGCTTCTTTTGGGAATATGGGTGCATTTGCCCAACCTGTCTGTCAAGTCCAACATGTTTTAAACTTGACTTTGTTTGGAATGACCCCTCAACAGCTGATTGACTCTCCAAGGTTCGTGTTGGCATCCAATGAGGACCCTAAGGCCGATAGAGGGAAAGGCGCTGATGGGCCAGTAAGGACCCCAGTTACTATTGTTCAATTGGAGGATGGCATTGGTGAGCAAGCTATCCATAAATTAACGTCAATCGGACATGAGGTACAAATTTTGAAGGGATATAAGAGACAGACTTTTGGAAGAGCCCAAATTATTCAGAATGTTTCTAAAAATGGTCAATTGATTTATGCTGGTGGATCTGATCCTAGAGGTGATGGAGCTGCAGTTCCACTTCTCTAAGTTCTTGTATCTGTAGATGCGCGCTTGTCTTTTTCTTTATTTATTATCAATAATAAAAGTACATTTGTATTCGTTTTTGAGTAATGCAGGCAGCAGCAGAGTCTGTTCATATGTAATTATGTCTTATCTGCGTCAGCGGCTGTTCACAAATTTGCAGCCAAAATAGCCGAGAACCCTAAACTCTGCACACAGCCTCACCCTGCGTCTCCCAATTATAAAACATCGGGAAAAAATAGGATCCCATAAATTTAACCCACACAAACAAAACTTGATTGAGTAGTTGACATTCAGTTACCGATCAATTATGAAAGAAAAGGAATCCCTTCCAAGTTATAATGAATCTATAGAACAAGACCAACCACCACCCCCAGTGGGATCTCAACCATTGTATTTTTCAAACCTACTGCCCCAGGGATGGAGCTTCGTTATCAATAATGCATTCTTTGGTGGAAGATACACAATATTTGTATCGAAAGATGCTTCAGATAAATGGAATGTTTTTAAAAAGAACAATACACCGGAGGTAAAAGATTTGCAAGCCCAGGGTTATGGAATTCCATTACTTAAGGGAATTTGTCCGTTAAACCCATTCACCACAAAATTTTTGACTTTCAAAAGATACTTGCCTACTGCTGATCATCCTTTTGATGTTGAAAAGGATCATTATGAATTCTGTGTTGTGAATGTAAACCAGCATTTTGGTTATAAGACATTTATTTTTCATTTCAGGCCTGATCCTGAACAAAGGAAGTTGGATTTTGAATTGATGGTCTTTATGCATTCTGGCTTGCCGATTGTGGATTATATTTATAAAGGTGAGAAACATAGATGGATTGATGAAACTGCAGGTCATGGGTTTCGAATGCAATGGCAAGTCAAATTTGGATTCAAGCATTGTGTGCTAAGCGAGAATCAACCTTCGCTAACCGACAACTGGGATGGAGTGAATCATAAACTAAACAAATCTCCTAATCCTTTAATAGAGGGTACCATAGCGACCTTGTTCTCAATGTCATCGCGATGGTCATCGCGATTCCCAAAGAACGAATACTATGGAGAAGGTCGGGGAGTATTTGGAGAGGCTGAGCCTTTTTTTAAGCTTGGTCATGCTGAGTTGAATGTTGACGACATCTACAACCAGCTGGCGAGTGTTGATTACGAAAGCATATTCTCTGTAAATCAAGATGTCCTTGTCGATGTGTGCGTAGCCACAGTTCTTAAGAGACAGAGAGATATTGACGAAGAAAGCAGACATCATTCATCAAGTGGAGGTGGACCATGAGGATGGATATTTCGACGTTGGGTTTGTTATCTAGTTGAAGTATGTCTTGATGAGAACAATTAGATCCTTTTCTCTTGTTGAGTGTAAGTTAAGAAATTGAATCAAATTTTGATAACAGTATTTTTGTTACTTGCATCGTAACTGTGTGAATGTAGGTCTCTAATAGTGAGCCGACATAAAATTAAAGCATTGCAGTTTGTTTGATCAAGCGAAATCAGAAGTTGGAGATTTACCACTTTACTTTCATACTCCGATAGAAGGTCAAATGGCTGAGTTGCTGCAAATAAGGAAAGGTGCTATGGTATCGAGAGGATCGAAAATAGACACCAAAAACTGAATCCGTGTCAATTTTTGAATTATTTGAATTCTGAAGAGATTGCGACAATGTAAGTGGATTTCTGCATATGTCTTATCTGTATATGTATCATTCATTCAATGTAATTACAGGTTTGTTAGTTTGGGCTATTCGAACTCAGCCGCACCTCCCAGTCCGCTAATTCACTTCCCTGGTGACATAAATATGGAAGGGTTGCAAATACAAAGGGTGTCACTTTGTGGAACTTAATTACATTTTCTTCTCTTGCCAATTGCATAAATCTTTCAACGAACACTTCAAAATGGATGAAAAATAAATCTTTCAAAGTACACTTCAATTTGGATGAAAAGAACTCCCCTCCAAGATATAGTGCCTCTACAGGAGCGATCAAGCTGTTCCACCAGTGGGATCTCTACAAATGTCCTTTTCCAATCTGCTGCTGCAAGGATGGACCTTCATTATTAACGAGCCAACTTCTGGTAGAGAATATACGATATTCACATCAAAAGATGCTTCAGACAAATGGGCTGATTTCAAAAAGACCAAGTCACCTGAATTGAAAGACCCACAGAGCCAGGGATATGGGACTCCGTTGCTTGTGGCCAATAATGTAGGACACAGGCTCAACTCTAAATGTTTACTTTTCAAAAAGTATATGCCCGCTACTGATCATCCTTTTGATGTTGAAAAGGATTCCTATGAATTATGTGCTGTTAATTTAAAACAGCATTTAAGTCATAGAACATCTATTTTTCATTTCAAGCCTGATCCTAACCAAAGTTTGGATTTTGAATTGCTGCTTTTTATGCATTTGACATTTCCAATTGTAGATTATATTTACAAAGGTGAGAAACATAGGTGGATTGATGAAACTAAAGCTTGTGCGTTCCGAAGGCAGCGGGACGTTAAGTTTAGATTCAACCATTGTGTGCTAAGACAGGATCAAAAATTTCGTTGGTTGACAATTGCGATGGAGTAAACCATAAGCTAGACAAAGCTAAATCTAACCAGTTCATATACACCAAGTTATTTGCCTATCTCCCAGTACCGTCACTACTACCAAAAGAGGAATGTTATGGAGAGTATCGACGAGTACTGGAGCTAATTCAAGTGGGATATTGCTGAATTTACAGTGGCACATTGCTATTATGAACCCTCAATTCATGACTATGAAAGCGTATTTTCCGTAAATGAAGATATTCTTGTCGATTTGTGTGTCGCGACAGTTTTTAAGAGAGGAAAAGATTTTGAAGCCCAGGTGCAAGAAGATTGGAAGAGAAATCAGCTAATAAGCTCCATGGCGAGATAGGCGTGTCGCCAAAGAAAAAACCCCGCAGCTTCCCCAGACTTTTCAATAATATTCAGTTCTGTTCAGTGCAGATTGTATATGTAAAAAAAATGTGACATCCACGTTATTCCATTGGAGTGCTGTTGGTCTATTGTCATTTTAAAACTGGCAGATGCATGGGCGACAATGATAATTGACAAAGACATATAACGGTTGGTTCGGTGTTTGCGGATGCAGAAGAACAATTAGATTGTTGGACCGAGTGTGGGACAAATGGAAAAATTAAAAAAATAATTTTGAAATTTTTTTTTTGCTGCGGGCGGAATTGAATCACAATGGCTAGTCAAAGAAAGTGTTACCAGGGTTCATAAAATATGGAAGTGTCCAGAACTTTCACAATTTAAATTTAAATTATTAAAAATAACACCATTCAAAGTTTATTCGTTTTTGTTGTTCATTTCCAACGTGAATTGCATATTGAAAAAAGATGTCAGCTGAAGACATAGAACCTCCACCACCAGCCTATTTTGTAGATAGAGAACTACCTTCGTATGATGAAGTTGCTGCGAATAGGGGTTGGAATTTTGTTATTCGGAATGCCGTAACCGGCGCGGGATTCAATATATTTGTTTCAAAGAATTCATATCAGACATATTTAGAAATGAATAAAGAGACAAGTGAAGATGTTGTTAGACAAAAAATACTTCAGGGACTAGGGATTCCTATGTTTCGAGTAACTGGTTCATTGGGTGCAATTAATATGAAACCCTTAACGTTTAAGAAGTATGTTCCAGATAATGAAAGACCATTTAATGTTCATAAAGATTATAAAACATTCTGTGTAGTTAAGAAAAAGGTTCATATTGGCTACAATAGTTATGTATTCCGTTTCACTCCAAAGCCGGAGAATCCAAAAGAAGATTTTCAAATTGTCATGTTTAGTCATTCAATACTACCTATAAGTGATTACATATACAATGGAGAAACGCATAGATGGGTACATGAAGACTACCATCACGTGTATCAATATAGACACACTCGACTAGAAAAGAATCAGCCAGCTTTGACTGATACTTGGGACATGCATTCAACAAAACTACATAAGATTGGTAGTCCCTTCTTTCAAAATTCAAAATTTATGAATACTTTCAAACGTGAAACTCATAACACGAGAGAATTTTATGGAACAGGTTCCAAAAGTACTCTAAATATGACTTCTGTGAATACTATATCTGGATATGCCGAGTTGAGAGTAAAAATCCCCACCTTAATATCTAATACTGAAGATATATCTGAAGTGTCGCTTGATGAGTTGGTAAAAATATGTGTCGCAACCGTACTCAAGTATGATAGGGTTTAGAGTAGAATATTATTGGTATTTATGGTTTACTTTGTTTTTCACATAGTCAGTGTGTATAGTCTAAGAGAGTAATGTTTTAATGTGTTGTATATGAAGAGATCTTGTAATAGGAACTTCCTCGTGTATTTTATTCTATTTTATGTTTTTATAAACTCCACTAGTTCTTAATAATAATTACAATACATAAATAATTTCCGCTCGAGAACACATGTTTACCATAATTTAAGCAACCCTTCCCAATTTTGATTCTTTCTTCTATTCCAATAACTGTTGTCACCTTCAATGAATTCCCAATCTCCTTCATCAGGGGCACCTGTGCCAACAAACCTAAAGAAATTAGCAACATGATTTTCATCCGGAACCAATTTTCTTCTCTCTCTTTGTTCTTGTTCAAGTTTAAGTTTCAAATCTTCGGCGGTATCAACATCTCCTCTAATAAAATGCTGCAAGTCAGGTCTTAATCTTGAATCAGTTGGTGCCATTAAACCTTTTTCAATATCGGTTATTACATTCAAAGTACCGGCAAATGAAGTAAATCCATACTTCTTATTTGTTTGAGGTAATAATTCACCTGCTTCCCAAATACATTTTTCAGCAGATCCAGCTTTTAATGTAAACGAATCGGTCCAGTTACCAGTTACGGTCAACGGTAACTCTTTTCTATCTTCATCATAAGCCTTGACAACAACTCCTTCTGATCTTCCACTAAACATACCTCCTTTACTAAATTCTGCAATTGCCCTTAATCCATTTGAAGATTTAACAGTAATGGAACCTGATGGTTCGGCATATGTTTCACCAGCAATAATATTCTTAACTAATGTAGTTGGTTGGCTCCAAGTGAAAACTTCACCCGTTTCTTTGATGGTTAAGATAATTTTCCCCTTAGTATTGACTTCTGAATGCTTACCCCAGAACTTTTGAGTTGGTGAGATTGCAAATCGAAGTGTCCAAGTATCACTTTCAGCAAAATAAGCATAGACTGGAGGTCTATGAACAACCTTTTCCGATATCATTCTAAATCCAAGATCTTCACGTACTAATTCATATGTTTCTCCAAGTAAAGGCGTGAATGGTTTACGTTTACTTCTTTCTTTAATACGGAAAGTGGAAAGATAAGTTAATGCAAATGTAGCAATTCTTAATAAACGTTCACCTTCTTCATTTCCAGTCTTTAATGCATTTGAAAGCACATCGCTATATTCAAGTATTTCAGCAAACTTTTGTAATGCAGTAGTAGGCTCATTATAGGTGACTGGCATAGCAATGGTAGATAAATCTTTCCCAACATTCTTACGAACAAAGCTTAGAATGGATGGAGGTGTATGTGTACAAATTGCAATATCTGGAGTTCGTTTAACAGGTGGATGTGGTAAGGGGTATAAATCTTCTGATTCGCCTGCTCTTGATAGACTCTTTAATGTGGCTGCTTCTACAGCCTGTAACAATAGGTCTTCTGTTTCTTCTTCGTCTTCTGATGAGCTTGAGATTAAATCGGAAATCTGTTCTTCTTCCTCTGGTTGTGGTTTCTCTCCATCTTCTATAATCACCACACCTACATCCTCAAAGGTTTCTTCGGCATCAAAGAAATCACCAGAAAATATTGAATGATCTTCACTTAATAAAGAAGGTGTTCTAGTGATAAGGGCTTCGGATTTTCCAAGTAATACTGCAATATCAAGTGCAATTTCATTTGCTAATGGAGATGGGGTAAGCTTTACTAATCTTGCCATTTTTTGAGAAAGTAATTGTAAATCTGCTTTAATTTGATTACTTTCATTTTCTTCCAAGATTGGATGAGTCTTGTAAGCATCTTGTTTAATTGCATTAAATGCATTTACCCATGCGTTGAAATCAGCTTTATTGATTGTTTTCAAATGCCAAACTTCCATACCTGAGTCAATAATCAACTCTCTCTTACTTGGGTTTGCGGAAACAATAGATTCTTTAATTGGCATTTGCCCGCGTAATTTATTGTCATTCACTCTAAAATAGGATAATGTTCCATTTTTGAAATTTAAAATAAAGTATCTTTTGGAAAACCCTTGTAACTTTTTCCTTCCCTTTTTTAACATAATACTTTGCATAACATCCGATTTTGGTCTCAATTGATCAAAAACATGTTCATCATCTAAAGAAGGAGCGTCGTGGATTTCAATTGGATTTGGTGCGGCTTCATGGGTTATGATTCTAGCACTGAATGTAACTGTCTTTCCAACTGTCTTGGAAAAGGAATTGTCAAATACAAAAGCATACATTCCTGATTTTGAAACTTCAAATTTTCCACGAACTAATTCTTTACCAAGTAATCTATGATAGTTTTTGACTAAAGATAAATCAGACTGACTGATTGTAGAAAGGGTTGCTGATCTTGATTTTGATTTATAAGCACTATCACTTCTTGAAATTTTATTGACTGATGATACTGAAGTTGATCTCATTCTTGATGAAAAAGGTGGAGTTGATGCACCACTTGGAGGTTGTGTTATGTTGACAACTGAAGATGAGCGAGAATTATGTTCTAGGAATGGTGGGCTTTGAAATGTAGCATCATCATCTGTTTCTTTCTTATAAATTGCAAAATTGATTGATCTTTTGAGAGGTCTAACTTCCCATTCAATTGTCGAATTATCCGGAGCATTGATCCACTTTATTAAAAAGTCTTTTGAATGTACTTCTAGCTTTTCCATTCTTGCTTAAAGGTAATCTGAAAATCTCTCTATCTGTGATATCTTTTGGTTTAGATTTATATAATGTACTTGTCAAAGCGTAATCACTGCCTCGTTTTTTGAAAGTAAACAAAGGCTGGGTGTTATTTGGGAGTGTCAAAAAAAAATTCCAAGAAATTGAAAACCTCCAAGATAAAAATCTACTGAATACCTCTTTTTTTTTATACGTAATTAATGAAGCTTAAGAAAAAGAGGGCTGTTAATTTTGAGGTTGAAGATGTATACTGGTGTTTGTTGGGTAAGATTTGAATCAAGATTGATGTTTTACTTAAATAGGTGATTTTCTGGGTGTTTGGTGTTTAAGATTTTTCACATGAATTGAATGTGTAAACCCACAAAATGTGGTACTTAAATATGATTTGATAGATTTTGAGAGTGTATTAATAATTTTTTGGTACTAACCACACTTCACAAGCGACAAAGTGTTGCCAAATATAGAAAAGCCCACCTGGGGGGGAGTCAGATTCAAAATTCAATTGTTGGTTTCAAAATGAGTTACAATGCGGAACCAACAAACTTAAATTCCTTTGTTTGACATTGTTTTTTTAACTCTCATTACATCATGTGAGATGTGCTGCAAATAAGAGTACACGTGAGAGAATGGAAGAGACTACAAGCTTTGCCTTGGTGTAAAGAAAACATCAACTGTAAATTCGTGTCTATGTAAATTCTATCAAACTACCTCTCTCTTCTCTCTTCTCATAATTTCAAATTCAATCGTTCATCTGAATTACTTGAAGTTGCAAAATCAAACATATCTGGATTTTCTTCATTCATTGAATTGGTATTATTATTATTGTTGTTGGTAAACATATGAGGACCTATCATTCCATTTGTAAATCCAGATGATGCTCCATTTCTATTTCTAGCGAATAATAAATATTGTAATTGTTTTCTTAAACTATTTATCATTATTCTTTGAACATTCAAATCTTCTCTTAACATAAAATTATCATTTATCAAATTATTTATAACACTTTCTTGTTCATTAACTCTTGATTTATTCATAAATGGAATTAATCGTTCATTAATTTCATATTTCAATCGATCTAATTCAAAATTAAGATAAATCAATTTCCCTTGATCATCCATAGATTGTACTTTATTAATTTCTTCAATAGAATCATTATATCCTAAATTAGTAATTTTACCTTGTATTATTGAATCAAGTATCTTATTTATTTGTTTTTGTAAGAATTCATTCTCCAGTGATAATGAAGTCACTTTATCATTAAGATTCTTAAACGCTGGTAAGAATTGATATAATTGACAATTATTATTTTCCAAATGAATTTCTAATGATGTTTCATTTGATCCAATCCATTTGCAACCAATTTCATTAGCAGGACATTTGAAATGTCCAATCTTTATACAATTCTCTTGATGTTTTACAAGATTCTTAAAAGGAATCATATCATTCCCACATAATTCACATGTCTTATAATTAAAAAGACATTCTTTTTCAAGATGATTATGGTAAGAAATTTGGGATAATTTTTGATTACAAAATTTACATTCAAATATCTTATGTATACATTCATTTTCTTCATCTTCATTAACTTTCTGTTGATCTCCTTCTCCTTCGTCTTCATCTTCATCCAGTTGGTTAAAAAACCTTCTTTCAACAATTAAATCACATATAGAACCATCTATTCTTTTCCCATTACATCTTACACCAGTACGAGGACATTCGACAAGAACATGATGTTCCAATTCCCAACGAGATCCAGTCCATTCACACCCTCTCTCGTGATTTAAACAATATACTTTCAAATCATCAATCAAATTGGCCACTATCAATGGTGTTGGAAATAAATCATTTATATTTGCAGAATCTAAAGGAGTTCTATCCAATGGACAAAATCCTGCGGTTTCATTCTCATTGCTATTACCATTTCTCGCATTTTTTGACATTTTGAAACATTCATATATACATTCTTTACAAAATGTATGTCCACATATTGTCGTTAATGGATTCATAAATGGTTGTTGACATATTGGACAATTTAAATGATCGGTTGTGGATTTATATTTAATGTTTCTCAAATCTGGTCTATCATCACTTTCTAGTAGGTTAAATGAGGTTGGATAGTTTTCTATCCTTATGGTATCATCATACAGTATTACTTCGGTATCTTTTGTTACCTCGGTAGAACGGTTGCTGGTAACCGACATGATTAATAATTACAGGTGAGACTCTTATAAAATTCTTTCTGGGGTTATTTTCTTTTTTGAAATATATTTCAAGTCCTATCAAAGGTTATTTATCAGTGTTCTTCGTAGTATAAAAGGGTACTTTAGCGGTATGGTACTAAAGTCCTCTACTCTTGCGTTGTCTGATGTGAGTGAAACTGGAGATAAGAATTGTGACGAACTCCCCACTCCCTTCTCCCGAAGAAAAAACAATTTAGGCAATTAAAAAAAAGTATTGCGCTTAACCTGCAAAAATCAAAAAAATAAAAGGTCGTACCCGGATTCGAACCGGGGTTGTTCGGATCAAAACCGAAAGTGATAACCACTACACTATACAACCATTTTTTCAGTTTGGAAATATACGATTTTTTACATCCTGACAATTTGAGTCACGTGATCATTTTTAAATCATGAATAAATTGTTCAAATATTGTTTGGTTGGTTTTTTGACATATGGACTTTGTTTCCGAATCTGATATATTGCTTTCGAAATTATTTTAATTTGTATTTCTTCAATTTTTGTGGTATAAACTGAGTGCAAAATATTTTGGTGGCGTCTGGAAATTTTTGCAACCATTCAACAAATTTTTTTGCAACTTTTCATTTTGGATGGACAAGAAAATAAAACAATCTGTTATGGGAAAGATTCGAAATGGAAATATGTCGGGAACCTATTGTAGTTGACATCTGGGGTTCCTTAAGAATGATCAAGTATTGAAGATCAATTCATTCGGTTGGAACTCTTGCATCACTTTTTATCCGCTTCTAATGCTCGAAATCTCGAGACAGATACAAAGGAAGCCATTTTACATGGCTAATGATATTCGTGTGCTTAAACGTCGCCAAGGTCATCAGAAACTCAAACACTGATGACAGCCCCTCACCAAACCTACCCTCTGATCTGAAATTTATAGGTCCCAGACGTCCGGGTGCCTTTCAAAAGAATAGGATGTTTATCCAACTTTTTTCATCATATCAAGATATCCATGATTTTACGGAGCATAGAATCAAAGGGCAACTACTATAGCTCCTTTAGAGTCAATCCATCTTGAATGAAATTGGATTCCAATAGGGCCCACACCCTTATATTGATTCCACGAGATTCGATTCGATACCCAAATATTTGACTGTGAGTTCTAAAGACGAAAGCTTTAAAGTTGGTTTGATTGATTGCAGAGTACTGTTGAATGGCTCAATACTAAACTTGGGAACATATGGAATATGGACGAGACAGGATATTCTGGATAGAAACAGCGATTACTATATAGGCTTAGGAATCTAGTCGTCTACATCAAGGGACGACTCGTTCGTAAGCTGCACCAGCAATGAAACTCAGTTTCCATCGGTAGATCCATATAATTAATCACTGTTTCTAAAACACTTCTGGTCACATCCATACTACAGATGTTTTAATAGCAAGTAGTTTTACAGTAGACTAGAACAAATCAAACCAACGAAAGCATATCGACTTTGTTGTTCTTTATAGAAAACCAAAAAAAAGGAAAAGAAGAACTTTTGTAATTTCAAATTAATTAAACCAAAATTTAACGGGGTATTTATACTTGTCATTTTTGGTTTATACTTTAAGGTAGTGTACAGCAAAAACTGGGAATAGATTAATTTTACTTGTTTATATTCCAGAGTCTGGGTTTTATTGGTTCGCTTTAGACCGCGTTTCCCGTTACATAGGAAATTGTCTACCATGTATTATTAATTTTTATGACACAGCGACGGAAGGAAAATGTTTAACGAATGAAAAGTACTGGACCTTTCTATAAGGCTCATCCACAAATAGTGCCAATTCTAATAACAAAGTTGAAGTAAGGCTCACTAGTTAGAGAGAAAGAGCTACATTTGCGATAAATTCATGCTGAAGAAGTACATAAAATAAAAATCTATAATATACATAAAACTATTCTACTCATGATCTTCTTTAACTGTGTAAAGATACTCCCAGATACTAAACCTCTTATTTTGTCTATTTCCTTTAGGTACTCTGAAAAGCCAATACATGACAAAGGTAGCAAACATATTAAATACAATAAACCCAATAAAAATCCCTGTATCACGACCATAATTATCTATACTTGAATGAATAGCAGCAAGGAATTGATTGGTCTCGCTCAAAGGACAATATTGACAAGTACCTTCTGACTCTGGGTTTAACAAATATCCCCCAGCAATTGACATATATGCACCAATGTAATCCTTACATTTTTGTCCAACATTTTGCGGTTCGAATTTCACAAGTTCCATGGGGTCACACCTAATAGGAGCATCCGCAATACCAATAGACATAATAGATGAAACCAAATAAGTTAAAGGATTTGCTCTATAAACAAACAACCAAAATTGTGGCATGAAATCTTTGGTAGCGATGATACCACAGAATGTCATACAAATCGTCAACAAGAATGAAATGATATTGGCTGCATTGTCAGCAACTTGATTGAATGAGATACACAATTGAGCTAATGTTGAACTGAATATGAACATCAATGTTATACTAACCCACATAAAGGCACCTCTCTCGACAACAGTATGGGTATACACAGCATTTCTGAACAATCCTACTGGATAATACCAAACAGCAAACGATACAGCAGCAGCAACAATCTGATAGGGTATTTCAGCAGTTATTTGAGCGGCAATAAATGCCACCCATGAAAATGTCCTCGATGGTCGTTCTCGTGCTTCATATAAGTCTCGCTGGGTCACAAATAATGGAACATATTGTTGGGCTAAAGTTGTCAATACCACAAACATCATAAATACTGAAAGCAGTTGATTCCTCAAACCTTGAATTGAATTACTTGACATGAAAAAAGTGAAACCATTGAATGCACTACAAAGAATAGCCATGGCAAACTTGGAATAGATATATGAAGGAGTTCTCCAATACTGTTCAAATAATCTCTTAAGCACAATAACATATTGCTTTCTCAATGGGGATGCATAGGTCTTGGAAGATTCTGGATCAATTGGTTTGGACATAATTGAGGCTGATTCTATACGATCAAGCTCATTTTGAACTTTCTCATATTCAACTGAATTTCTCCATACCTGGAAATAATCTTGGTTTGCTGTAGAACCAGGAGCAGCCCCAATAACGTGTAACATCCATTCAGCTGGATTTGCATCAGGAGGACATCTTGGTGCACCGTTCTTTTCAAAATATCGAATGAGGGTTTCACAATTATATCCAAATTCACCAAAGTAAACTGTTTCACCACCAGCTTGTAAAAATAAAAGCCTATCAAATTCTTCTAATAATACTGCTGATGGTTGATGGATTGTACATAAAATGGCTTGACCATGATCGGCTAACTTTCTGATTAATTTGCAAATGGACCATGCTGTTTGAGAATCTAAACCAGAAGTCGGTTCATCTAAGAAAATCAAGAGTCTGGGTTTAGCAGCCAATTCGACACCAATGGTTAACCTCTTCCTCTGTTCAACATTCAAACCTTCTCCTGGAACTCCAACTATTGCATCTGCCCACGATCTCATTTCAAGCAAGTCGATAATTTTTTCGACATATGTTTCCTTTTCAAACTTGCTAACATCTTCTGGTTGTCTAAGATATGCTGAAAATCTTAAAGCTTCTCTAACTGTAGAAGTTTCCAAATGCAAATCTTGTTGTTGAACATAACCAATAGACCTCTGGAATGAATTATCTAATGGACCACCATTTACCATTCGTTCACCAGATGTAATGATACCCGTTGTCAATCGATCACTTAATGCATTTAATAACGTAGTCTTACCAGCTCCTGATGCACCCATTAATGCAGTAACTTCACCCGGTTTGACCCATCCATCTACATTATTCAAAATGGTTCTTGTTTCCGACTTGATTTTTAATGAATATGATAAATTCCTCCAATGAAATATGTTTTCATTATCCAATAATTTCCTAGTCGTTAAACTTGTGGAATATCCAGAAAATTGTGAATCGGATTCAAAATGACTGGATCTCTTATGTTCCCTATATTCCCTTTCACCACTTTCCAAATCATTGAACAATGCTTTTCTCCTCCTAATATCGTCCTTCTTAAATACCAATATTTCTCCCTTCTGGACAGCATCACGATTGTATTCCATACAGATTAAAGTAGTGAAAAATAAAAACACAACAAATCCAACAAGAATGAAAAAGTTTCTCCAAGCATTATCCCATGAAAAGCCATACGCAGCAGCAATGAAAGCATCACCCGAAACACGATTCGATCCTGGAACAGCACCCAAAGTTGCACAAGCAACGGATTTTCCTGATCTTGGATAAGGGAATCCACTGGGTATCATCATATCACACGCAAATTCTCTTCCATGAAATTCATTTGCAATTAAAGCTTCAAATGCATATGCCATTGGATTGACGTATCTGATCCAACGACACCAATCCAACATATATGGTGTTGGGATTGCAAAACCGGTAAAAGTAGCCAATGCATATAACATAAGTGAGGATGGTGTCATAGCTTCTGATAATGATTTGGTAAATGCTCCAATTGTACGAAATAAATGAGACATGAATAATGTTGCCATTAAATTGATTAACAAGAAAAATAAAAATGCACCAAGCTCTCGTTTGAAATTGACCATCATGTATAGAGTGACGTTGAAACAAATACTGGCAATTATCTTTAATGGGAAATCACAAATTATGGAACCAATTGCATGTGCTGAAGGTGGGTATAAAGCATATTGTCGATGTTTCTGTATAACTGGTCTACTTTGATAAATGGCATAAATTTCCAACACTGACGAATATGAATTGAAGACAAGTGAGAAATACATCACAGCAGTTCTGTAAAAGAATGAAGATGTCACTGGCTTTAATCTAAAAAACACTGATGATAAGATCAAACTCATTGCAACGTTACCAAGAATAGTAAGTACTGGAACCAACCAATCTCCTCTTAATCTTTGATATTCTCTTCTAATGATATATCTAACTTGCTTGGATAATGAAACCACATAAGGGGATCTTGACATGGCATGCTTTGATTGTTTGGCTTTCTTGGCTTCATAGACCTTCTTCTTTGTTTCGAAGGTTTCACAATTTTCCAAATAATCATCTATCTCTTCCAAGAGTGCTTCTCTTTCTGGTGATCTTCTCCAACATCTGTAGAATTCCTTAGGAGTAGTAGGGACTAATTTTTCATATCCTGGTCGTACGAATCTCTCAGCAGGATTGGTGATTGATGTTAAGAAATCAGGAATGGTTTGACGTTCAGAACAAGCAAATCCCATTCTTTTAAAATATTGTGCAGCGCGGGAAGCGGAGCCGAAAAATATTTGATAACCTTCATATAAAACAATCACTTTATCAAATAAATCAAAAGCATCTTGTGAACATTGATAAATGGCAATTAATGGAGTATCATTCAAGATAGATGCTGATGTTTTCAATGACGAAATGAATTCTAAGGCTGTGGCAGCATCCAACCCACGTGTGGAATTGTCCCAACATTGCAATGAGGATTGAACCAATGAGACTTCGGCAAGAGAGACCCGCTTTCTTTCACCACCAGAAACTCCCCTAATAAAATCATTCCCAACTTTAGTATTTCTAGTGTGACTTAATCCATAAGTGGCCAAAACAACATCAACAATATGCTTCGCATATTCTTCTCGAGAGGAACCAGCAGGTCTGTTTCTTGGTGTCTTCATCAATGCAGCAAATTCTAGAGTTTGACCAACAGTCAAATTTGGAAAATGAGTTTCAGTTTCAGCACAATATACAATTTCTCCTCTCAAGTGTTTTCGTATTTCTTCTGGGGTTATACCATCATAAGAAATTATTGATCCATCAGCAACTTCAAATCCATCAGTATGACAAGCAATTGTTTTCAAAAAGGTTGAACAACCAGCACCAGGTCTCCCCAAAACTACTGTAACTTCACCCGGTCTGATTAAACCTTCCATTGGTTTTAAAATATCAAACAGAAGTTCATCATTCGAAGCCCTGAAATAATTGAAGAATTTGGAAGCATATTTGAGAACACCATTGGACACAGTAGTTTGATAATCACTTTCTATGGCGTTCCCATAGACCCTCAAGTTTTTATAAGCCACACCCAATTTGTTTGGTTTATAATAGTCTGAATCTGATTGATATAGGTGCCACATATTGCGAACCCAACGTTTCGAATTGAAATGAGGTGATTCAGGATCTAGTGTGGGGTCCCTTTTATCTGTGATTGGGTTCACTCCAATTGACTGACCACACTCTGAAAATACACTTTGGGTATCAGTTCTGTATATCTTCTCATCTTGAGTTATGCGCTTTGCGACAGAAAGGATATTTGTGGACGTATCTTTTTGAAAAGCTGAGTAGTAGCCCCTGTAAGGATGGCCATCCAGATGACGATGGTTATTCGATGACATATCTATAATTGGGTATGCACTTTCTATAAGTAGTGAAAATAGCTGCCCTTTCTAAAAAAGAATGAAAAATATAAAGTAAGTAGGTTACTTTCTTAAAATAAAATTTATAAAAAGACTTTAATTATTTAGAGAAAGATGGGATATATTTATTTAAAATACCTTCCTTGATTATTGGTAAGCAGTCTTGCATAAAATTACTGAAAGTGGATGCAAAAAAAAAGGATTTAAAAATAGTAAGTGAATCTTGCCGTTTGTTGTGGTGAGCATCTTTGTCCCCCTTTGAATGAAACAAAAGCGTTAACGAAAGCAAAAGGAACTTCTTTAACCGAAGTCCTGCTATAATTACTAATTATTAAATAAAGAGATTCTGCATACCATAGCAAAGGGCCAACGTGAAACATACCATTGCCCATCTTATGTAATTGAAGTGGCTAGATCTGAGGATAAATTGTTAATGTAGAAAGCAGAAGTTTCTTTTTAAAAAGTTCGTCCATTCCTTCACAACAACTCCAGAATAAGAAACGGTATCTTATAGAAGTATAAAACCCAATTTATGTACTAATAGAAGGATCCATTAAATCTACTTATTTTTCTCTACTTTCTTTTGTCCAACTGATTTTTATTTTTCTTCTCAGAAATTCCTAAAACAAAATATTTTTTTAGTGCCAACCTTATTTTTTAAGGTTGAATAAGCCACTGAGTTTAAAAAAATATTTAGCAACACTTTACTACTTTAGGAAATTTCTCCAAATTGCAAATCCTCCATATTAAACCAGAAACTAGAACTAAAATTACAAATTTATTAATTAGGAAATATTTGAGGCTGAAACTGGGGAATTATCATTGTCAAGATAATTTTGGAAGGGTTATTCACCATTTGTTAAATCCTGTTCGGCTTCAATGTATACCGGGCTAATTGTTGTTCTCTTGAGACGCTGTTTATGAGCTGTGAATTATTCATTATTCTGGAGTAAAACTGGCAAGCCTTAATTTTTTGTCTAGTTGTAAAAACTCTATACACTCGATTCCCCAGGTTCTCGCTTATTTCTTCTAGATATTTTATAATTTCACTTGAAATTTTCTAATTCAGTCTATTTTTCACTCATTTGGAGGTTGACAACGTCTTTGCGTCTTCGGTTTTTTAAACAAATGACAATATTCCTGAAAAAGAAATGAAATTACTTCTCTTGCTGCTCTGTATATTTCGCGAATGTTTTTGGTAGAATCTTTTGCTTTGTATGATGTAATGGAGAGGTTTAACAAACCAAATTAGGTTGTAGGTTATAATTAATGAATTGAGAAATACTGTGCATTGTTTCTGAATTCATTCATGGCTTTTCTTTTCAAAGCAACTATAGCTTTTCAGATAATTTAACAGACTCAAATTTTAACCAATATCTCTGTGGATAGTCCGAAAAACCCTTGGTGGAAACCATTGTGATATAGACTAAAAAAATTGTTTAAGGAGGAGGGGATATCGTTGTTAAATATCTCCTATTGTCAGGCAAATGGAACACATTTGTGCAGTTGTTCACACGGCATTGGCTGATAAGCCTTCCATATAGACATCCCCTCCCTTAGCTTTAGGAACGGACGCATATGAAAATTAAACTCGTTCTTTGTAATTAATTGATTGTAAACTTATATTTTCTATGCGTTATTTGTCAGGAAAAAAAATCACCTGAAATTTGCAACCGCGAAACAAATCGAATTTTGTAACTAAGGTACTGTTCCAAACCAAAATTTAACACCAAAAAATTAAACCTTAATGTATTGGCATCGCATCAAGCATCTCAAATCCAAAAAAATGCGCAAACCCGGAATCGAACCGGGGGCCCAACGATGGCAACGTTGGATTTTACCACTAAACCATTTGCGCTTTGAAAATGCTCCGCGACGGGGAATTGAACCCCGGTCTACCATGCGACAAACGGTAATTCTAGCCACTAAACTATCACGGACTTTTACGAAACTTTTTTTTCATAATTTTATGGACTCATATTTATGTCACGTGATTCTCAAATTTTATTTTGGATTATAACTTCCCCTAACCCAGGTATATTTCCAATGTAAACATTCTGGTAGATACTTGAAGCGTTCCTCTTTGTTTCGCAATTGTTCAATTTAGTAAAAAATACTGTTTAGATAGTAATAAAATTTTGGGAAGTATTCGTCTGAAAACTGGCAAAAAAGAATCTGTTCGAAGGTTTTGTAGGTTAAGAAGGAAATGGTTTCCAACCATCAATAATCACTGGCTTATTCTACTTAAATAGGAGATAAAAGTAGAAACAGGTATAGCATCATTCTTTTAGTTGTTCTTCTAGTTAGAGTATTTCATATTTTTATGTCTGATGTAAAGAAAACAAAAAAAAAGAATGGCTGCAAAATGTTTGGTTGAAGAATTTAAGTTCACAAACAAATAAAAATGAACACGCAGATACTAAACTGAAAACTAAACAACGAACCAAATGCTGACTATAACTTCATCAGAACAATATGATTATGGTGCTCTAACCAGGAGCTACATGGGAATATTCAATTCACAAAGGTTTTCCAGATTTCTAAATACAACACAAACTGGAGCCGCCCACTCCGCGTCAGGACTCGACTTTGGGCTATTCATGAAAACGCTATTCACATCATTATGTTTCTGTACTATTCAATTAACCCTATTTTGTCTATTTCGATCAGTTTTTAATTTCCTATATCAACCACGATGTTTTTGTGTACCAATCAATGAAAGAATGGAATGTCTACCTAGAGGATTTTTGAATTGGATAATCCCAACATTGAAGTCGAGCATAAATAATTATTTATCACTTGGATTAGATGCATACTTCTTTGTTAGATATATCAGTGTTCTCCTGTTATTCTTTTCAGTTTTAGGAACTTTGAATATGATTATTTTAATACCGATTAATGCCACTGGAAGCAATGCAGAGTATTCAGCAACAGGGTTAGATAAACTTAGTCTTTCCAATATTTCCAATACCAAAGTCGCACGATTAAATGCCCATTTCATTATGGGTCTTCTTACTATTGGATTCTTTCACTGGATGATAATCTATGAATTCCAATCTTTCGTAACCATTAGGCAATCGTATCTTGTTTCCAATACTCATAGGAATTCTATCATGGCAAGAACTCTTTTAATATCTAATATCCCATACTATTTACAAGATGATGGGATTCTTAGGGATCTTTTCAAGATTGTTCCCGGAGGCATCAAAAACTTTTGGGAAGTTTATGATTTTGAAAGAATAGATCATGAAGTTAAAAAAGCAGAATACGCCTTGAATATACTTGAACAATCTCAAATTTTGGTACTACGGAAATACTATAATCATAGATATGGACTTCTTGGTTTCAGAGACGGATCCGTAGAAGATGAGACCCATGATATGCTTGACTTTTTGCACAATCCCAAAAATGAAATTCTCTTCTATCCTCCAATATACCTAGGGCTAGTTAAGGTACCGAAATTCGACAGAAGTTTTAGAGTACAACTAGCAGGTTGGTTAAGAATCTTTCGCTTCGAGAAGAAGCATGTCATGAAAGATTGGGCAATCCAGACATTGCAGGACTGTATTACATGTATTGACGAGGAAAAATTAAAGTTAGCTAATGGTCAATTAAGAAAACATAATAAAACATTTGTCGAGTTTACTACCCAAGAAGGTGCATATATTGCCCATCAATGCTTGCTTTCACAATCACAAGGTCATCTAGACAAAACTTTAATTGAGATCAACCCTGCAGATATAATTTGGAGAAACGTATCAAGAAATGACGGAGTTGCTTGCAAATTCGAAAAATACTTAGTTACTGTGGTCTTTATATGTATAATCATCCTATATGTTATTCCAGTTTCATTAATTGGATTAGTATCTCAGATTCCATTATTGACTCAGTTAATGCCATTCCTTAAATGGATCTATCATTTCCCGGAAGAAGCAAGGGCCACAATATCGGGGTTTCTTCCTTCTATATTATTGACAATATTGACTGAAATCGTCATGTATACTTTTAGGTTTCTCACATACTACAAAGGGAAGACAACTGGATGTGAGGCTGAGCTAGATTTGCAGAAATGGTATTTTGCATTTCTATTTGTTCAACAATTTCTAGTGGTTACCATTCTGTCAAGTGTTACTGTTATCTGCCGACAAATCATCGATCAACCTACTTCAATTCCGGTGCTTCTTGCAACCAACCTACCAAAATCGGCAACCTTTTTCTTTCAATATATTTGCCTTAGGGCATTTGCATTTTGTGGAAACAATTTCTTAAGAATAGGACAGCTAACACTAAGCAATACTTTATATAAGATCATTGATAATACACCAAGACGTAAGTTCAAGAGAGTTACCAGTTTACCAAAGATTAAGTGGGGAACTACATTTTCGGTATATTCAATATACGCATGCATCAGAATATCATACTCAATAGTATCTCCATTAATTTCCATTTTTATAATATTTTTCTTATGTCTTTCAATCCTTTATTACAAATATGCATTGAAGTATGTATATAGTCATATAAACGAATCAGAAACTACGGGAAGGTTATACCCAATTGCATTGCTCCATTTGTATACTGGAATATATTGTCTTGAATGTTGTTTGATTGGTGTATTTTTCCTTCTGAAGGATAAGAAGGGTTCCTATCCTATGAGAACACACGGATGGATTATGACAGGAATATTATTTCTTACAATATTTACCAACACTTTAATTTATAACAGATACATTCCCCATTTTTCGAACCTACCGATTTTATCGGATAAAATCTATAAAGAAACTCCTCAGAAACAGGATAACCAAGTATGTGATGAACCAGATTCGACTTCAACGTATTACCTGAATAGGAAATTGATGTATTTACATCCCGCTTTCAAATATGAACCACCAAAATTATGGCTACCGAAAGATCCTTTAGGGTTTACAGAATTGCAAATACAAGAAATTGAATCCAAAATAGATAGTTTACGAGAAGGACAAACAACTGGTGCACTGGTGACATTTGTGAAACCTTTCCACACACTTAAACTACTAGTATCTCAAGCTCCACCAGATTATAAATAAAAGTGATAGTGCTCTTATTTTCCATAATCATTCTCCAACCGACGCAGTATCCTTAATCGTATTAGCATTTCTCTCCAAGTGTGAAGACTTCTCCATTTCCTTCTCAAATTTGCCAATCTATAATGTTGCATTCTTCCAGAAAGCCAAATTTTCTTGATAGTAGTGGCATCCTGCACTAAAACAATTACTCCTTCTTTAGTTGGTATGGCTTGTCCGGCTTTTGCAAAGCTGAATCCAGTTACTACAGGGACATATTGGATTTTATCCTCGATTTCATCGTGCTTCAATTTCCCAGAGACATAGTTCAGTAGAATGCGTTCAATTTCGGGAAGCTTTAACCAGATACAACCTTCAGGTATCATATTCTCTCTAAATATTTCAATATTACCATATTTGTTTCTTGGAAGGACAGGTTTTCCCGTGACATCATAGGCGACTTTCATTTTTATGTAGGGACACGTCTGGGAAAAGCTATATAGTTTAGTTTCATTGTGTTCTGGAGTATTGTTTAATATGTTTAGATTATAGATTCTTTTATTGTATATTGTTCTTGGCGTTAAAGCTTTTGTAGTCTTGATCGGCTTGCCTATTTCTTCTGGCTTCACTGATCGTCCCAAGAATTTCCATTGGGATTCCGATTTTCCAATCAATAAAGAATTCTTGAAATAGACAGGCTCTTTTCTCGAATCTAGTTTAATAATTTTGAGACATTCTGAATTCGGTATGATCACTTCATTATAACGCAAAGTACTCTCGGTAATAAAGTTTGGGCTTCTCTTCATAGCTGAGAAGTTTGTTGGAATTACATAATTTATCATTGCCGTGTTTCTTAGTCCATCTAATTCCAAATTATCAAAGTGAGTATACTCTTTATGTCTATTAAAAATTCTTATCAAAGACTGTAGCAAAAGGGAAGAACGACCCAATTCGGTTCTTAGATCCAACCTATTGAACCATCGATACGATATATCCTTCATATATCTAGGACTGACATCTATAATTAAATTGTCTTTGGAGAAGCTCAATACATAGTGCATTGACATTTGACAAAATTGGCTCTGGATAGGGTAGAACCTGTCCGTGTAATAACGATGTAAGTTGCCTTTGGGGGTGGTTCCAAATCGCTTAATCCTAGTTAAATTCTTTTCTTCCTCATAGAAGCACTGGGTCTCGATAATTATGACTTCCGAAGGATCAATAGGGTTGATTAACTCTGTCCAGAAATAGGGAAAGATTAAATCGTTATCCTTATTGACCTTTAGAATCTCTTGATTTAGCTTCGGCTGCCGCTTTTCATTTTTACTTGTATTAAGCAACGGCAACGAAAAAACCAATCGACTTTCAAACCCTATACTCCTTAACAAGGCAGTAAAAACTTCGGCACCTGTGTCTCTATTATGCTTAAATTTCTTGACAATGGAAAGCAAATCACCTTCGGACAGAATAGGTTTCGCATTCTGAGGAAAATAATCCTTGGCATCCTTTCCTGTAGGCATATATCCAAGAACTCTCAATCCATTAGAATCATGCTTGAAATTTTTGCGAAACCATTTGATCAAATATTTCAATATATAAATCAAATGCTTATCTAGTTCTAGCTTGGCTTCAGGGGACATAGATTCAAGATTCTTTCTCAGCTTGTTAAACTTCTTCAAATGATTAGACATTAGCAGATCAGGTAGGAGCTTCTTCAATTTCCTTAATACTCTTTGATTAGAGAGTAGTAGGTTCCGAATTCTCGCGTGTAGTATATAGATAACCATACTCAAATATTGCAAACTGACTCTCTGTTGCTTTTCTTTAACCAATTGTAGTAATTTCCGTTTTCTATTCTCCTCTTCTTCATCCCTTTGGTCTCTGATGATGATATTGAATTCATTGGGTTGATCCAGTTGTGCTGAAATTTCGGGAATGCTAAAGACATCTTCCCAATCAGAATCACTTAAACAATCTATATCTGGCTCTTCTAATTTGATCTTCTTAGAGACCGGCTGATCATCATAAGAATCATCGGATTCATCATAATCATCGTCACTAAAGACGAATAAGCTCTTGGTTGATTTTTCTTCACCCATCCCAAGTGGGATAACTCAATTCAAAGATAAGATGGAACGAGAAATTCGTCGTTGGAAAAAAAAAATCCATTTTTTTCCTGCATATGGTTTGGCACACTTCCGGAAAAAGTGCGACTTTTTTTGTTTATTTAGTGGTCCTCAAAAAAAAAGATTTGTTTTGATTTTTATTCACCACTTTCTTTTCCCAACTTCATTAACAAATACCTCTTATTTACATTAAAACAACGTCAATCAATCAATTAAACCCATCAATCCATCTCTCTCAAGACAGCGCGATGTCTATAATACCAATTTACATAAGTTTTTCAAATTTCTCAGTTAGTTAACCAAATTGAAAGTACTTTTCATGCTTCGACAAGCTTGTGGATGTCCTTTCTGTATGTTTTAGATGTTTCAGCATGTCTGAATGTTGTTTCTTGGTATCATATATGATTGTAATACACCTTAACTATCTAATTCATTGATTTGAGGTCATTTTATACTAAATTATATGGTTATTCTCTTATGTTTTCGACTAACTATTACAATTTGTCTTATAATTTTCACACTTAGTACTTTTTTTTGATTAAGTATTTACTAAGACAAATTTTACTAAGAAAAAAATGTCGTTGACGACATACCGAATTATAAACAACAATATGCAGGAAAAAAAAATCAATTTTTTTCCAACGGCGAAAAATGCGATGGAACCATCTCTTTTTTCGTTCCCACCAATTCCACCAAAAGAAAATTAAAATAGAGACCAACTATAGAGATTATTACTTAGCGAAAAATTACAGCTTGAATATGCTAGAAGATCCATTGACAGTATTACTGTACACCTCGCCTGTAAATATGGCAGAGCTGTAAAGCATACCTATGCATATGACCATCTGATATTAGAGCTTCAGATCGCAGACTTCTGTATGAGCGTCAAGAAAAACTTCAGATTGCGTGCCTTTGCATCAATTAAAGAAAACCCCAGAGCTCCGAAGTTTAAGACAATTTCGGTAAGTGCCCCAATTAAAGAAAACCTCAGAGCTCCGAAGTTTAAGGCAATTGGTTTGGAAAGTGCCCCTATTATGGGAAATGGTACCACATTTGAAGGCATCCGTTTTCACACACTCTTTCGAGAGAATCGACAGTAAAAACTCCCAAATCTTGCCATTGTCAGTTATCATAGCTCGATAGGGGTGCTTTGCTAGTTTTAAAACCAATCTCATTAGACTGAAGACATTTCTTGAGTATTGATTTTATAGTGGAGACTACTCCTATAATGAAAAGGGCCACGAACGTGTAGTGTATTGGTTGTAACCCTTGAGCATTTACACTTTACAAATGAGTCAGATTACGTGGCTTCTACTTCTTGTATTTAAGCTTCTCAGAAGGACACTTCTTTCTTTCACATACTATCACTTAGTGTATTCTCTTAGATAGATATATATCAAATTTGAAACAATTAACAATCCAAAACTATGAAGCTCGTGGCTTTACTCTTAGTTGCAACTCTCAATATCGCAACAGCTGAAGAAGACGACGTATTGACTAAATGTGTAGGGGCATCCATTTATCCACTTGAAATGTGCACAGGTGTTTCGGATACGGCACAATGTTGGTGTGATTTAGATGATGATTACTACGAAACGAGATATCAATGTGACTACGCTAGCTACAATGATGATTCTGTCGGCTCTGCTGAAGAAGTAAGACAACTAGTCTGTGACCAACTCGGCGTGAAACCAAGCAATAAAGCCCAATCCCTGAATTCGAATTCTGCTTCTCAAAGTTCCGTTGTTTCTGCAACTACTAGAGCCAGCTCTAGTGCCGCTAAAGGAGAGTCTACATCTTCCACCTCGACTGCAGGTTCGTCTCAGACCACAACTAACAGCAATTTCGCGGCTGATTTGAAGGTCAGTTTGTTGGCTTTGTTGGTGGCTGCTTTTATTTAGAACTTCCCTCTTATCTTTATAATCCAGATTTTAAGTTTATAGTTAAACATACAATATATGCCCAAAATTATATCGATATTAAATGTAATATACCTAATATTATTGTATCATATCTATATCCTATCTATTCGTGTATTATTTTACTAACTTCAAGGAATTCTGGAATTAATCCCCATTGGTTATTCAGCTCAACTGTAGTATCATGTCCATATAGCACCAATTTATCAAACTTTGCAGTAGGAGTAAAAGTAGCAAAACTTTTAATATCTTCACTACCATCCTCATTCCCAACTCTACCTAAATGTTCAGACCTATTAACAATATATCCACCCACATCATTTGCTTTCAAATCTATAGTTTTACCTACAAGCTTACAACCCCTAAAATATGCAATATCTATTTCTGTACCATCATTGTGGGTTTCTTTCATCTTTGAAGGAGTGAAATAATCTTGTGTCTTAGCTGGACCTGTGTATTGAATGTGCATCGGTAATAAAGATGCATTGATTACCGGAGTAGCATCATCGTTTAGCTGAATTTTATTAGACATTATGCTGCTATTATGACAATCCAATGGAGAGATGGAAAGTTGATGTAGTAAGATCGAAAATATTAGTAAGACGCGTTTGGTAGTGCATAAGGGAACAATTATATTTGGGTGCGAAATCTTGGAATTGGAGACACAACATTCATGGACGATCTTTCTGTGTCCTTCGTCTGACAATACGAGTCCCTCAGATACCGAGAGCTCGCGTAACTTCAAGCAATAGTCTTCTTAAATGTTTATGGATTAGTATAGTTGAGTTTGTATTAATCAGCAAACCAACCTGACCATCCCCCTCCCTCCGTCTGAATGTCCGCCCAAGCCTTGAGGGTTGCAAGCAGATGCCAAATATCTCTGGCAAAATGTTTTGAATCTAAGTCTCTATCAGTGACTTCAGTTAAAATCCAAGTCTTCCCCGACAATCCAGATGTTTTTCTAGAAAACTCTTCAAAGGAATCTACTTGGATGTGGGCTTTTATACAGCATTTCATTGGGACCCAAGGAGTATAACGAATTATACATTATAGGTATGAATGTTTCTTGTTCTTGTTAATTTATGGGCACTATGGCTCGTTTCCTGTTTCTTTAATTTTATGGTCAATTTCGCAACCACCACCACAGTATGCTTATTAATTCAAAAAAAATGTGGAATCCTTATGCGGCCCTAACCAGGAAGCCACAGTTTAATTTTTCTGTTCTATTTTTTATCTTGCACTAAAAATTTTCAAATTAATTACAATGAACCTAACCTCCCCACAAAAACCTCCAATTCAGCAGACCCATGACAACAGACGACCAACGAGAAGCTACTGAAACGGATGAACTCCTTCATCACCCTCATCTATGCCCAACAATAATCCAAGATACATCAGCCGGTCTGGCCGGTCTAGTTGCAGCCGAACTCGCTGCCGAAGATGAAGGACTCTTATCTCCAACAATCTTAAAAACCCACGAATATGGCTCGATACACAAACCAGGCGATACAGAAACCACCTACGAAATAGACGATCCGCATGGAGGATATGCATTACCGAAAAGGCAATTATATACTGTTGTATCCAGTATCTTTATGGGAGCTTTTTTGGCCGCACTTGATGCAACTGTAGTCACCACTTTGTTGACCTTGATTGCGTCTGATTTGAATGCCGTTTCGGACATTTCGTGGATTGCAACTGCGTATTTATTATCATCGGCTGCGTTCCAGCCTATATTTGGGAAATTATCTGATATTTTTGGAAGAAAAGTATTGTTGATTTCTTGTTCGATTTTGTTTGCTATTGGATGTACGATTTGTGTAACTGATTCATTATTTTGGTTAGTCGTGGGGAGATTTGTCACTGGATGGGGAGGATCTGGTTTGACTTGTTTGGGTACTATTACTATGTCAGATATAATTCCTTTAAGGGATCGTGGATTTTATCAAGGATTAGCAAATGTGTTTTTTGGATTAGGTTCTGCCTCAGGAGGGATTATTGGTGGATTGGTAGCTGACAGTTTGGGTTGGAAATATGTTTTTATATTACAAGTACCATTGGCATTGATTGTAGGATTGGCTATTCATTTTAATTTGAACTTACCTGAAGGTTCTCCAGGATTGGGTGCACACGGTCAAGATATAAGACAAAAATTAAAACGAGTCGATTTCTTGGGATCATTCTTCTTGGTTACTTCGTTAATGATGTTCTTAATCGCCGCATCCGTGGGAGGAAGAGAAATCGCCTATTCTTCAAAGACATTTATGGGCTTATCAGTGGGTGCATTACTCTTTTTAATTGCATTTGCATACACTGAAGCCTATATTTCCGAAGAACCAATTATCCCAATTGAATTATTAGGCAATCGAACCGTAGTGGCATCCTCATTAACCAATTGGTTCTACACCATGGGTATATTCACCACATTATTCTATGTCCCAGTATACTACACCTCAGTCATGGACTTCACAGCCACCCAAAATGGATTAAGATTGATTCCAAATTTCGTAGGGGTATCCTTTGGATCTGTCGGTGCTGGACTCTATATGAAGAAAACTGGTCGTTATTACAAACTTGCAGTCATAGCTGGTATTGTTTCCGTATTGGGTGTATCTAGAATCGTGGCAATCACCCCGTCTATACCTACTTGGCAACAACTTTTGTTGTTATTGCCTTCTGGGTTGGGATATTCGTGCTTGTTAACAATCACATTGCTTGCATTAATAGCGGCCGTACCAATGAAGTATCAAGCCTGTACTACTTCGATTCAATATACGTTCAGAGCAACTGGGTCTACTTTGGGAGTTTCCATCGCATCGGCAATTTTTCAGAATGTGTTGTTGATAAGATTGACCAAATCTATTAATGATCTCGTTAGTGATCAGAAACAAGCATCCAAGATTATTGAAAAGGCATTAGCGAATACTAATTATATTCGAGACGCACCAAAATATGTTCGTGGAGCAATTAGGGAATCATATGCTGATGGATGCAGAGGTGCGTTTATATTCGCATTGGTTACGGTTGTACTTGGATATGTTTCTTCATTATTCATGAGAGAACATAAGTTACATACCAGTATGAATAGGGATTAGATATTTCATAGATATTGTAGAAAACCGTAGTTTAAATTAGTTATTTATTGATGCAAGAATTATTTATTTACACAAAATATGCTAAAAAATGCTAATGATGGTTTCTTCTCTCCGAATCTTGGGTATTAAGACTCTTCACACGATATTGGTGGTGTGTACCACTCATGACAACAATATTTGGCTCATCTTCGTCCTCTTCTTCTCCGTCTTCCGCCATTCGTTCAAACGATAACAAAGAACGATGCTTTTGAAGATGATGGTGATGTTGATGACATGGATTTGTACCTTCAAGAACAAATTCAGAAACATGCCTTGCTATTCCCGGTCTCGCTTTTGGAGTCAAGCTGGACAATATATTAGACGCATGTATTCCAACTTGGAAAGGAACAGGCGATTCACGACCACCTCCTGGGGTTCTTAAAAATGGTGTATGTGATCCGCTAGTTGTTGGTGGAGCTAATAGTGGAGAAAGAACGGGTGACATGATTTCATCTCGTCTGATTGCTTCTTCAAGGGCTTCTTCGATAACTTCTTCGATTAATTCATTTTCAGACGTGATGTTGATATTGACCAATAATACAGATAATATTATGCAAATGATTCCGAGGAAATACAAGAAGCTAGTCTTATGATGTTCATCTTTCCCACTGGTGAAAAATAATATGATATAGTCGATGAAAATGGTGATGGGGATTCCTGAAGTTAATGTAAGTGAAACAACAAGTGGACTTGTAAGTAACATAGCCAACATTGCTGCATAGTCTGAAAGTGCCGAAAAAACCCCATTGATCAACACACTTGCCATAATGGAATTATTAGGAGGCAATTCAAACTTCTCAATTCCAAAATGATCAAGAATGTACAACAAAGGTATTCCAACCAATAAAGTAATTAATCCAGCATATGCAAACAATCTTCGTTCATTTGTAACCTTATTGCCAGTTCCACATTTCAATTTCATATTAATTAAATATAAGGCATACATCAATGCTCCTCCTAATGCTAACAAATTACCCAATTGAGGATTTTTCAGTTCAAATTTATTTCGATGCTTATTTTCACCTACAGATTCTCCAAAATTAACCATAAACACCCCTAAGAAGCTGCATACAACACATAAGACTTTCTTGATTGAGAATTTCTCAATTTTGAGAAATACTCCAATTACAAGCGTGAATGCTGACGAAGTAGTTCCCAATACTGTTTGATTTGAAGCTGATGTGAATTGCAATGCCTCCATGACGAATGAATTGTATAGATAGTAAATGAATGCGATTTGTACAGCTAGGCTCCATATCTCAGATGTAGTTAATTCTATTGGATTCTCGAAATCTTCCGAGATTGTTTTCTCTAATTTGGTGTTGGTGATGTTGTTGACAGTGTCTCGAGAACTACTTTCTAATAATGGAGTTGTTTCTTCTATTGAGGGAACTACTAGGGCAACGGAGTCTTTCCTTTTGCTGCCAGTAAATACGCGTTTTATTCCATTGAAGATATCAGGAACGAAATTGACAATATAACTTGAACCAGAAATGACAGCAAATAAAAATGGTTTAGTATAACTATCTCCCTTTAGAACAGCATTGACCAATTCTAGACCTATAATCCAAGTAGTAACTGAAACTACGAGTAATATGATCCCCCATCTATAATTCTCTATTTCTTGATCATTGATTATTTCCACTACTTCGATGGGATCTGAGGTTATCATTGGGGTATGACTTCCGTGGTTTGGTGAGAAATGTGAAGGTCGTTCATGTGGCATGGTTTTAGTTGTGTATGGGTAACTTGAGAACTCGTGAGAAAGAAAATAAAGTTGTATTGGATGCTTGATTTTGATTTAACCAAAAGACGTCATTCATTCACTGATGATGAAATTCAATTTTCTGATAACAGATATCAACCAGATAGAACAATGTGTTACAATGCAACCATTCAATTGTTTCTCTGGCGGAACAATGACAAAAATAGAAGAATGCGCCCCATCCCAATTAGGAAATAGATGTCTCGTCATTTTTTTCTTTGCTATCGGTTATCGCTTCCCTTTTCCTTTGCAGATAAGGGTCAGACGACATGAAGAGAGTCATTCATTTCATTTTATAACAAAAGGGATGGGGAATGAGATTCTTACAATTACAATTATATATACAATAGATACAAAGAATTAAACAAAGCTACTCGCTTTTCCAGCCGTATGTGGCTGCCAATCGTCTTTTTAAATGTTCAGCCGCACTGATACATTCATCATCATTCTCACGTACACCTTCCCGTTTAATATTCTTAACCAATTCACTAGGAACTGGTTCCAAAAGCGCATCATCATTAGGATGACTGAAAAAAGCAATTGAATATCGGTCATGCCCAGTTTCTCGTACCGGAATGGGGAATTTAACTCGATGAAGAGTTGATTTCAAATATCCCGAAGTCCAATAACTTAATAAATCACCTATATTCACCACAATTGGTGGGGCCATACCTTGGAATTTATTTGACCCTGGTACAAAGGGTACAGCTTCCCAATGTTTCGTTACTGGTGAATAGATCTCCAATCCTTCTTCATGAGGTTTTTGAAATAATAATGTAATTGACCCATAATCAGTATGTGCTCCTGCTCGTATTGTCGTGTCAGGATCTAAAGATTTCTGACCAGGATAATGAAGTAATCTAAACGTTGAACCCGAAGGCTTTTCAGGAGCACATTTTGTACCAAACCAATCTTCTCCCTTAAGATCACCAATATCTTCAATTTTGAAACCTCGTGCAATGAATCGAAGTATTTTAATTGATAACTGATATAATTTAATTATGGTTTCATTTATCAATGCTTCTCTCTTGGGATCTTGAGTAAACCAATCAGGTATTGGTTTAGTTGATTTCCCAGTAGTAAAATCTAAACCACTGATATTTAATGCTTCCTTTGGATCACCTTTTTTCTGATGAATTGGATCTAAAGTTTCACCTCCAAAATCAGCATATCCATGATTAGTTTCATCAATTGCATATTGTCGCTTATAGTCATGAGGTAAGTGGAAAAACTCTCTTGAAATTTGAAATAATTGATCCACCTCTGCTTGGGTAAAATTATGTCCTTCTATAAATAAAAATCCTTGAGTTGCTGCGGCTTGAACCAATTCTTCAGCAGTTTCTTGATCTTCATTTGATAAATCAATTATTTTAAGTGGATTTGGCTTAATAACAAACATTTGTTTCTTCCCTTCTAGATCAATTGAAAACACCTGAATGACGCATACTATTCCTTCCTAAGTCAGAATAAGGAGTTTAGAGATTTTGTAGATTATTCGGTAAATTTCAAGATGATTTTTTAAAATTTTTATTTTAATATTTTATACGGGGTACTGCATTTAAGTACTGACCCCTATTGTGATGTGAAGGACCTGCCAAGATATGGAATCAACATGAAATTACTTTCCAGAAACTCCCGTTGGATAGAGTTTCATTGTTAAAAGGGATCCTTCTAGAATTCTCTATCAAAACTTTAAAAGGCTTCTTTTTCTTCTACAATTGCTTGGCCAATTGGTCTAAATTAATTCTAATGAGATGACTCTTTTTCATTATCAATCCAATGGCAGGGCAGAGCCTTGGGCCGCTTTTCTACGAGGATACTTTCTGCTTCTAAAAACTTTCCCGATAAGAATAGTGGGGAAACGCAGTCAGTTTCATCTTATCCAAAACGGAAAACGTCAAAAAACCCCTGGCAGAATTGGCATCTTTACCCGAAAAATATTACGCTGTACTTCGTGATGCATCCACTAACAAAATTGCCAACGATCCACAAGGCACTATAGAAAACACAAACTTAGTAGTAGTCGACACTAATTGATCTCTATCAAATAGGAAGGGTGCAGGGATGTATCTTGCAGTTTGGAAAACAATAAAAAGTATCCTAAAGTTGATTTTGTTTCAAGATTTTATCTGGGTAACTTTTTTGCAGCCAATGACTAAGCTTTTGACAAATATATCAGACTTTTCGTAAGATACGATAGGATGAAATATCAAATAGAGGGAACTAGATTGTATCTACAGGTCACTCTTACTATGGAAAAGTGAAATAAAACAGGACTACTTAAAGATTGACATAAATGACATTAGATTCTTGTCAATGATATACTATAGTACAAATTTATTTACACAACTACACCTTATAACTCTTTAAATGCCACCTCTTTAGGCAATTCAAAAGAAGCGCAAAACATAATCTTAGTAGGAGCGACCCACCTAACTGTATGGAATTCTATAGTATCATAATCCAATTCATATTCAATCAATCCACATATCTTATCATAAACTCTACGACTCAATTCATCCACAGTTGGTTCTTCATCCAAACCAAATTTCTCAAAACAATGGACATGGATCATAGGTAATTTGAATTCCGGATCTGATTGAATTTCTTCCATGATGGAAGGATGTCTAGAATAGAGACCAATAAATTCGTTTAAGAATGATAAGGCAGAATCAGGTAAGTTCATAACGAAATGGGAATAATATTTTGGAGTTTTGGTTTTCTTGATGGTAATTTCCTTTATGGATTTAGATTGACCAGTTTTAGGATCTGTGACTTTTCTTCTCTTGATTATATCTTCCTCAATTACGGGAGTTCCCTTATGGAAATCATATAACAATTTGGGAGCTTGTTGAATAAATTCCCTTCCATCCAAATTATACGCTTTTGTAAACTTCTCAACTCGATTCAGTTCAATATTTTCTTTCAAATATCTATAACTTTCTGGATTTAAATCATTAGCCATCACAATAACCTTTTTCTTCCCAGCCGGCACGGCAAATGGCCCCACCCCAGCAAAAACATCTCCTACAACTTCTCCCACATCAAACTTCTCAACCAACCTTTCATGCTCAGTCGCAAGTCTAGAATTCCAATAAACTTTACTAAAATCAAATTTAAACCTACATTTACTCTCCGTCTGCTCCACGACAAAATCATCCTTACCTGCCAATAAGGTCATATTGAAGGTTCTAAACTTATTAGCAATCGTATCAGCTTTATCAACCACCGTCTCAACACTAGGGTTTTTATCAAGAATAACCTGTCCAATCAATTTCCCAAATGGTTTAAAGGCATTACGAAGATTAAGATGAGCAATATGACCAGCTTGACTGAATCCTGTAGGGGTCTCATCGACGAGATCTTCAGGTAGGACCGCACGTAAGATATCATCAGCTTTCCAGAATGAATAGTCGAGATCCATGGTATATGGACGGATTTCGATACCGAATTCTTGGATTTTTTGTTTTGTTTCTGGAGAAATATCTTCTGGGGATGTGATTTGGGGATGGAGGAGGACGGCTTTGGAATTGTCCATGGGGATGATATGTTTGACGTGGGATATTTGAAGGAGGTCTGATTTACAGGATTTCATGAATGGGGTTAAGTATTTTGGTTGGGGGAAATAGGCTGCTAAGAATGGGACTTGTTTGCGGAAGAAGGAACGGTCTAGTTCCTTCATGGAACGGTTTATGGGTGGGGCAAAGATTGGATCTGATGTTGACATTATTAATCTTCTTTCTGTTTTGCTAACGTGTATGAATCGAAAGAATGATTTCATACTGTGGTGTCTCATAGTCGCTTAACTGAAATTTTTTTTAACTGTGAATTTTTTTCAGTGCAATTTAATGCTCATCTCTCTAAACACTCTTTTCCAATTCAGAGAGTAACTACCAATCTTCCAACCAAAATCAAACACAATGGACGTCACAGAAGTCATCAGTATAACAAAACCATCCATCTCCTCCCACCTCCAATCCAATAACATTGACAATCACGACAATGATAGCGACATAGAAATGTCCGACCATCCTATTTCATCAATAGTCACCCCTGGTGAACTTATCACCGAAGATCCAATTTGGATGAAGGGTCATGGTACATATTTCCTTGCCGACAAAACCTATTCTTCAGTTGCAGGAACCATATCTCGTGTCAATCGATTATTAAGTGTAATCCCACTTAGGGGACGATATGCGCCTGAAACAGGAGATCATATAATTGGAAGAATCACCGAAGTTGGGAATAAACGATGGAAAGTTGATATTGGAACTAAACAAGATGCGATTTTGATGTTGGGATCGGTGAATTTACCTGGGGGGATATTGAGACGAAAATCGGAGCTGGATGAATTACAAATGAGGAATTTTTTGAAGGAAGGTGATTTATTAAATTGTGAAATTCAGACATTGTTTGGAAATGGGATTGCTAGTTTACATACTAGATCATTGAAATATGGAAAGTTAAGAAATGGGATTTTTTTGAAGATTCCTAGTTCATTGGTTGTGAAATCAAAGAATCATAGTTATGATTTACCAGGAAGTGTATCAATTATATTGGGGATCAATGGATATGTATGGCTTTATAAAACACCTCCAAAGGCGGGTACTGCTACTACTTCCAATACAGTTGTGAATCAAGATGCTTCAAAGCTTCAGGCTAGTAGTGCTGGTGGTCCTAATTATGTTCCTGGACAGGGATCAATTTCAATCACGAGATTAGAAGAAGAAAGTTCATGGGAAATATATAGTGATAAGAATGATCCAAATATCAATAGTTCAATTAGAACTAATATTGCTAGATATTATAATGTCATTAAAGCATTGGCATTTGGTGAATTAGGAATCACAGAACAAAGAATTATAATGGGATATGAAGCTAGTTTAGCATATCTGAATGTTGGTAGTTTAATTGATCGTGAATCAATGGATCAAATTTGTCAAGAAGTATTGAATAATGAAAAGATGAGAGGATAGATAGATTTGTAAATACTTACTACATCGTCTACTGAAAGCATTCTTTCTAGTAGGTGTAGACCATTTGTATAATAATAATAATAATATCACCCTAGTTAGGGTGGTTGGTTGCAAATAAATGTAAGTTCGTGCAAAACATCAAATTTGGCTGTAAAAATTTCATCATACCAAATTCTCGTGCAATTAAACGTTTGCTCTTACAAGGGATTGTACCCATTAGGAAGACCAACTTAAATTAAGGAAACTACAATGTCAACACTTGTACAAAGTGAACCAATGAATACAAAATTATTGTCCAAATTAAAATGCTCTCTCTCACTGTCTCTCTCTATACACACAATATAAATACAATTAATTACATACAAACAAATGGTAGCTCTTACAATAAATTCTTATTCTTTAAATAACTTTTAATATAAACCACTTGAGTTAATCCAAATAATATAATACAAGAAATTATGATAATTCTAATCAAGGTATAATCAGAATAAATTTCTTCATTAGTATCTCTTAATTTATATTCAACTTCCATCAATTCTTGTAATATTGATTGCAGCGAATGCAAATTTTCAACAATATTTTTCAATTCTTGTTTAACTGATCCAACTGAATTATCAAATGATTCTTGAGTAAACTCTTCTTCTTCTTGTTGTTGCTTTCCCTTTTTGTTATTACTAAAATATTTCTTATATAAATTATAATCAGTTGTTTTTATATTTTGTTTAACTTCAACCGTTAATTCAACTTCATAATCAATTGGATGGAAAGACCAGGATAAATCAGTATATATATTATCAAAACATATATTTATAATTGATTTAGCCAGTTCATNTTCCCTTTTTGTTATTACTAAAATATTTCTTATATAAATTATAATCAGTTGTTTTTATATTTTGTTTAACTTCAACCGTTAATTCAACTTCATAATCAATTGGATGGAAAGACCAGGATAAATCAGTATATATATTATCAAAACATATATTTATAATTGATTTAGCCAGTTCATCTCGTTTATCCTTGGGTGTAGAACTTAATTTATTATCAACATTAGTGATTATTAAATCAATTTCTCTTGATCCTATATTCTTTTGTTTTCTTAATTGATTACCTAAATTATCAAATATATTTAAATTTAATAATTGACTGGTAATCTTTTCATTCAGTTTAATTGATATTAATATGATATCTTGTACATTAGTTTGATAAGAAACACAATTCTCCAAGTTATTTATTGAACTTAATTGTTTCTTATGTCCATCTTTAATTGGTGGTATTGTTAATCCAATACAGTTCACAGAATGGATCATAAATAGAAACAATAATATGAATCTTTTGTATATATTATATGATGATTTCATGCTGATGATAATGGAATATGATAAATAATGCAAAAATTAAGGGTTTGTGGAAGCTGCTAGTTGTAAGTTACTAGTAGCAATAGGAATGGTCTATAAGCAAGATGTTTGTTTAAGCGATAGTAAGGGGGTTTTTGTTCCGGGATATGCTCAGAAACAAGGAAAACTTTGTTTTGTTCTTCTTTATTGTTCTCGAATGGGAAGGTATCGTATTATGCTGATTTGGTAGATACACACACACACAGGTTCAGTATCTTTTTCTCTTTCTCTCACTTTTGGAAATACACAGAAGCAGGACAAACACACACACAACAGATTAATTGAAAACCAGGATCTGTGGAAAGCAAAGGGAAATATAAATCAAATAGAAAAAGGCGGGAAAAGAAAAAAAAGAATTGAAAAAAAAAAGGTTGGTTGTGTTTACGAGTTAGTACACATATAAAAATATCGCAAAGTGTGTGTTACTGTGTGTGAATCTAAAAAAAGAAATTTTAGAAATTTTTTATTTTATTTTTCATTTCAATTTTTTTATTTCTATTTCTTAAAAATATTTGAAGAAAAATTATTTTACGTCTACATTAGCCGGGTTCACGTGCACTCCGGCCATTTCAAAGCTATGATAGTACTCTTAACAAGTTATTACCAAACCAGGAAATCTACATTTCCCAAATTATTTTGCAACCAAATATTAGAATACACTTAAACTACTTCATTCTATCACTAGCAAGTTTTATCAGTCAAGAGCACTTTCAAATATTTAGAAAGCAATGGCAATAATGAATGAGTTTAGGAAGGATACGAGCCTTTGACTAAAATTTTCCAACTTCCAAGTCAATTCATAGTGTTTTCAGGGCCCCAAACCAGTTACATGTATTTCAACAGAAATTGGTACTTTAACTCATTGTCTTTACGAATTCCATATTTAACAGTTAATCTACAGTTGTATTGGAAATAAAGTTTCGCTTGCTAACACCAAACTAGGAACCTCTATCAAAAATGTATTTACAATATGTGTCTCTATATATATACAAGTTAAGCTATCATTTCTCTTTAGCAATCATTTCTGCCAATCTATTACCAAATTCCCAATCTTCTACTTTTTCAATCAATTCTAATAATTTTTCACCATTCATACATCCATCTAAATCATGTAAACTATATCCACATCTATGATCAGTAACCCGATGCTGAGGATAATTATACGTTCTAATCTTATCACTTCTATCAGTAGTCGATACTTGTTCAGTTCTCAAACTTTTTTGCTTTTCCACTTCATCAATTCTTTCCTTTTCAGCCAATCTTGCTCTTAAAATGGCAAATGCTTTAGCTTTATTTTGAGGCTGTGATCTTTCATCTTGTTGAATAACAATTAACCCGGTAGGGATATGTACCAATCTAACTGCAGAATCAGTAGTATTAACATGTTGTCCACCTTTACCTCCTGCTCTCATAGTATCGATTCTCACTTCACCAGGGGCAAAACTTCTTTCATCCTCTTTTAAAGAATTAGCATTTCCTTCAGAAAGTTTCGGCAATACAACAACTGCAGCTGTCAGGGTATGTATTCTTCCCTTAGTTTCAGTCTGCGGAATTCTTTGAACTCGATGAACTCCACTCTCATGACGTAAGATATTATATGCCCCCGGATAATCTATTGCCAAAATAGCTTCAACAATCCCACCACCACCACTGGTTTTTGTTTCACTAATGATTTTATAGGGCCATTTATTGACATTGGAGAAATTTATATACATATTCAATAAATCTCGAGTAAATATTCCGGCTTCTGCACCTCCTACACCAGGACGTAATTCTAATATACATTTCTTATCGGAATATTTCACCGGTGGTAATAATTGATTTTGTAGTTTTGAGATTAATTTATTTGCTTGTGGGATCAACTTTTCTAATTCTTCAGTTGCTTCTTGGGTCAATTCGGGATCTTCTTCTTTATTGGAAGTTATTGCTTCCAATTCGGAGATTTCTTCTTGAAGAGCGGTTAATTTGTTGACTTTATCGAGGATGGATGTGATGGTATCGAATTTGATTTGAAGATCGGCATCATAGGCTTCGAGTTTTGATTCGAGGGCTTTGTGTTCTTGTTGGAGATCTTTTGCTCGTTGTTGAAGAAGGGGATGTAGTTGGGGTACAGTGGAGTAGTAGAATCTGGTTACTCTCCTCGGGAGGAGCCTACAATATGCCGATCGTATCATTGTGGATTCTATAAATAGAAGATTCATAGATTCTGATTAAAGAAAATTTTTTTCATATTATTTTTTCAATGTTTGTTAGAATTTTAGAGTGATCAAAATTTCTTAACTGGGGTATGATCTATACATGAAAGCCACACCTAATTTGGCGCAATATTTCCAAGAATGTGTATAATACAACCGAATAAGGGATGATTTAAATGATAGTGGAGAAGCGAAATGAGAAAATTGGGAGGAGAAATTGAATTGTCCCGCCCGTTAATGTTATAAGAATTGTTGCAAAAAAAAATCGAGGTAATTATTAAATTATTATTGGGCATGATACGAAGAGTAGATTCTAACGAAAGAGAATGAAATATGCCGAAAGGAGATGTTTACAACTACCACAAAAAAGAAACATCTCAGTTAATGCAAAATAAGTTGGAAAGGGCTTCTAATACTTCCAGCTACGGAAAGAGAGATGAAGTACACCATAATTACAAGGGCGAGGAGGGGGGGAGGGGGGTGGTTGTTAGGGAGATAATGCAAAAGAGGGAATGGTTAAGGAACTACTTACGGGTAGTGTGCTTAGATACATAAAAAAAGAAAAGTAAATAACAAAACATGAGGAGTATTCACGAGTGTGTTTGCCAATTGTTATCTCGTATGAGGATATGTGTAATTAGTTTGTTTACTTGTAATTAATGAAATTTAATTGCTGCAAAAAAAAGAACAATAAAAAAATTATTCATTAATTATTCTTTACATATATAAATAGTTACCAATTAGTCACAAAAATAAGTAATCCACATCACTTCCTTCGTTTCTTCTGATTAATTACAGCCACAAGTCAATCCACTACCCCAATACTCCCCTCTTCCTTGGCATTCTAAATATTTTAGTAAGTTTTAACGATCCCGTCTAACTTTTTCAGTACGCAAAAAGTGGATATGTCAAGTTATTTAGATAACCTCTCAATTAATAACTACACTCATGCAGAATTATACGAATTATGGGAAACTTCAGTTGAAGAACTAACATTAATATATTATAATTATTTATCATATAGAAAACAACAATTGGCAGTATTATACAAATTACAATTCACAGTTAAAAGTAGTAGAAGATTAGAATATCAATGGTTACAATTACGTAACCGATTAATTAACCTCAATGTGGAATTATGGGAATATCGTAAAATTGTCAATATTATAATGTATACCATGAAATGTAAACGTTATATCAATTCAATCGAATTAAGACAATTGAATTGTAGATTGGTACAAGAGATTAATCATGTTGAATCAATCATATTGATAGAAGATGAATCAGATGATCAAGAAGAAGCAAATGGATATTCTTCTTATAATAATAATAAAGAAATGGATGATGATTTGTTTGATATTCAACTGATTCATAAATATCCTTCTTTAACTAAAAGAATTATGAAGTTGGAAACAAGTTTGATAATGAAATATAGATACGTCAAGAAAGTTTAAATTAACGTTTTTTTAAAAAAGTGGGTTAGGGTAAAACAATTTGGGTTTTTTTATTATTATTATAAATAGGTTCTTTTTATACAATTACAATATATGATACATTAAATATGTTCTAATTATAGCTTCTGTCTCTTTCACCCCAGCCTTGGGGAACAGTTTGTCAAATTAAGGACAAGACCAGTGGGGGATGGCATGCTCTAATACTTTTGGTGAAACCAACGATATTACCAAAGGGAATCATATAATATCATCCACCAAGTCCTAAAATTCTACGACACTGGAAGTACCTTGTTTGGTAATTTATATTTCACGTCCAGCAGAAGTAAGCATCATAATTTATCCATTTCCTCTTTCTTTTCTATCCCACCCCATACGCAACACAGGCATAGGGCCCACCTCTACCTTTCCCTTCACTTTTTCCTTCTTAGTATTCTCTTCAGAAACCTCCTCCTCAACCTCAACAACTTCCACCACGGTATATTCTGGGTTTTGCAATAACTGATTCTGGAACTCTACCACCTCATCCCCCATTCCAATCACATCATCCTTCTCGTCCAATAAATAAAACAGTCTATGATTCTTCCTTTCTTCTTCCCTTTCTAATTTTTCTAGTTTGCGTAATTCTCGCTTGATACGTTGATCATATTGATCTACCTGACCACGGATGATTAAATCAAGGAGGATCTCTTTTTTGAGCAGGATGAATTTGTCAGTATCTGTGAGTTGGAGGAACTCGAGGTCATCTAGCGTATATTTGAATGTTCGTTGTTTTTGTTTGTTATTGGAACCCGTTAGTGGAGTACCTGTCACCAAGTATGCAAGGAATGCACCAAGAAAGTATACAGGAAGGATTCTCATTGAATGGATGAATTACGAACAATGAAGTGCAAAAAGAGCATTGTTGATGATATTTCTTTGTGTGACTTTTGGGGGGATGTGTTATACATTAATCCAATGCCAAGAACCAAATTAATTTAACCTAATCAACCATATATTCTTCTGATTTTCTTGGCTTGATTGAAACACTTTTCAACGAGATTAATGGTACTCATAAACTTGGCCTTTGTCGCCTCTCCTTCATCCAACTATGCCCAAAGGATATTTTCTTCCGAGCTCCATCTACTTCTGCAGCCTGCCCATTCAAATAACTCAGCGAATAAACTTTGCAACCAGCGGTAAATGGTAGCGCCACCAAATAAAATCCTGTGAAAAAATAAAATTAAATATTCAATAATCAGAATGGCAAAAGGCAACGATAATTTCAATCAGCCCTAGAAAGTATAGAAAATGATAGACTCCTTCTCGTTAAGACAATTCGTAACTGCAATTGGTAAAGTTTCTGATTTCGAATTGGACTCCAAAAAATCAGAGCAAACTTCTTTGTTATTTAAACTAATTGATACCAATAATCAACTCCTTGAGGAAATCAATCAATTACAAAGTCAGGATCATATAACCCATGATATGCAAGAGGATTTAGATTTATATCGAGAGACTATATTGGAAAATAAGCAAGTATTATTGGATCAAATTGCGAGGATACAGGCTATAAATGATGAACTTGTCACTCGGGGGATAATGAATCGAGATTCTAAATTGAGGGAAGAACAGAAATTGCTTGATGATATTGCTGAAAAGGATGCTGAGAATAAAGCTAGGCAAGGGGAGCAAGAGGAAGAAGGTGTTTACTTATAAAGTATCGTGTATTTACAAATCTAATATATATATATATACAGGAAGGCTCTCTACCTCTTAACATGTTGGACTTCAGTACCCCATAATTTATTCCAGAATGGCTTTTCATCAAATGAAAGTGGATCTTCAGGTTTCTTACAAACTAACATCCAAGTAGTTCTGAAATGCACTCTCTTTTCATACGTAATATCCAAACCTGCTTCATCTACCAATTCTCCAATATCTAAATTCCATCTACATGCCCAAGTTTTCATTCTTTTTTCACTCCTGAAATCTAAATGATTGTTAATGAAATCCCAAGTACTTCTACCGTGTTCCAATAACACAATTCTTCCACCTGGTTTTAATAATTTGGCCATATTCTTTAATGCCAAGACAGGATCTTCATGGGCACATAATCCAAAGGCTTCCACAACAGTATCATATTTAAGATTGTCATCCGCCAAATCAACTAGATCTTCAGCTTTCCCGACAGTAAATGCCACCTTTTGGAATTTTGGATGGGCAGCACGGAATTTCTCTTTACATAACTCAACCATATTTCTTGAAGAATCTAAAAATGTAATTGATTTAATCTTATCAGTACGTAAATAAGGAATATTTCTTCCGGTACCACATGCAACTTCCAAAACATCGCCCTTCAATTGTCTCATTAGCCAACTTCTTCTGAACCCCATCAAGATCCCTCTTTCTTCCCATTTGATCTCATCATCATATTCTTTGGCTTTGGCATCAAAAAACGCAGTTGTATCTTCAGCACTAACAATATTTGGATTACTCTTATTCAGATCTCTACCTTTGCCCATAATATCTTCAGTCAAAACAGGAGCACGTAATTTCTTAACTCTACTAGCTTGACTACCATACCATTCATCCAATTCTTCAGGAGTTGGATTAAAGATCGCTTCAGAATCTAATAAATTCTTTCTTCTAAATTCCTTTCTCATCATTTGATAAATCTTATATTTCTTCATTTCTAAGGGACGTAATTTCTCTTGAGGATTATGGGTTTTAAACATCAAATATTCATATTCACTTAATGATTTTGGATCTTTAAAGTATTTCGATTGGATGATTTTAAGTTGTTTATTTTCATGAAATCGATCTCTCATGTAGAAAAACATCGTGATTAAGACCACACCGAACCCACCGAGATAATATCCAGTCATTTTCTTTTTGAATTCCTTGGTTTTCATATAGAGACCCCATTGACGCCATTTGGGCATTTCTGGTTCTTTGGAAGTCGGGGTAGGTGGTTTTAATGGGAATGGACTTTTTGTACTATAGAATCGAGGAAGGAGTATGCTGGTACGTAGGGTGGGGTTGATTATTAGTGATTTATGAAGAGTTTGATGACTCATCAATCTCCTTGCAATCATCTTAAGGGGCGGTGCTATTGCAATAGTTATTCCTTCTACTAGGTATAAGATAATGGGTCTATACGGTGCTTAAAATTTTTCTTAAATGTCGCTATAGATTTACCGAGGAGACATTTAACAAAGGTCGTGTACTTTAATACAAAAATGAATGTCTCCTTTTTAATATTGAAAAATTCCCAATGGCAAAAAAACTGGAATCCAAAAAACCACCGAACCATCCAACAGACAGCAAGACAACCTGAAACAACATACAAATAGACAATGCCAGACTATACAACGCTATTAGAGGAAGCAAAATCAGCGGTATCAGCCAAGGACTACCAATTGGCTGAATCCAAATATAAACAACTCATCGTCAATTCAACCAGCATTGCTGGAACCCATCCAACAGCAAAACAATTACAACAACAAGAATCAGCTATATTAGAATTAGGGAAAATCTACGAGTCACAACAAGATGCAACTAAACTTGCCCAACTTTTAACTGAATCCAAACAATTATTGGGACATTTCGCCAAATCAAAAACCGCCAAGATTGTCAAAACCTTGATTGAAAATTTCGATAAAATTGATAATTCATTAGATTTACAAATTGCTAGTTGTAAAGAAAGTATTGAATGGGCGGTTGAAAATAAGTTAAGTTTCTTACGTCAAAACTTACAATTGAAATTGAGTGATTTGCTTTATGTTAAACACCAATATCAAGAAGCATTGAAATTAATCACTGATTTATTGAGAGAATATAAGAAATTGGATGATAAATCCTCCCTTGTTGAAGTTCAATTATTGGAATCGAAAATCTATCATTCCTTACGTAATATCCCTAAATCAAGAGCCGCTTTGACTAGCGCTAGAACTTCAGCTAATTCGATTTATTGTCCAACTATATTACAAGCCGAATTGAATTGTCAATCAGGGATTTTGAATTCAGAAGATAAGGATTATAAAACAGCTTTCTCATATTTTTATGAAAGTTTTGAAGGGTTTAATAGTCAAGAAGACCCAAGATCAATCGTGGTTTTGAAATATATGTTGTTGACTAAAGTCATGTTGAATTTAGTTGATGATATCAATAATATCTTGAATAATAAGAATGTGACTAAGTATAAATCAAAAGACATTGATGCCATGAAGGCAATTGCAACTGCATATTCTAATAGATCCTTGAAGGAGTTTGAGAATGCCTTAATTACATATTCAACTGAATTAAAATCAGATCCAATTATAAAGAATCATTTTAATGCCTTGTATGATAATTTATTAGAACAGAATTTATTAAAGATTATTGAATCTTATAGTTGTGTTGAATTAAGTCATATTTCAAAAGTTATTGGGTTGAATTTACAACAAGTTGAAGGAAAATTATCACAAATGATTTTAGATAAGGTTTTCTACGGTGTTTTGGATCAAGGTAATGGATGGTTAATTATTTATGATGAACCTAGGAAGGATGCCGCATATGAGGCTTCTTTAGAGTTAGTTAAGAACTTGTCAAGTGTTGTTGACTTATTATACGAAAAAGCGTCTTCTTTAAATTAGATTAGTCTATACAGTTTTTTCATATTATATAAATTTGGTAATACCACCATCTGCACATCCAATTATTGATAATTCTCCAATCCTGACTAAAAACTCTTGTAATCTTCCACAATTTATAAAACATTCTAATAAATCATTGGATTGATTATTCGCAACTTGATTAATCAATTCATAAGCTTGCGTCATATATTTCTCATCATTAATTCGTGCCAGTTGATAAATTCTCATTAATTCAAAAAGCAAATATGGGACATACAATGATCTAAATTGTTTAAACAACACAATATTGTCTTCTGAAACTGAAGTATTAATCAATTCCTTTAACCAATTCAATAACAACTTATGGATAGTTTTGTCTGTTTTTTGTAAACTACTTGAAACAAGTTCAGGCTTCCAAGCAGATTCAGAGATTTGCTGACCAGTAAATGACTTCCACTCATCCACCAACTTCAACCCTTCCAATAACGCTTCATATTGTAACAACTCTAACTTTTTCTCTTCAGTCACTGCTTCACTGTCAGTATCATTCTTCCCTGCCATCATGATATTATAATCAACAATCAATTGTCTAAAATTCTTATCTTTAGCAAACTTCTTCAACGCCGCTAATTTCCCACACAACAAAAACCGACGAATAATAACAATACTCCCATTAATCGCGTCTTGCACCATATCATTCTCAAAAAACCATTCAATGGCAGTATACACTCTATAATCCACCTCGTCAACTTGGGTTTCTTCAATGGAAAACCGAGTTTGTGGAACTTGGTAATGCGATTCAGTCTCCTGCATTACTCGCTCAACTGTTCGACGCAAGATGTTGACCAATTGGTCGGATTTGGTGTCGTCAATTAAAATCATCTCGTCATCAGTAATATAGGGCTGGGTGATCTTTTTGGAAATGGCGAGTTGTTTTTGACGTTGCGATTTGTCGGTGATTGAACTGAGGAATAATGAATAAGTTTCTCTTGCATCCCGTTCATCAGGGATGAAGGAAAGGTAGATTGGGATTAATTCAGCAGAACCACTAGTTGCATTGGATGACAATTGCGAGATGTATAATGTGATAAGGGTCGTTAAATCCTGAGGATCGATGGCTGTAGGGTCGATTAATGCCACAAAGATGCAAAGGTGAGTTAAAATTCGGAGAAGATTAGGGGTATTGATTAGGTTTGCATCCGAGGAGGTCAACGCATTGGTTAATAATGAACCGACTTTATTAATCATAATTGCCCCTGAAACGACACGTAATGGATGAAGTGATTTTTGGGAGATAGGGGTATTTGTTTTCAGTAAATTATTTAAAATCTCATCGATTGAATTAACTTGAGGTTGTGGAATTGTGATTGATGATAATAATTCATCCGAGGAAGATTGAGCAAGAACAAATTGATCTAATTTATACCCCAATAGTTGATTCAAATATAATGATAAACTTTCTTCCCAATTATCCGTTGCATGTTTTAAATTCTCAAATATATCACCACCACTAAGATAATTGTAAATTAATCTTTCATATAAATTTAAATTTGGTTGCTGCGATAACTTATATACTGTCTTCTTCCATAGCAATTTATGCTTTAACCCTCCTGGGGTAATTGATTCATCTTCAATTCCATCTAATACCGGGTTAAGATATTCTTGAGAAGCACCAACTAAAATTAAAGCGAGTGCAAAGTTTCCCGTAGAGTTTGCATAATCAATAGCTTCTTGAATTTTTCCTCTAATTAATAATTTATAGATGATGGAAAAATTACCAGAATCAATTTGGTCATCTTTTGGATCGATTACTTTATTTGTACGTAATGGCGCATCAACATCCAATTGATTAATAAGATCTTTGGTGGAAACATTCCCACTGAGAATGTTCAAGTCCTGATTGGATATAACTCTCTTGGTATTGTTCCATTTTAAATTAGAAGAGCCTTCTACCTCCTCATCAACATCGACATAATCACTATTCAGTTGTAACCATTCAATAATTAGACTAATTTCTTTTAATTTAGGATTCTTACGGATATAATTATCTTGCTTAACTGCTAATGTAGAATAATCGTGTTCAACTAAGGTTTCCTCTTCTCCTTGGCTAAGTCTGAATGAATATAATATTTCAGTTAAATCCCATAATTTTGTTTCTAAATCCCAAGTTTCAAATAATTGTCGAATATCCAGATCACTTTCGTCATCCTGATTGACTAATTGTTTACTGAATTGGAAAGCTTGATCAGCTGCAATCAGCTTGAATTTAACCAAAGCATCAAATGGCAGCACTCCCTGTTGTTGTTGTTGTGGATCTAATTGCTTATGTAATTGATAATCTTGCAATGCATTGGCAAACTGTTCCTCTATACTTTGTGGATCAGCCATACCATCAGCACTATCACTATTAGTATGTGGTAATACTACACCAACTGGTTCTTCCATCTTTTGATTTGTTTATGTCTAGTGGTAAAGGTTGAAATTGGTTGTAAGAAAAATTTCAAGTGATGTTTTTCTGTCTTAATGTTTTGTTTGAAGAAGTGATTTACGACAGAACGACATTACACACGACAGTACGACAATGCATGTCAGATAATGTCGTTTTTAACCAGTTTTTTTTATTTTTGCCCCATTTTTCTGAATTCCCCAGCTTATCGATAAACATCTTTATCAGATAGACAGCCACAGAGTTATAATCTTACAATGCAAGAAGGTGAATCACATGACAATAACAAAGATAACCACAATATTATGAACGTGGAACCAAATCCTGTAGAAGAAGAGGAAGATAACAATCCATTCCAACACCAAGGATTAGCCAGCTTGATTGCTGGCACTAACAACGAACAACAACCACCACAACAGTCAATTGACACTACCAATGAACAAGATGACAATGATTCTTTATTGCTATTCAATTCTGCTTCTAATGGTAACAATGGCACCGGAAACAAAAACGCAAATAAAGAAACCTTCAAATCCATTCAAATGAACTTTGAAAGCAGAGTTGGTAAATTGCTCAAGTCAAATCATAACTTATCAATACAAATAACAGAAGCAGGGAATTCAAATGAAGGCATGACCAACTCATCTAAGAAATATGTCGTGTATACTATCAAATTGGTCGATTTAGATAAGCCTACCAACCATGATGACGAGGTTATCACCAGGAGACGATATTCTGATTTTGAAAGTTTAAGGGATGTCTTGACTAGAATATTCCCATTGTTGATCATTCCCCCCATTCCACCCAAAAATTATTTTAATTTGGGTATGTTGATAAGCCTGTCTGGAACAGCAAATAAGCCAATGGGAACAGGTGGAACAAGCCCCGGGCATCCTGGGAGTAGTGGCAGCGGTGATGCTTCCAATTCTCATAAGGGCAAGGGAGCCAATAATAACAACAATAGAAACGGGAAACCCAATTATTCATATATTAATTCAACCCATTTAACCAAAAACAAACTAATAGAACATCGCAAAAGGTTATTGTCCAATTTCTTAAATAATTGTATCAAAATTAATCAAATTCGTCAATTAGAATTCTTTGCTAAATTCTTAGATTCGAATGCAAATTGGACGGATGAAATTGCCTTGATAAATTCTCAATTACCAAAATCAATTTATCTACTGAATCCGGAAAATGCCTTAAAAACCGATTTTAAAGTTTATAGCCACTTGCCAAATCCTGTGAGTAAGAATACTTTAGGATTAAAGAAATTGACAGGCAAATTGTTCGAAAGCAACGGTTCCTCGCCGCCCCCACCTGTGCCAGCACAGTCATCACAAGGTGGTGATGCTAATGGTAACACAGAAGGATCGCCTCCGGTGAGTAACACGACGGATGCTAATCAATATATCTTGAATACTTCCGGATTAGACGATTTAAATAAACGAATAATGGATAATTTCATGGGAATATCCAATGACTATACTGAATTAGGAAGTTTGCTAAATTCATTCTCCTTGGTATTAGTCGAATCAAAACCAAAACAAGAAGAAGAGGAATCAGTAAAACTTCATATTATCTTAGACAAACTCGGACAAGTGTTTGATCGAAGTTATATAACCATAAACACTCTAATTAACGAATTGGAAACTAAGTTCAGTGAACCTTTGGGTGAGGTTGTTCAATATAGTGATATTTTATATGATTTGTTGAAGTTCCATCAGAGAAAATATCGACAGCAACAGTTATTAAATGATGAAATTGCATCCAAGAAACGTGATTTGGTAGAATTGGAAAAATTGGAGATGGAATCAGGAAGGATCGAGCTGGCTATCAATTCTCATGGAATTTCGAAGAACAATAAATACGATTTAAGTCCATCAAGACTGCAACAGCAACAACAACAACAACAGCAGCAGCAGCAACAAGAGAAGAGCAACAAAGGAAAATTCAAGTTCCCTAGTTTTAGAAAAATAAGTCAATATGTATCAGAAATCATCGATCAAAATCCAGAACAAACACGAAAACAAAAAATCGTCAATTTGAATGAAAAATTGGTGATTTTTGACAAATGCCAAAAGATAATGTTGGAAGATTTATCATTTATAACTGATGAAATCCATAAAAATATCGCCAGTTTCCATAATTGTCAATTAAATCAAATTTATGAAATCTTGTTGAATTATAATAAATGTTTAATCCATTGGGCAAAGAAGAATATCGACATTTGGGAAGAAGTACGCGAGGAAATTGTCAAGTTGTAGAGTACTGTGTATATTTATATATAACAATGATATTTATTAGTAGAGTACATACAAAATATATGCCATGATTCTCATTCAGATAAATACCTACACACGGCTGGACCCCATTCATCAGCCCGCTTATACAGCGCAATATCCGGTGGCAACTTTTCAATTGCCCCCTTTAATCTCATAGCCACCTCTTCACCCTCTGCCTTTACTTGCGCAATTGGCATCAAGTATGTCCGGATAGTAAACACCACAGCACCTGATTTGGGCAATTTAGTTAAAGTCTGCCTTTCACTTCTATAATGGACCTGGTTTTCGAAATCTAGTTCCTCATAGGGGAGTTCAGTCTGAACAAATCCTTCTGGTAAGTTATGGCCCTTGTTTGAATCATCTACATAGTACTTACCATGGGTTTGGACGGAGAAGTTTGAGCGAGTGATGAATTGCCCTGGGGTCATTCTTTGGAAATATCTATTCATTGATAGCTTCAATTTCGATTCATAAGATGGGACAGGGTGATGAATGAATGATAAAGGTTTATTAAACCTGTCTTGAGGATTGAAACCTGCCGCAAAGGCAAAAACTCCAGCTTTGAAATAGTATTCATCTACAGTGGATTGGTCATCTTTCAATAAGATAATAAAATCCTCTTCGATATTCTCAGCAAGGTATTCTTCAAGCTTAACGACATCTTCAACATCTTCGGAATTTACAGGATATTTCTTCTCCGTAATCAAGTTCCAATATTCCCCATCCTTGACCTTAAAGTACATCGGATATTTCGTCACAAGGTATGTCATAACCATGTCATAAAACTCCCTAATTGCGTCCGCAGCCTCTGGAGTCACAAATAACGTCGAGTTTCTCAAGTCTTTATCAGCAGGATAATCTTCATGCTTATTATTGATGATTCTAACCTTGTGAGAAATTGACTTGAGATAAGTTGGTTCGATGAGGAGCCAGTCCAGGATATCGATGGTGCGAATTCCCATTGTGAGTTTATATATTGCATCTTTGAAGGGATATGATTTGAGTGGTGGATGTTCGTCCCACTTGAACGACGATGCGACTGGAGTTGGTTTGGGAATCTCATTGGAGGTTGAATAGGTGTCGGTAGGGGCCGTCTTGGATTTCTTCGAGAATGGGAGAGGGAAGAAGTAGAGAAGAGACACGATTATGATGATAATGGTGGTGGTTGCGGCTGCAATGGTGAATATGTTCGTATTCTGATGGGTGTATTCCTCTATGGTAGTTAAGTTTAGTTCCATTGCGTTAAAGAAGTGAAAACAAAGGAAGGACTTTAAGAATAGAGGATATATTAGAGAATTTATAGTTTGAGTTTAAGGGCGATATGTGTGGGGGAAAACAAAGTGGAGGACACTAAAAAAATAAATTTCAAATTGAGTAATGATAAGCGAAAGCGCATAATTCTAATCGCGCGGCATATTCACTTGTTGTGAGTCATTGTAAGTGAGTTTCTATCTCCCTGATATAATGATTCAGTTTAGATAGTAGCCATGGTGATTTAAGATAAGAAGGAAGGAAACCGCATTTTGACAACAACAAGATAACAAATATCTGGCGATATCTATTGATATCAAGATACTGGCACCTATGGCATTACAACTTATTTCGAAATGAAAAGATACAAGAGCCCCGGGAAGGCAAAAAAATTAGAAAATTGCGCCATTCATGATTCGTCCTGCCCAAGACTTTCTATAGGTTGTAGAAAGTACCATGCCTTGATTAATTCACTAGGTGGTCAATCATTCTGGTAACGATAATTAGTTTATAATTGAGAATGAACCCGAATAGGCCATGTCATAAATGGAGTCTCAAGCTCGCCACAAATAACGATGACAAGGAAACAATGCAATGGAAATAACAGTGTTGCTTATAGCCTTCATGTCATTAATTCTTTGAATAAAGCCTGTAAAGAAGAATTCAATGGAGCCCTGTTCTTTTCTGTATTTAAAGTTTACCGGGAATCTAAGTCTAGCGTCGGTGCACTCTAGTCGATAGAAGTAGTACGATTTAACCGGGGTGTTGAGAAAACTGAATGTATTGGTATTCTTTGATTTCGATGTCAGGGCACAACGATGACAGTGAATAAATTTCATTGGGATGTCACATGTCATTTTTCCATGCACTTCCCACAAATTCTTGTCCTATAGCAAAGGCTCCTCACAGCTAGAGCGTTAAAATTCTTTTCGGTGGGTTCTTGACACCAATGTAGCAGTATACGGATTAGAAGTGGGAAGAATGACGAAGAGAACACGCGCTATTTGCTACACATAGCGTAAAGGGGACTTTCACAATTGGTAACTCAAAACCATTTTGTTTAAGAAAAGCTGTCTAGAATAACGCGTCTGATAAATTTACGCGTCGCAATGAAAATTTTAACATGATCCAAAAGGTACAAGTGTGCTCAAATTTTTCTGCAGACGGAAGCCAGTTTATGGAATCCAATCATCCGGAAAGCAAATTATTCAATCCACTATTAGAACATTGTTTAGTGTACGATAATGTTAGACAACAAAAGTAGGATGAATTGGATTCTAAAATTCCCACTAGAAATCATACAATTTATATTTGACCAACTCCCACTTCGCTATCTCCAGGAATATATTGATATTGATCAAATTGGTCGATATGCATTCAACTCATATTATGCCAATATTCGCATCGAAAACTACTTTATACCTAGATTTAGGGATAAATCAGAACACTTTATTGCCACCAACGACATATACTCCAAGAATTATAATAAGACTGTCGGGAGTGATGCTGCTATTTATGAACGCGGTAAAAGATATATCCAAGAAATCCCTGAATATAATTCTATTGAGTACATTCAATTCTCTGGATTGAGAGAATTCCATGCGTTTTGTAACGACTACCCTGATTTCAAACCTCGTAAGCTATGGTTTTTTTCACTTAGAGATTTTGCGAGGACTCTTAAAGAACATCCAGCAAGCATGGTAGATGCTCAAACCCTAAGAATGGACTTAAGAGATGTGCCTGTTGAATATGTTCCATTATTGTGCCAATTAAAGGACCTGAACCTGATATACATCAAGCTAGATTTACGGGATAATGAATATAGCAACATTCCACTGATCGATGTTTGGAAGCAGCTTATCCGTGAATTTCATGTATCACACGTGAAAATGGATGACTTTAAGCTGCGAATGGTCTCTGCTTCCACATTAGTACTTGTCAATAATCCAATTAGTCCTGCAGAAATTGCCTATCTACCTTCGACGTTGAAATCTCTAGACCTCGTGGCTTCACTAACGACTTCTGATCGTAATCTTGAATTGCTTTTACCGCCTGCTTTAGAGCATCTAACCATTGGTTCGATGTTTGTGTACTTGAATTATAATGAACCAACGATCACCCGCCTTGATATTCGTCTGGCAAAGAAGCTCGTCTATTTGAAAGCTTACATCAAAGGGATGACTTCCTTTCGTTATTTGCTAGTACCGGAGAGTGTCAAAGAATTGAATTTTCGTTGTAAAGATTTAGAGGACCTTAGTGGGATTGAAGAATTCACGCAATTAGAAAAAATGACATTAGATTACAAGTTCAATGTCCTAGGCGAGCACCTACCATCGTTCATATTTCCTCCAAAACTAAAACAGATTTCATTAAATGATAATCTGGACGATCAGAGAATCCAATATCTACCATATGCAGACCAGAGACTTATAAGAGTGCTTTCGTCTGCCGAGGTCCCCAAATCATGTGATACAATGGCGATTAGGTGGAAGCATAGATATTTCAAAGACCCAACGGAACCCGCTTCACCTTTGACTTTTGGTTTGGAGAACTGGGCTCACATGCGATATTTAGATCTATTCAATTTGTTTATACGATCATTCTCCTATGTCGAGTTTCCCAAAAGTCTATTTTGCTTGAAGGTTAACAGGTGTGGAATTCAAACTTTGAACAATACAAATTTAAAGTCCCTAGATTCTTTGAGAATCCTTAATTTGGATGAAAATGATTTGCTAGAACTGGATAGCTGGGATCACGATCTTCCCTCAAGTTTGAGAAAATTATCCGTGCGAAAGAATAAGCTAAAAAGGATCTCAGTTAGACACTGTAGTGGTTTGCTAGAAATTGACTTAGGTAGTAATCCGATTAAGGCAATCCATCATACCCTACTAGAACTTCCTGAAAGTTGCGAAACTTTGATTTTAAATGATAATCCAATAGTAACAATCAAAAACGCTGATTTTAAATTTCCATCAAAATTGCGAGAGCTAAGAATTGCTGGTCCTTATTTAGAATGTTTAGACAATCTGAATCTCTTTGGAATATTGCCAGACACTATTGAGAAACTTTGCTTGAATGGAAGTCACCGTAGTGGAGAAGGTATTTTAAGCAAGGGAAGTTACAATGTTCCACCTGGATTAAAAGATTTAGAGATTGGTCCAATACAGTCTGCTGTTCAGGCAAAGATGCTTTGCAAAAGCCTAAAGAATATCGAGCGACTCAAGACATACTGCCTGAATTCACTTGACTTAACGCATTTGCCTCAAAGCTTGAAGCATCTCGACTGCGGTGGTAAGGAACTGTTTGATTTTAGTAGAAATGTTAAGTTGCTTGGTTCGATGGATCATTTGGTCAATTTAGAATCGTTGGACATCAGGATGGAAAAAGCTATTCCAAAGCAGTTGCGGATTCCTAGACTGGTAAAATACTGCAGGATCAAGTGTCGTCGCCGATACTCGGGTATTGTGCTCGACGACTGTATGAACTTGATCCTTTTGGACTTAGATAAACTGGTGATTGATCTCAATTACCTACAGTGCTATTTTAAAAAATTGCATGCATCTAATCCAAGAAGTCAAATTCGCATAGGTTTAGATCTATACAAACAGGTTTCTAAAAACCAGAAATTTCTGTCACTTTTAGAGTCAAAGTTTTTGATTAAATATTGATTTGTAGTAAAATAGATTATCGTCAATTCAGCCTCTAGATCTTAGTAACATTTCCTTGGCTACACGAAGAATATCGCTCAGAAGAATCTTATCATGCTCAACAAAAAGATCCACATCAAGGCAGCCACTTCGGGATAGTGACTCTATAGAGTCTCCTGAACATGCTGAATCTCTATCAGTTGCATAAGGCGGAGACTCTCATCAATCCCAAATGGATTAAGTAAATGTTACAAATTCAAAAGTCGAAGCCCGCTGCTGGGAAATAAAAGGTAGCTACATTACTGGGCCGGACTAACAAAGACGAAACTCGTTAGGTAACGAAGTAGCCATTCAGGTGATAAGACCAAGTACTAGAGCGTCGGTGATTCTGGAATAAGTTACAAAGCTTTAGTGGGTTCCAAGTTTTAGGGGAGGACAAAACAAGGAAATCAGACAACCTTTTCATAACGATGTCTCAAGTCTAATATTTAAAGTCTTCTCTGATACTAATTACACGCATCAGCGTACGTTTCTTGTCAAGTGAACTTTTGTTGAAAAGCCGCAATTAAATATACCTACCACGTATAACAGGGGGGACTGAATGAACTCGACATCAAAAGATTGAAGTATGCTCTGACAACCTTGATACTCAATGCTTAGGCATCCACTTTGAGTCCCAATCGTTTTCTTCGTATTCAAAAATTCGCCCTTTTTTTGTTTAAGTATGGAGATCTTTTCAAAGAAACACTTAATACTTGCACAAGGTAGAGCATGGATCAGTTCCTTTCCAAGAATCATTACTATTCCTAATTTCAGCAGAAAAGCTCAGAATAGATTATTTTTGTGGATTGGTTGTCTGCACTAAACTAATGCTAGACGAAACAAGCAGGGTGAATTGGATTCTAGGATTCCCACCTGAGATTTTACAATCAATCTTTGATATAATTTCCCTTGACTATCTCCAGGAGTATATCGAAATTGATCGAATTGGTCAATTTGCATTCAATTCATATTATGCGAATATTCGAATTTTAAGCATCCTGTTTGGTCCATGGGTTGATTCTAATAACTCACAGCACTTTATTGGAATCGATGAGGTATATTCAAAGAATTATAACAGACCAAGGGGGTCCGAGCCCATGTATGCATATGAAGAATCAGAGGAACTCGATGATCAACTTCCCCAACATGACCCTGATCCTGTCGATTATGTCGAATTTTGGGGGTTGAGGGAATTTTTCGTCTTTTGTGACGACTATCCTGATTTCAGACCTCGTGGTTTATGGTTATCGTCAATTAATAATGTCGCCATGGTCTTTGCAAGATATCCTAAATGGATC